CATGCGAATCCGTCTATGAATCACTTGCATTATCATGTTATTCGGTGGATAGGTGTGGGCAGAGCCTAAGGCATAGGAAGCATTATAATAGCTTTTCGACGCCGTTTTTTGTTGAGCTTGATGCGTTTCCGCTGGCGGAGGACGATGAGCGCAGACATCCTGATAGAGAAGGGTATCTGAAGTCGGATCTGAAGTGTTGGAGGTGTGGCCAGAATTATGGGTCTAAGTTCGCGCAGCTTAAGGCACATTTGGAAGATGAGTTTGAGGAATGGAAACGGATATAACCCATTTCATATATACTCGATAGTACGCAGAAGCGGGAAGAAAAGATAAGAAGCATTATTAAATGAAGATTTTGATTAATGCACCTATTACCCCCCTATAGTTAAAGATTAAAAGCCTTATCTGCGCCAAACAACTCAACAAATAAGGACACGAAGAGAAGGAAAAGATAATAACCGCCTGCGCCAGTGACTCCGAAGCTCCATACCAAAAAAAGGAAGATGATTTTGTAAGAAAGAGAGCAACGAGGGCCCCTTGACGTAGAATGAGATGAGTCGGTGGACTGGACGGCCATATCTTAAAAGCATAAGGAAGAAAGAGAAGCGAATAAAAGGGTATAAGGAGCGTGAGAAGGCTGCATGGAAACAAGAATAGGATGAAATGAAAATAAGCAGAGAGTGAGAGATACCGAGATCCCGCATCATGCTTGGGTGGTCGTCAAAAGGATCGTGAGATTTCTCGACCGTCTAAGAAATGGGTGGGAAAGAAGGCAGGGGTGGGTGGATGAGAAAAGGTATACTTCCCTCCTTCACAACCGCTTGGAGCTGGCCCGGCGTTCTAGCATGGACCAAAGGCTGGAACCTTCATGGACATCGGGGAGGCGGTAGCCATTGAGCATCTCATTCTCGACGAAGATTGAGGCACGCTTGAACCTCCGGTCGGCGTACTTCTCGTATATGGCTAGATGGTGCTGTTGTGGAGCCTCGCAGCATTCAAGGATGAGGCCGATGAGCTGGTAGAGCTGGCCAAAGGTGTACCCTGAATAGAATACATGGGCAGGGGTCTAGATAGAATGTGTTAGTAAGGGGAAACGAACGAATGAAAATAAGAAATGTAAAAGGGTGGCATAAGTCAATAGGAATGAACATACCCAATCCCCCTTTCTCAACATCAATCTGGCCAGACAGTGGGCACCGGCGGCAGTGAAACTGGGTGGCGTGCCGACAAACCGCTCATCCATAATAGTGAGTTCTAGGAAGTACTTTGCGAGTGTACGGGTTTCCAGGTCATAGTCATCAGCCTTGCTAATTCGACGGAGGAAGCTCATTGGCCCAGGCCATCCGAGCTCAAACTGGAGCATGCTGAGCATGAAACGTTCAGCCTTGAGAATCTCATCGACGGTGTATCCATTGTCAACCATGTAAACGATCTCTTGTACCGAGGGACAGTTTATCTCCTCGTATTTGGCGGCGATAAAGATGGCGGTGGCGCCAACAAGCTGGAGTTTGCCTAGCGAGACAATCTTGCAGGACAAGAACCGGTCGATGTAGTTGACGCAGAGGAAAAGGGTCTCGGGAAGGAGAGAGAAGCGGTGGTGGACCTGGACCAGCCAGTCCATCAGAACAGAGCGCATGGACCACTGTATCTCTGCTTGGTTGTCCATGTAGTGAGCATTTGGCAGGAGTTTTATCTATAAAATAGCATTAGCATTGACATTAATTATCATTAACAAAACGGCAGAGTGGCGTGGAAACATACCTCTAGTTCCCTTAGGTATTGGAAGATCTCTTCTCCATATTCAGCCACCATTGTTGTATCCCGCCACTCTTCGTCGTACTCCTCGACGGAGGTGGTGGATTCCATGATCTGCTTTGCCAGAGCTAGCTCGCGACGGGACTGCAGGCTCATTTTGGGGAAGAGTACCATTGTTGCGCCGCCGGTAGTATTGTCACGGGAGCGGTATGAGCGGGCGGTGGCATAGCCATCTTCGTCATAGTTATCTTCCTCATCCTCTTCCCAGTATTCTTCTGGCTCGGATTGCGCCAGTGTATGATCGTATTTACGCGACGAGGCGGTGATATCACTTGGCCGTTTGGTCAAAGGCCTGGGACCCCTGACACTATCACTGGATACCCTGGTAGCCTTAGGCTTTGCCATCTCGCTGGCGTCCTTTCCGCTGTGATTTGGTCCGGTTGGTCCGGGTTGTACGGTTGCCTTGACAACAGCTTCTTTAGTTGCGGGCTCTTCAGCAATTGCGGTAGCTGCAGGTACCAATTTGGTTACCGGCGCAGGGGCAGATTCTGTAGTGACCGATTTTGGAGCATTTGTCGCGTCCTTGACCGTCTTTTCGACCTCTTTGGATGCTTCAGCAGGCTTCGACGATGCCTCACTCACGGAAGCCTGGGCGTTTGATGTCTTTTCCTGCTGTTGATTCTGTTGCTGTGACTGTTGCTGCTTGCTGGATGGTTCCTCGACGACTGGCTGCAGAATTGGATCTTTGAAGACGGCATTGGCACGTTTGGTCTGAACCTTTTTAGCCTGTGGTTTCTCCGCGCCTGGCTTTATACCGGCATCCACGTTAATGACAGTATTCACTGCTGACTTTGTGCTGATGGAGTGAATGGGGCGCTGAGCTGGGCGAGTGAGACAGATTGGCTTCTCGGTGATTTTGATGCTATCCTTGGAAGGTAGGGAAGAGTCATCCTTGGCAGATCGAAGGGAATTGACGGTGTTGCTAACGTCTCCAAAGGCAGCACGTCTGGCAGGCTCCTTGTTGTTGATGCTGTGGTTGTTGGCCAGAGCCGATAAGGCAGGCGAAGATTTGTTACGGTGATGGATGGTTTTTCCAGCGCGGTTGAAGGCTATCATGTTCTCGTCCACTCGACCGCGAAGGGTGCGAGCAGGTCTCTGGGGCTGATTGTAGGACATCTGTCAGCCAAAACGAGCCTTACAAGTGATAAATTGAGCGGGTAGGAGGGTGTAGATGAAGCAGGGAGGTGACCTGCATCTAAAGGGGGCTGCATACCTTTGCGTCCATGGCGAGTCGGTCAGAGCGACGATGGCGATGAGAGGAAGTATGTCTACTGTCCAGCTATCATCAAGAAGAATAGATGTATCGATATCGAGAGGTAATCTTCTGTGGGATAGTATGCTTGTTGATAAGAATCTCTCACTTGGCCTCAGTTGTTGTTATGTTGTTGTTATGTTGTTGTGGGTGCTGTTGCTAAGGCAGTCGTCAAGGTAAGATAGGCGGGAAGAAAAAAAGGGTCCAGCAGCAGCTACAAGACGGACGTGATTGTTCCTCTGCACTGTCTTGTCTCCCTGAGAGCGAGCTGTCCACGGCTCAATGCTATCTTTCTGCTGGCGGTCGAGCGAGGACGAGAGCGAGAGAGAGCGAGACGCTGTCTTGTCTTGTCTTGAGCTGTCGTCGTCGTCGTCGTCTTCGTCTTGCTTGTGTTTTTTTCTTTTCTTGTTGATGGAAAGAGAAGAAAATAAACAAAGCTAGTTCGTATGCGGTTAGCGCCCGACGGCGGCCTGGCTAAGCAACCAAAGGCTTGGCAGATTACGTCATATAAATAGTCGCGCGGCGTCGCGTCTCCCTCAAGAGCCGCAGGAAGTCGTTTCTGCACGTTAAGCGCGCGCCTGACATGCTGGCTGCAAGATATTTTATCCACGAGCTACGGCGGCCTATGCGACAGGACGGGCGACCTGCTTTCTGGCTCTAAGCGACTGCGGTGGCTGCTGCAGGGAGTTTCGTGGAAAAGCCCCTTTGGCGTGTCGAGAAACACGAAAAGACGCCAGACCACGTGACTGGACTTTGACCACTTTTGCGACAACAAAAGCGAAAAAAGGAGCAAGAGGAAGAAAGACGACGACAACAACGATAAAAGACGGCAAAAGGAGACAGGCGCAGGCAGCATACGGCGGCAGAGAGGACATAAGACAGACGGCGAAGATGCAAGGGACAGAGCGGAGCAGGGCAGAGACAGTCTCCTGACGTCAGGATGGCAGGATGGGCCAGTGAACCCCCATCTTTAGTATACTCCGTAGTGCGGATGGCTTGTCGGGTTCGTCCCGGCGCCGACGCATAGCCAGCCCACCGTTAAACGGCGATGATGCGAGGAGAGAACAGAGAAGGAAAAAAAAAAGGGTCAGGCTGGCATCGCAAGGTCCTCGGAAAGGCTGTCGCTACTAGTATACTGGTCCCTCCAGGGGGTCCTCCTTGCAGGCGCAGGCACGGCCAGAAAGAAACCAGGACGGACATGCTCACTTCGGTCACAGGATCCATCGCAGCGCACAATTATTCCGGAGGCCGCGATCGCAGGAACTTGCGAGAGCCAAGCGGGTTTCACTTTTATTTTACAACAAACATGCATCCAGTCGCCTGCTCTAGCCTATTGTTGTCGCATTCACCAGCTTAGCCGTGGTGCCACCGGGCTCTCGCTGAGATCGCTTCCCCGTCGCTCAGGCCTCAACTGCCGTTTCCCCAGCCAGCACTGTATCAGGAGTTCTCCTAATTTGCTTTTAAAAACATATATGAATGGATGAATATATATAAACATATGGCACCGTCAGAAGGCCCCGTGTATCGCAACCCAAAACGCAAAAAAAGGGGGTCATCACACGACGGCGAGAAGGGAGAACGAACGGTGCGAACCGGCGCCGGCGCAGTAGAAAGGAAGGCAGCTAGAGCAGTGTCTCATCCATGCGACTGGCCATATTGATGCAAGTTTTTTGCGCCGGAGGTTAGCGAAGAAGACAGGATATATTTTCCTTGACTGTTCCATCGATACGGGGTCTGGAGTCGCAAGGCGCAAAAGAAAAGAAAGAAAGGCGAAGAGGAGAGGGAAAGAGTGATTTTAAAGCCTGCATTATATTTCATCAATGCTGGAGCTCTGTTGGGCCGCAGGCTGCCGCTAATATGGACCAGGCCTTGCGGCTTGGGTCTCTTGACTGTCACGGCTTCGTTCGTTCGCCGATGGTTAGACAGCCAGAGATAACAAGACTGCTGCTGCAAGATTAATGCGAGACGACGACAGAGGAAGTTCGTTCAACCTGTTCAGTCTTAAGTTTCTGCGCCTGCGGAGACCGAATGCAGAGCGCAGTGGCCGGCGCATGAAGCAGTCACTTTTATAACCTTCCTCACACTAGATCGCCAGCGCCACCACGATGCCATGGGATCTATCTCAACTATCGCCCAAGCACGGCCAGCAGGAGGACAGGCGAGCAGGCGAAACATGAAACTATTGACCCTCCATTTGGTTGGTTGGGATTTTATTATTGGGGGGATTTTGGTTTTGGTTTGCTTATTGCTATTTATTATTATTATCTCAGCTCCCACTCCTGCGCTGCCCTTTCGGCTCTGCTGCTCTGCCACGTCAGGGAACGAAGGGGCCGCCCTGTTCCTCGATCGCTCGGGTTACTCTTCGGAAAACCTTCCTGACTCCTCTTTCCCTCTGGCCCCCCATCCCTGTCCACTTGGAGACAGGACCGCCAGCTTTGGGGAGTCTCGGAAGTGTAGGAGAAAGAAGGGAGACCGGGGTGGGCATTAGAGGATCAGCCCGTCAACGTCCTCAGTTCCCCCCGGCCGCTGGATACTTGAACAACGCATTGAAGGTCCGCCCTGTCCCCTAGCTATGCGGTATCGAATCGAATCGAAGAGTGCGAAAACTATGTATGGTTTGACTACACAACTTAACACACACACCCCTTGTTGCGCAGTGTGCCGCTGGTGTTGAGCGTGGCCAACCCAAGCTGCAGAACTCGGGTGGATCGTCGCAAAGACATGGCAAATGGACCCAATCCCAGGCGCATTTAGGTTACAGGTTCTTTTCTCCCAGGATTAACGACGGGCTCTGCTTTGAAGGCAGGCAAGTCAATCAGCAATCAGCAATCAGCAATCAGCAATCAGCAGTCAGCACCCAGCACCCAGCAGCATCAAGCAGCACAGCAAAAAGGAGGACTGCCGAACTTCTCCGGGGACGGGGAGGGGGGCGGGCACCAGCTCATATACTTCCGGGCTGGCCCTTTTGATAGTTACAACTAGTTTACTGTCTTGGGAGGAAGGCTTTCCGCCGATTCTAGATGGACACAAACGACGGGCTGACAGTGACTGACTGACTGACTGGCGGACCAAACTGGCTGACGGTTGATAGACGACCTGACAGCAGCGCTGAGCGCATTAACAGCAGCAGCATCATGAGGTATCATTGGGCCCCGTGCCTTACTTGCGCATAAAGATCCTGACCGAGTCTCCTGTCTGTCTGGCTCTCGTTTGGGCAGCGGATGCGCATAGCATAGTTCGGCTCGTAGAAGGGGGATATGATAGACAAGACGTACATACGTACCGTAGAAACAGGTCGCAGTCATAACCATAAGACAGTCGTAGACAGCCCAGCCCAAGTCCGGCGCCTCCGTCAAAACCCATTCTAGAGCCCTTTTTCCCTTTCGAAAAGAGCAAATGAATAACGAATACTGCATAAGTAACTAACTAGCTGAGATAACTAACCTCGTCGCTGACCTGGCCGGCGGTGGTGTGAAACCTCCTCCACCGTTCGTTCGCAACCTACATCCACACACCTTTCTTCCTCCCTCGACCCTCGCACCAGACCCAACAAACCTCGCCGGCCAGCCTGGATATCGCAGACTGGCTTCGTCTTGCCGCTTGCTCAGTAGCCACGGATCTGGTGGTAAGCCCTCGCTCTCGTCTGCCCTTCAAAGCCGCTTCTATAATCTTGCCGCTGATCTCCATTCTGTGACAGGACCCAGACATCTCACAGCGCCCCCAAGGCCATCATCACCACCTCTCCAGCACCCAGCGTCTTCAGGACAGACTCCCAGGAGAGGCTCGTTGGCATCTTGCGATCCATCTCTCGCTGTCTTCGCCGACTGTAGGTATCTCCCTGGCCGTCGTGGTCCCTATCTCCTGTCCGCTCGCTCCGTCGTCTCGAAGGGCCATGTTTTCCCCTACCCGGGGGACAACACACAACACACACCTTTGTCTGCCTGGAATAGGAGGCCTCTGTCTGCTCTATTGACAGGTCGGCAGCACACAATTATCCATTTTCCTGCCTTCTATTGTCTGGACCGACTGCTAACAGCTGGCCTTCTTTTCTATTTATGCAGCTCGCCTTGCTCGTCGCCGGTTATCCTGCCCTACTAGAAATTTCCACTCTCACCGGCACTTCTTCCATCAAGCCAGCGGATATACCTCCAACACTATCTCTCTGCAGCCAGACCTGTCTCCCTGACCGGATTATACGCTCGATTCCCTACCTCCTGACACCTTCATTCTCGTCTGTTTCTCCTGATACTTGTATGGGAACGGCATAACCAAAGTGTCGGTCTCCCATACCACGGCCTCTCGTCGCATTCGCTCGCCTGCACCGTCAGCGAAGCCATCGCCCAGCAGTTCGAGGCAAGAATCCATCGGAAATGCCTCAGGAACCGCGGGTGAGAATGCATCCCTCGGCTCATGACTGCGAGGTGTCAGGATCTGGCGGTCCGGCCCCCGAGAGCCAGCAGTACTATGACGAGCCCAAGGGTGGCCGTCTGGTCAAACATGAGTCTCCTTCGAACCCGTCTCCCAAGCATGTGGCCTTTGAGCTGCTGCTTGACGAGTCCTCGAAGATGCGAGCTCGCATTCCGATGAGAGTCCAGATCTACCCCCATGACACTACAGACTCTATTGTCACTACGGTCAAAAATTTCTATGGCATCTACGAAGGCACCGCCAGCGGCGTTAGCTTTGAGGACCAGGACGGCAACACACTCATTGCTCGCTACGAGAACCTCAAAAACAGCATGACCGTCTATGTCCGAGTGATACCGAACCATCATTACCCTGAACAGCACTCACCACCATCATACTATGCCGTCTCTCCCATGGACAACTACTCTCGACCTACTCTCGGCGAACCGTTCTCTATGCCACCTCCCCAGGGCAACCAGGTAGTCAACTATGGCCAATCGGTTTCCCGTCCTACCTCGCGCGCTGCTGCTGGAAAGCGAAGCGTCTCCCCTCCTGCCCGAGGTCGCCGAAGCGCCTCCAGGCAGAAATCCTCTCGAGCAGGTGTCAAGAGCCGTGGCTCAAGCAGTCATGGAAGCTTCCACGACGACTCACATATGCCTTGCAGCGATAGTGATGGCGGCCATAGCTCAGTAAACGGCACAAGACGGCCCAAGAGTGAGCATTTTGGCAGTGCTGATATCAGCATGGACAACATCCTCCAGGATGGCAGAAGGAAGCGCCCGAAGTTTGAGAGTTCCGTAAGTATAAAACCTTCCAAGGCATAAACCGCCTGTTCTATATATTTTTTCGATATTAATGTATTTTATCCTAGGAACTTCCCTTGTTTGCTCCTCCTCAAGTGCCTCGGACGACTTCGGCATCTTCCATCTCCCCCCAGCGACGCTCCCTTGCACCCGATGCCTCGCCTTTCGCAAGGCCCAACCAGAACGCTTTCAGCGGCTACCAGGCGCTTGCATCTCCTCAAGGCTTTGGTAGCCATGAGAAACTGCATTCTCTTCAGAATGGAAACGGGAATAACCCATATGCGACCCCAACCGTACCACATCATGGCCACAGGCTACGGAATCGTGCCAACTCCAACACAGCGGTACACTACGCCACCCCAGTGAACGGCCATGGTATCTTGCCTACTCCTGACCCAACCATTGCCAGCTGCATCTCGGACGAAGACGTTGCGATGCAGCTCATCAGGCTTGGAGACACGTCTAACTTCTCCCACGGCCGCAACTCCACCTCAACCGTTGACGATGCATTCAGCGGCATCGCGGACGCTGCCTCGTCCACTGGTGCAACCACAGACATATCTGATGTTAGTGGTGATGAAACCGATCTTCCTACCAAGATGAGAGAGCGTCGTGCCTCAAGCAGCTCTCTCCCAGCGTTGTCGAAGAAGCACAAGACATTGGACGAGATTCTTCCTAGCTGTGAAAGCAGCGATCCTGCCAGCGATGATATTGATGGCGAATATCAAAACTTCGCTTCTCAGGATAACATCAAGAGCGAGTATGATGATGATCCATCATATGAGGCACAGTCTTCTCGAGCTAAGCGTGCAAGGAAGTCAGCCAGTGCAACCACTGCATCAACCACGACCAAGAGCAGTGGAGCAAAGCAGGCCTCTACGGCTAAAGGAGGTCGCAATGCAAAGCACCGCTCTGCCCCTGCTTCTCGCAAGGGTAAGCAGGCCCCAACTAGCTCTGCCAAACCAGTGCCGCCACCACTACTCCCAGCCACGGCGCAGCAGGGAGGAGGAGTCAACTTCCACAACCAGCTGGCTGCTGATGAAGAGGATCTCTCGACAAAGCCACGCTGTCAGAGATGCCGAAAGAGCAAGAAGGGCTGTGACCGCCAGCGCCCCTGTCAGAGATGCAAGGATGCCGGTATCGGCATCGAGGGATGCATCAGCGAGGACGAGAATAACGGTCGCAAGGGCCGATACGGGCGCCATATGGGTGTCTCCGTCAAGAAGGACCCTTCTGCCATCGTTGCGAAGGCCCAAGAGGCGCAGGACACTGCCGTCCAAACTCCCACTTCGTCTTCCGCCACAGCGGCCCCGGACAAGAGCAAGAAGCGGAAGCGCTGATCGTGACAATGCGAGTCTCTAGGCGCCTCAACCAAGCCTTCTTTCTACGCTCGCCTTCACTATCGTCTCACCACTGTTTTGACGTTATCTGTTCTAGAGCAGCGACCACAAAAGCACAGGAGGCGCATCGAATATCCCTTCGTGCAAGCACATATCTTTCGTCACCGATGCATGCGTTTGCTATTCGAGTTTCGGCTATACCAATGACTTGTGTTTATACCAGCGAAAAAAACAGACAAATCAACCCACCCCTTAAGCAGTTGTTAACATCAAATTATCATCATTATAGACTTCGATTCTTGTTCCTTTTATCTTTCTTATTCTCTTTCTTTTCCTCTGTCAAAGGGTGGCTTGCGTGTTTCTTGTAACCTCTGTCTGCCTCAAACTAACTACCACCGGTCGAATCCCAACATTCACATCTATTTCTCTGCGTTTATCTACTGCAAGTATCATCCGGCCATCATCATTTCTTATTTATGCCAATTGCGACTGTCATTAACATCAAAGGCGCTGCGAGTTTTGTGTTTCTTGTGCTGCATTTACAACCTTTTGCTTGCCTTCGCTCTCTAAATCATGTACCTACCGCGGAGTTGCTGTCTTGTTTTAATCTCAAATTTCAAAATTTTCCTTCTTTTTCTTTCCTTTGCTTCTCTTCATTGTCTCTCACTATCTCATCACGGCCTCTCTGAGCCGATGTGGATGAGGTTCTATCTACACAGACTGTATCAGTCACATTATCGACTCTGATATTGCTTGCTTTAAAAGAAACCACAGGGAAACAATGATTGCTTCTGGTCTCTTGTGTCCTCTACAGCTATGGCTTGGGCTTCCCTCCCGATTGACCCGTTGACTACAATAGCACCTTATTTTGTTTATTTATTGGAATCAATGGGCAATTTGATATATCAATTCTTCTTATTCTTTGCTCGAAAGTCGATCAATAGCCGGTAACTTTGGTAATAATACGCCTAGAATCTAGCGCCAAGAATTGAAATTTGGTGTGTATTGTAATTGGCATACAACCAGAAAATTACACCGAATTATGACTTCAAAAATTCATTTTTTGTCGCAAACAGGTTGAAGCTTTGCAAAGGAGCTTTTGCTTGACTGATTCCCCGGCGTTTCTTAATGAATTTTTAAACAGAGACAGTTGCCTCCTATAGTCGCATATTTTTCCCGGGCTTTTTCTGTTCTCTCGATATCCCCATCAGTCAAGAAACATGCCACCAAACCCCCCGCCAAATAGACCGCCCGCCGGGAGACAGCAACCAAGCGGTTCAGAAAGCTCCTCGGCTACACCAGGTCCATCAGGGATGGGAGGAACAGGCCGTGGAGGCTCAGCAAGCGGCAGAGGACGACCAGTGCAGCGATTACAATCTCTCAAGAAACGGACGCCAGGCGGTAGCCTTGTGCCGCTGAACGCAGATGGTTCAACGCCCAAACCAACGCTGAAATTTCAACCGAAGGTGGTGACACGAAAGAGCAAAGAGGAACGAGAAGCGCTTGAGAATCTCGAAGCTCAGAGGTTACGGGAAAGAATATCTGCGGCCAATGCAGCTCGGCGGACAACTCGAGGAGGAGATCGAGGCAGAGGTAGAGGTCGTGGCAGGGGCGGAGCGAGTGGTGCATCTGGCCCTCTGGGAGAAGGAGCCGGACATGGACGACATGGAGGTGCTTGGAAGGGCAAAGGCGGCCGTTCAGGCAAAATATCTGGCTTTTATGGAGTGAAGAATGAGGGCGGCGCAGATGGGGAGCAGATTGGTGGAGATATCTCTTCTGATGAAGGAAGCGACTACGGACTACGGTTTAGCATCGACCATATCAACCTCGAGAGTGACTCGGAAGTGGAAGCACTCGGGTCTGGGGGGATTGGAAAGGGCAAGACCGCGATGGGAAAATCTACACCTACGGGTGGAAACCGTGGACTTCGGCCTGTGCGAGTTGAGAGACATGAACACGTTGAACGGTCCATTGGCCTTCCTACTGAAGCAAGCACAAGCGTAAGCAAGTCTGCTGAGCTCAGGAAGAAGGCAAAGGAGAAGGCTGGGGCTGCAGACGATAGCCTGTTTGTCGAGGATGACCAGTCTGATGATTCTGATGCTGAAGGAGGTGATGATGAAGTGGTTATGAGAGATATAAAGGAGTCTGATCCTACAAAAGATGGGCCCCAGATCAAAGCAGAACCCACTGATGACGATGCCATTATTGACGATAGCATTCCGCCTGCTGCGTCTGAAGAAGTTGTCCCAAAGCCACGAATTAAACCAAAGAAGGCCAAGGATCCAAGGAAGAAGCTACAGACAGAAGAAGAACGACAAGAATATGACCGTTACGAAGAGGACATTGACTACTTGAGGTCTACCCTTGGAACCCTCCCTACAACAGCAGGAAATGCGCCTGACACCTCAGTTACAGCCGAAGTTGAGAAGAAGGACGAGGCAGACGCTGAGACGGATGCAAAGCCAACCACGGATGAACGCCAGGGCCAGCTCTTCCTACTCCAGTTCCCACCGATGACTCCCAACCTGGTGCCACCAACACGTGAGAAGGAGAGTGCAGCTGGGCAAGGCGAAGAAGCTGTCGCCGAATCTGCCGCAGCACCGGCACCGGCAGCTCAAGGGTCTGTGGCTATTAAAGAGGAAGAAGGCGCTGCCAACCCGGCTTCCACGGCCAGCACAGCACCTCCCCTCGTCACAGCAACAAACAGCACTTTACCGCGGGGACGAGTAGGGAAGCTGAACATACACCGGTCCGGCAAAGCAACCATCGACTGGGGCGGAGTCAACTTTGAGCTCACCAAGGGTAGCACCGTCGGTTTCATACAGGATGCTGTGATACTGTCTGACAACATGGCCGGGAGCGCTGATGGGGGCGCCTCAACCCGCGACAAGAAGCTCTGGGCCATGTCTCAGGTCACTGGCAAGTTCGTTGTTACTCCAGACTGGGATAAGATCCTGGATGAATGATTTGGCTGCCTGGTTGCTACCAGCCTGCTGGTCTTCTCGAGTCCCATCCCATACTACACCCACATACTACACTCAGGGCCGTCATTTCCCCCTTAACGAAACTACAATCACCACCATCATCCGGGCGTCCAGCTACGACCACCAGCAACAGCACCGTCTCTTTCATCCGTCTGCCAACCAGCCGCTCATCCTCATCTTTTCACCTCCTTCCCTCCGCTTCACTTTCTCCTGGCTTTTCTCTTCTTGGTGAAACAGTTTTATATTAGCATGTCTTCCACGTGACCGTCTTACGTGTTGTCAACACCAGCGAAAACAAAAAAGGAGCGAACTTTCTACCAAACATCGAAAGCATCAAACGCAGCAAACCGAACGGCAGCCATGAATATTGAGACAGCTCACTAATCGAACGTCAATTACTCATATTCCATCGTTTATTGCGCCATCGTCTTTCATTCGAGCTCGCACGACTTTACTGAGCGCACATTCTCACGCACTCGCCACACGAACAACCTCCTGTCACCTCCTGAATATTTATCAATTCGCATCGGCCTGCCGGGTGGAATAATCGTGTATTTCGAGCAACATGCGGCTCTCAAATAGCCCGGTCTACATACTGGCAGCATGCTCTCTTCTATCTACAGCTGTCTTTGCGGCTGACCACGCCCAACCTGAAGCTTTACCCACACGGGGCAAGGGAGTGCGCTCTAACAACGAGCACGATTATTCCGCCCCAGAGCCAAGCGCTGTTATCGAGAAACGAGCCATAGTCGATGCGCCAGCAGATCCAGTGCCAACAGTGCCTATCCAGGTCTCGCCGGTCACAATGGTTTGGGTCGACGGAGTACAGGTGCCTTACACACAAACATTCCCGCCCTTCCCTGACCCATGGCCGTCCCCGAAACCCGGACAGATTGGCCTGGGTAATATTCAGGGAGAAGTCGGAAAGACGACCACGATTAAAGCTCGCAGCCTCCCTACGGACGAGCCTGAGCTTGAGCCAGTGTTTGCGCGCCAGTGCCGAACACTCGAATGCGGTAAAAGCCGTGAGCAGAAAGCGGAGAGAGCTGAGGATGAAAACAATGCTTGATCTTGGGACGGACACTTGAGTGTTATTGCGCGGAGTTATGCGGCCTTCGACGTTTTCTTACCTTCAAACGGCGCGGCGGATTTTGGTTTAATGATTTGATATTTATGCCATCACTGGCAAGCATATATATGGAGTTTTTGGGGCAGCTTCCTGCCATTTAGACATGTACAACATCTTTTTTACTTCTTCATCCTTCGACGTCTTCTGCTTCTACTTTTATTCTCCTGCTTCTACTGCTTCCAGGATGTTGCTGGTTAGTCCTAGCTAGGACGGAATATCAACCTCCACACCCCAGATCTCTATCCACATCCACGGGCCCTGCATCCTGGCGCCTCCGTGGCTATAAAAGTATCTCCATAAGCCCCCTCGACGCCCAAACGGCCGCTCTAACTATCCTTCTGGTCCGCCAAATAGAAATCGTAGTTTAGGTGAAAATATCTCCGACAGCGACGCTGCTAACGGTGCCGTGACTTGGCGGGTCACCAGATCGACAGCACCACCACCAAAAAAAAAAGATACATCATCACAACTAAATTATTCAACTGCTCCTTTTTTTTTCTCTCTCTCTCTCACGGTTTACCCTCAGTTTCATAACCTGTCTCTACGCTCTCTTTCGTGTCAGAGGTGAACGGCGCACGCTCCGGACGTGCAGGGTCCAGGCATATTGCGCATCCTTGCCACTTTTCCCTTTTTATTGAGCCCCAAACCGCGAATCCTACTAGTGGCCACTTCGACCGGACTAGCTGCCAACACCAGGGAGGACGCCCTTTTTCTCGTTTGCTTGCCTTAGTTATATACGGAGTGCTACTGCTTGGACTGCGCTGAGCATGAGCATACCCAGCCTGCTGCTGGAGAGGTATTCGGTCTCTGGAGCTCGGTGTGGTAGCTCGGTGCCATGTAGCGTCGTCTTTCCTGCCGCATGGATTGACCAATGTTTCGAGCCCTGGGACCGCTGCCATTTGGCATGGCCTTTTTGAGCCCTACTACGGTGTTTGTCGCCCTCGTTCTCGTCTATATCTCGTCCTTCGTCCTCTTCGCGATCATCCGCATCGCTACCGGTGTTTCCATCCAGCGGATCGGCTACTTTTCACTACGGCACATCGCATATTCGCCGCGGGAGGGGGTATATATCAAGTTCGGAGGGATTGGGATTTCAGTGCATAGACCGTCACTCGTCCAGCCTACATACGTTAGTCTGCGGATTAAACGGGCTACCGTTGCTCTTGATCTGAAGGCCCTTGCGAGCTCGCGTCGGAGAGCTGCTGCGGCTGCTGCTGCGCATACGCCGGAGGGTTCGACAAAGGATGGAGCTGGGCTGGTATCAGAAAGAGATGCCGTGGGTAACGGTGACACCAATGGCAACGGTGATGGAAAGGCTAAGAAGTCAATGTCGTGGGAGAAGACGTGGAAGACGCTGAAGGGAGTTAAGGAGAGACTGAAGCGTTTGCTCAGGCAGATCAAGTGGCTGGCTTTGATTGATATATCGGCCACGGAAACTACACTTCGCATACGAGATGCAGGAGAGCTTCATATCGGTGCTCTTACCATGTCCCTTGATGCTAGGCGTAAGGTTATGCAAGGTGGGAAACAGTTTCGTCAGAGTGAAGACGCTCCGGGTGAGAAACGGTTCCCTGAGTGGATATTCAACGCCCGCAATATACTTCTGGCCGTAGATGGCTGCGAGCACAAGGAGATTTTTGATAACATCGGAATAAATGTCCACGGCCTGCTTCACGGCGTGGAAGGGTTACGGGAGGTCTCTATTTCAGTCAAAGTGGGGAGACTTCATATCCCGTATGACGATGTTCGCTCGATATTGCTACGAATCAAGGGGCTCTCGTTGCCAGATGACACAACCCCAGACGCTGGGACCTCTTGCGAAGACACAGATGACGAAACTGCGTTGGGAAATATTATGGAAGAATCAGATACTGAACAGCCGGATACCCAGCAAGAGGAGGTAGTGACCCATCACCTTACCGAATCGAAGGCCTTCCTTACTTCTTTGATACGGGGAATCCAGGACTTCCAACTCGCCCTAAGTTTCTTCCGTATTTCAAGCACCGTGAAAAACCCAGAGCCCATGCAAAAGCCCCTCTACCTTAATTTTTATACTCACGAAGTGGGTATTGACTTTCATAGAATGGACCCAGCCCACCCATCCCACAGGATGTACTTTCAGCGTGATGATGTTGCCCATCAGGCTTTGATAGCCGCTATATCTTCGTCTATCTCTCTAGGTGAGAATATAGACGAACACGACAAGATGATATATATTCCTATGGCTACAACGACTATCAAAACAACTCTCCCTTCCAAAACCATGACATTGGCTGGTAGCCATCGAGATGCCGCTGAGCGGAATTCGAATGTCATCTTTGCCAATTTCGTTGTTACATCTCCCTCTATGGACTTGGAACCACGACATCTATCAAACGTCCTAGCCCTGATACAGGCAAGAGGACCCTCTTCAAGCTCCGGTTCTCAAAAAAATCACTTTCTTATGTCTCGTTTTCTACCAAAGGCTGTGATCAAACTCTCAGTCCACGAACCTGTTCTTCGCTTTGCGCTCCCGACCTCAGACTCATCAAACCCATCTGACTATAACTTGCTTGTTTCTTCCATATCCTCTATTTCACTGGACATCGAGTCTTCTCATTCAGCTGCGGAGGGTGCTCAATATTCCCTGATCGCCACATACCGCATTTCCTCTCATTTGATTTATTACCAAACCGCGTTGGGGGTCAGGCACCGTCTTCTAGCCACAGATACCATGGACCTAAAGTGTTATATAAATGTAACAACTGAGATTGCAGTTGCCATTTCAGGTTCTATGAATACGTTTTCGGTTCATATACTTAGCGGGGAGGTAACTCGTGGCCTACACCAAGCCGTTGAGCATCTGAAGAGACTTATTCCTTCAAAACGTAATTCCTCTCACGATGCGCCATCATCTAGCCTGCTAAGGCGCCTGCCCCCTTGGCTTATTCGTTTCCAATTTGAATCTTCTGCTTTTAGCATTGAGGTTGCAGGTTCAGATTCTACAGTTGGCCCTGCTACCAGAGGAATCGTCTTTCATCTGGGTGAATGGTCAGTAGAGTATCAGCTCCAAAAGCCAAAGCCGAACCCACGATCTCTACGGCGCCGAACTCCTAGTCACTCGGCTATCTCGGACGACCCATTCAGGTTTACTCCTACCTCGCCCTCTGGAAAGTCATATTCCCGTCCGTCAGACGGCAGAAGGATAACGCTCAGTGTCAGTCAATTGGAGAGTTTCATCATGGAGTCTGTTGACTACATGGAACCGGATGCTTTTCTCTCTGTGCCTAAATTCGAAATTGCCCTTACCACATCGAGCGATCTTCAAGGCCCTATCTTCCATATTAATTCCATTGTTCACGAGATTATTGTTAAACATTCGCTCTACCGATGTTACGCAATAGGAATTGCAGCGACTACCATTAACGATGCATTTTTCAAATCTTCTTCTAAGGTGGACTTGCACGGACCAAAACGTAGATCGTCCTCGTTGAGAGCCCCCGGAAAGGCATTGAAAACTGAACTCACTACCTTTGATATCAAAGTTCCGTCGATCCAGGTCCAGGGCGTAATGCCATCAGATCCGAAGATACTGCTTCAGGTGTATGGACTTGTTGCTGGCCGACACCGTTGGTCGCCACCTTTCATCCGATCACATCTAATTCGACTCCATGTGGAACCCCCCAAGGCCAGAAGAACGTGGACCAGAATTATAAGCGTTGGAGGCATTCGTGTTGGACTTCGAGAAAGCAGGACCAAGCAGGCAGAAACGCTGGGCACCACGAAATCATATGACATCTCCGCAGATTTCATCCGTGTAGCTGTTCCTCCACATATGATCATGTACCGTGTGTTTGATAATTTTGTCAACACGTTCAAAGCATTGGAACTGCTCAATCACCGTATGAAGACCAAGTCAAGCTCCGCTAATATGACCAAGCCTCCAAGTGGACCAAAACGTGTACCCAAAATATCCCTACGAAGCAAATCGATGGTCTTTGAGATAGAAGACGATCCATTCGAGTGGAAGCTCGGGTGTATCTATCGTCTCGGCCTTCAAGAGCAGAAACAACGTCTTGCTCGCGAGGAAGCATATCACATGAAGTTGAAGAAAGTGAGAGAAAGTCAAGATGATCGCTACGCCACCCTTCGTCTCAGGAGCCAAAATGCCAGGTCCTTTACGGAACGGCCTTATACAGGCTCCCGTAGAAGTGGTGAATATCCAAGGAGTGTCAGTGCGGACAGTCGACCAAGAAAACGGTCTAGGTCAAGGGGTAGAAACGCTTACTCAAAAGGCCGGTACGATACGAGCCAGTTACCGACTTTCTCTGACTGCAGTATTCTATCGGCAGACGAGGCTTGGAACCAGCTTCAGGCCCATAATGCGCGCTCTTGGAAGAAAAAAATCGACAATTCAATCCGGTTTCAGAATGCAGCGGTTAGAGAACTCCGGTCACTGTTTGTCGGAGCTGATAAAACTCCTGACGGAATACCTGAACTTCCGGGGGTGATTCCAATTCCAAGTCGACCAGGTTTACTTGCCATTAGGATAACGGACTTTGGATTCACTCTAGATGCACCATCATTCCCACTCCATGAATACCCTCAATACCTGCATAGGATTGGGAAAGGTATGCCCTTGGATATGAAATATGCGCTTTTGATACCGATGAGCATCCGGCTGGATATGGGAGAAGCCCGCTTCAACCTGAGAGACTATCCTCTTGATTTAATCCATATACCTCCCTTGGGACCGGGACAATCTGCGCGTGTCCCAGCGTGGTCCCTGAAGACCGACTTTGTCATAGCCGAAGAATTTCGCGGGCCCGAATCTTCTCGTCAGGTCATCGTTAATATTGTTCCTCCATCCGTTGCTTCTGATGGCATAATGCAAGATGGGTTTTCACTTGATGTTCGCAGAACAGTTGCTCCCGTGAAGACCTATTCTAACCCAACAATTGAAATCAACACTAATCAGCCTACCACGATATCTTGGGGAATGTCATATCAACCAGTTATCCAGGATGTCATGAAGATCATTGAGAACTTTACAAAGCCTGAGATAGACCCCTCTGAGCGAGTTGGGTTCTGGGACAAGATACGACTAAGCTTCCATTCAAGGCTACTCTGGGTTTGGAAAGGAGACGGTGATGTTCATTTCCGATTAAAAGGTAAGCCAAAATTCAGTTATTTAATGGTTGCTCTATATTATAATAAACACTAACCGTTGGTATATGCAGGCTCCCGTGATCCATACATTGTTACCGGCTTTGGTGCAGGTTTCGTCATGTGTTGGCGTAAAGATGTTCAATGGGGAATCCGTACCAATGACGACCCCCAGGAATTCTTTGCAGTTACCAGCGGCGAATATGTCCTTGCTATACCTGATTATAGTCGTCAAGCAAGGTATTCATATGAATCACCATCGTTCAATAGCGGCACTGCCAGATTCGGAAAAAACGAGGCATTATTCAAGAAGGTGATAATGAAACTTTCAGGAAACGTCCGCTGGCTTGCAGGCTTGGTATTTGAACGAAATACGAATGGCGCTGATAGATGTTTCGACTTCAAACCTCATTATGAGGTTGTTCTCCGCAATCCTATGTATTTGAATCCCCACGAATTAAAGGTGAGACCTCACTTAACCCCAAGGAATGATACTGTGATGGCACTAACTTTGTAACAGGATTATGATGCATTCCGCGGATTTAGAAGCAACCACATACATCTTTCGTTAGCTGTTGTTGCACCTGTTGCTCGAGAATGGACCCTCACCAACCGAGAGCCATCGGCTTCGTACAATACCGTACATCTCACCCCTAAGTTCTTTACCCATTTCTTCAGCTGGTGGTCTCTCTTTTCTGGAGTTATGTCACTTCCGGTCCGTCAAGGGCCCCTTTTCCCTGGGTTAACGAAGACAAGTAAAAAGTTTAGCCGTCATCTGGGCACCATTAAGTACAAACTTTTCCTCTCTCCGCTCTTTGTCTCCCATATCTACAAGCATAAGGATCCAGAGGATTATAAGGAGGACGTTGTATATGCAACTGGACTGAAAGTGCGGCTGGATAGCTTCATGCTTGATCTTCACCAGCGGCGGGAATATACTACTGTGGTCAAAGGGCGACTGGAGCCAACGAAAGCAAGTTCTATGAAAATCAATAGAGCACAGTTAGATTTCATATCAGCCGATTGTCGCGCTGTATCATCGATTGGTAACTCTGTTCTAGCAGAGCACGAGAAAGATGGTACCAGCCCAACATACCCGGATATGTCCCAACCTGCAGATATCTCGAACTTTACCATTCCAGACGAAGATTTGAACTGGATTGATATGGATGACTTCGTCGAATTGGATTGGGCCCTTCCCGTGGAAAGGAACCCGAGAACGCAAATACTCCCACTGGCGTTCTCGCCTCGGTTTTCGTTCTTCCGTCAAACAGACCATATCAAAGTAGGGCCGGATGAACCAGGCTATAGCCCCTTCGGAGACGAGCCTACTCATATCTGTGTCATGTCACAAGACCATGACCCCCGACGGGTACAGATTGAGCTGCTTAAGGAACGTCTTAATGTCTTGGAGGCCCAATCTTCGTCACATCATCGTGTTGTTGGTGAATTCGAACTACGTTCTATCCGCGATGGTATAGCTGACGAAGAGTCTCGAAGACAATATGAAACGCTGGTTAGACACGGCCTTTCCCTCGAACAGCGACGAAAGTTCCTACAAGATGAACTGCAACGACTCGAAAAGCATTTTGTCCAAAATGGTACTACCAATGGGTCTCATTCACATCGCAGTAGCGAAAGTGGTGATCTTTTAATATCTTCCACTGAGGACGAGTTCGCGAGCGATTTCGATAACCGCTTCGTCATCCATAACATCCAATTGAAATGGAACAACTCCCTGAGAAACATAATTCTACGATATATACATCAAGTCAACCAGAGACGTGGGTTTGTGTACTACATGTCACGGCGAGCAGTGAAGTTCATTCTTGATATTGTCGATGAGCAAGTCAAGGCAAAACGTCGACATATGGGCAAAAAACAACAAACACCATGGAGTGTTGACCCTCGCCCTCATATTGAAATTGAAAGAGACGACGATATGTCGACCGAAGAGCGTATCGAACAACTCCTTAATGATGCAAGTCGATTTGTGGATGCAGAACCGCCAACGCCCGGAGAGAGCAAGCACCCCACGCTAAGCTCAAACTCAAGTAGCAACATCTCTCCTGAATTTACACCGCAGAACAGCTATCATCTGAGACTCATTGCTCCCCAAATTCAGCTACAGAGCGAGAAGAATAAGAAATCTGTAGCTGTGGTGACTGCTAAAGGGATGCAACTAAAGGTCGTGTCCATTATGGATAAGCACCGAGTATCTGATGATGTTAGTGGACTGGTACAACGACAGTTCACGCTTAGCATGGACAGTGCGCAGTTTTTCGTTGCAGACCAAAAGAGTTTCTCTAGTCATATTCATCTATACTGTGGAAATGGATACGGAAACGCCCCGGGCACCTCGTGGCCGCCTTGGGTATCCGTGGAAGCCATGTTCGACTTTGATATTGATCTTTCTGGATTTTCAAGGATCATTCAGAAAACTTCCGCAAGTTTACGCTATGACAAGTTCAATACCTTGCGACTGAAATTCAACGAAAAGGTTGCTGGTGAAGAAGCAGAAGAAGACAGACATGCCGCCTACCCTACTGAACATCGAATCGATCAAATTAGTGTTGACTTTCCACAAGTGCGGGCAATTTGTGATTCATCGCAGTATTACTCCTTATATATCATTGCTCTTGACCTTCTCATGTATAGTGAGCCTCGGGAGCAAGTTCGAGCTGAGAAACTAGAGAAGATCATGTTAGCATCGGACTTCAGCGATTTACGGGGTGCACCGGAAATCGTCAATCGTCTCCAGGATCGAATTCGCTATCTTGAAGAAATCAAAAGCCTGTTCCAAATTCGTGGCAAATACCTTGACAAACAAGGGTTAGCAGACCGAATAACCCTGGAGAAAGACTTGATAACATGTGAGGATGAGCTGTTCTTTATGATGAAAGCTATTACAACGTCTCAAAGAAAGAGTGATGACCGTGCAAAATCCGCATCGAGCGGACTCTTACACTGGACACTTGCTGCAACGGAAATCGTTTGGCATCTCATGACGGATGGTAAAGAGCCAATAGCGGAATTTCAGCTGAGAGACGCGGCATATGGTAGGACGGATAATATTGACGGGTCAAACTATAACACAATAGAAGTTGGGAACATATATGGGCTTAACTTACTACCAGAGGCACTGTATCCTCAAGTGATTCTTCCATACAAAGACGACCATCGAGGAACCCAACCCAAAGACGAGGGTAAAATGCTTCAAGTCAAATGGTACATGCTGGAGGCTATTGCTGGAATTCCAGTGCTCAATGACTTTGAAGTTACTCTCTTCCCTCTCAAGGTGCAACTGGAAAGAGAACTAGGCCAGAAGCTGTTTGAATACGCTTTTCCAGCTGCCGGACCCAATGCCTTTGAGAATGGGGGATTTTCACCATTCATAATCAAACAGATAGACCCGCCCAGCGACGATTCAGATATTGACACAACCAGTGGTGTTAATACTCCGGCGATGAGCACCGCCAGTACATCCACAGACGAACGGCCGACTTCTCGTCTAGGGACTGTTGAGCAGCGGCTAACGCCTACTCTAGCCTTGCCTGACAAACGCCGTTCCTATTCCCCTGGAAGGATCAAAATGTCTATGCTGATGACTCCAATAATCAAGGACCCTCCAGCCCCTCAAAGGCATAAAGATGACGATGAAAGAAGTTTTTCTACGTCACATGTACCTACTCGGCGCACTTTGGCAAAGAAAGCATCAGCGGATAGCCTTACTGTGCTGAAACGACAAGCTTCAGATTGGTCTCTCAGAAGCCAGGCTGGATCTAAAGCTGAAGAGAAGCCAAAAAGGCCTACCCTTAAACGACAGCATACCAAAGTAAATCTAGAGAAGGCATATGGAGCAGATGATCTTTCTCGGATGATATCTCGCGCCTCAAATTTCATGATTCTTACTCATGTAAAGATCAATGATGTTGTACTTTGTTTAAGCTACAAGGGCAAAGGAGAGAGGAACATCGAAGACATCCATGACTTTGTTTTCAGATTACCCGTTCTCGAATACCGAAACAAGTCATGGTCTAACCTGGACCTTGCTCTGCGGCTAAAGAAGGATGCTATAAAGGCTTTGATTTCGCATGCACCGGCAATATTAGGCAACAAATTCTCCCACCATCGACCAAGCAAGCAGCAACAAAAGCGTTTGCGAGAGCTAGCTACCTCTTCTCAATTGTTAGACGGCCAGTCGATTCTGAGTGCGCCCCACTCCGATGGCTCAAATAGTATCGCCAGCCGTACTTCAACCGAAAGATCTGCCTCCCCTGCTTTATCTTCGAATTCGCATGCTTTCCAAACCGATGGTGCATCATCCATAGGCTCTGTTGGTATTCCACCAAGAAGCAAAACGGCACATTCCGATCTTGGCCCCATGGGTTCTGCTTCAATAGAGGATGAAGAAGATGTCAGTCAAATATATTCGTAATTCTCACTATTAGCATGCATGAAGCTAACTAGTTGGCAGGAGTCAAACAATAAGCCCGGTCCTTCTCGACGCCGCTTTACAACAAGTCGGGCATCCCTCAATAGTGAGAATGCTACTACTGATGATATTTCAGAAAGGTGAGTATTAGTTCTTGCACAATCGCCAAAAAGACGTTGCCTTTTATTCATTTTCTAATCACATTTGTAGACAACGGCGAAAACCCCTTTCTTTTCTCGGGCGGAAATTCCTTGGATCACTGGACTGAATCCAACATACTTATATCCTCCCATTACAAACGCGTGTCGGTATATTTTTCATGGTGCGCCGTAATTACGCAACTACTACCAGCCTAGAGCCCTTTTTCTATATCATTCCGCTCGCTTCAGTTTTCCTTACACCAGCATACTCTTCCGCTCCTACCCTTTTTCAGTATTAAATGAAAGCCCAAGGGCTTTCTTCACCACCTGCATATTACTGTTTTGTTTTGTTTTGTTTTGTTTTATATTTGTATGTTCCAAAACTGCATTTTACGCTCCGTCCGGTGAGCGGTGGAAGATTGGTGCATAATTGTCTCAGTTCTTGTTTTTATCTTGAGGTCAAGATATACCCTACCACCTGGGATTGGCGCCGGTGTTGCCTTTGCTGTTCAAATAGTTCTTTCGTTTAGATGTCGTTTCGCCTTGATTAGCATCGTTCTTTTGTTCGGGTGGTTTCTCTGTCTGTTATTTGCAAATTCTGTCTCTCGTCAGGGGAATGGAGGATAGATGGATGGACATTTGGTTCTGTGATTTGCATTCAGTTTTTTGAGGGTAGAACATTGGGTGCTCTTTTTTTTGTTTTGGTTCTCACCAACAGTTATTATTGTTGTGGGTTTCCTTTTCTCTGCTTGTTATATTGAAAAAGTGCGTACATAGAGGAAGCAATGCAAGCGGTTAAGATAGAGAAAAGCCAAAATTTGAAATGGGTATTCAAGTCTATGAACAGTATGTTATAGGATGAAGTAGTAAGCAAAAAAGATCAACGCTATATTGTAATAATACAAGCCGGAAAAAGTGATGCTATGTAAAATCCAAGGCAAGTGGTGGACCTCGTTCAAAAAGCCTGATTCCATGCCCTAAACTCCTATACCAGAACTAGGGAATAATCATACAGCCTCAGAGATAACCGAGGCAGCGTTGTGATTATCCGCTCTATCAGGGTTTGCCGGCTTGTGGAATGGTAACGAGGACATCAGCCTGCCGGAAGCGGAGATAAACCGAGTCTGGGGTGTAGAGCAAGTGATATCATCGGTGTAAGGAATTCCATGAAGGGAATATTTCCCCCACGCAACTTTCTCCTTGCGGAGATCAGCTTGTACCCAGGGAATGGTAATAAGGACCCAAGCGCCAGCCCACACGAATGGTAAAGACCATCCAAGCTAATGAATAGATTAGTACAGGAAAACAAACATGTGTATTAGGTATATAAAACATACCGTATATGCCACATCTCTTGGAGTTGTGAACACCAGAGCAGTTATAACAGCTGCGAAAATGACTGAGCCGCCACCCCAAAAACAGTTCATTTCAAAAAGCATCTGTCTGAAGTAAGGGCTGGAGAGATATCGGTCCCGAAGTGCCCTTCTATATACCTGTCCACCCCCACCATCCACAGCAACAACATCTTCAATCAATACATATAAGGCTGTGGGCATGACATATCCCTTAGGTGTTGATGATATGCGGAAGGGGGCCTGATAGCCTAAGGCACGAAGGAGATCGAGGGTTAAATGAACGAGTCCGAAATAGAACATCACGGTGGGCAGTGGCATTGCTAGGAGGCGAACTAGTAGAGCAAACGTCAGGACCGGTGGATCAGAACATGTTAAAGATGGCTACTTACTGTATGGTTCTTCTTGGACCGTTCCTCTAACAATCATATTCAGGTTAACAAAAACACTCCAAACGAGTTTCCCAGGTATGCACATACATGATTAGCTCCACTGCAAGGATGAGCCATACTATTGTGAAGTTCACCTGAAAGAAATCAAGCTTCCTAGCTTATTAGTCAAGTACATGATTGTGCCAAAGCGGATGAGCGTACCCATGATCTCCTAGCATTCAACGGCCTCACTTTCGACCCTTTTCTGTACAGGTTATAGAACCGATAAAAATATTCCACAACGGCGACTCCTCCAAGCGCAGCGGTACTTATGGTAAACACTAGAATAATAGAATAAGCATTAGTGCCTGTTTCAATTGCCTACACAGGTGTACCAAATACACTAACCCAAGTTATGTGATAGATTGGTGCAGTACCATAAGGTAAAGTAAAGCACCAAGGGCTGGACAAGAGTATCGATTACAAACAGTGTCCAAAATATAGCAATAGACCTTTTCCGGGACCTGAGTGAATATGGAAGCTCTGGCGGTCCAGGAACCGCGGGAGCGTCTGGAACCTCGGGCTTATCCATCATTCAGTTGAGAATATGCTGTCTGTGTGTTAATTGAGGATCGGATGTGATAGTAGATGAGGAATAATGGCAGATGAGTTCAAGTATCCAACACCAGAAACACTTGAACGCAGTTTGAATATTGCTCGACGTAAGCAAGAGATTTCCATGGCTCTGCCAGAGAAGGATGGATGAGTGGCGAACATCTTTATATCTTCCAGTTGATCCAGCCTGGCCGCGCAAGAAAACCTTCGGCAAACACGGATTCTTTCTTGACGTTTCTTGAAAGGCAAAAAAAGTAAAGCGTTGGTTGCTTCGGGTGACGTCATAGGGCTGACAAATTTTAGAGGCTCGGTTTAGTCACTTTTGACATAAGCATAATGACTAATCAAATGTCATGTGATACGTGGCCCGAAGTTCGAAACTCGCGCTTGCCACGAAAAAAAAAGGACTGAAATTATTTAATCCTCGAGCTATCAAAGACTTACAGAGCCGCAACACGAACTACGCAGCCATGCAAAGGCATAAAGCGGGCCATGGCTGCAAGTTTAAAGGATTTGATCGAATACTTGCTGGAGGAGATATCTTTACGCGGTGATCAAGGTGAGACGCGGTGCGCGGCAAGCTACATATTGACTAGTTAATCTATTGGCTATCATCAAACACATAGGAGGAGCTAACCAATTTGATAGGCGTGCCTCCAGTACAAGTCCTTGCGTTTATTGATGAATTCTACGTGCTGCGGCGCCAGAAGAATACTCTTAATGGAACTGTAACACGTCGTATACCCAATCTTGACAGACGGTTCAAATCCAGGGTCTGGACGTGGCTTACTGAGCACCCTGAAGTATCAGTTGGCAAAGATAGAAAGGGTAACTCTCTTACCCTGGATGATGTGGTGCCTCACTCACAGGATGAGGGTTCCGGAGCGATAGCTATTGACCCGGCGCTAAGGCCGGCCTCCAGTCGTCAGGAAGATGCTTTCCTTGTATTTGTGTCGCTGGAGCGAACGTGGCTCTCAATCACGGGTCATGAGCCGGATTCCTCTAGGGTCTTGCCGTTGGAGTTTGCTCTTCTATCAATTATTGCATCCCGAAAAGAAAAGGGTATCATTCAGTCTGACCTGGTACGGCTTAGTGGGCAAGACAAGCGCTCAGTTCCCAAAAGGACTGACTTACTGCAAGAGAAAGGATATATTGAAAAACGAGCCATACAATACCAAGCTGCGAGAACAAGCTTGTGTACTCTGAATAAATTCGCTGGCCTGGGACCAGGGGAACTCTCTTATGAACCTTCGTCAACCGTGGAAACTGGCCCAACATCAACCATGAACAAGATAATAGACTTCACAGTTTTGCGAGAGAAACTCTTCGAGATGCTGAGGGAGTATAAAGTTATCACTCGTAATGACCTTAAAGAGAAGCTTGGAATGCAAGATCGCTGGCACGGGAAGATACTGAGAAGAGCAATTCGAAAATTTGAAGCTATTGGCTGTGTTCGCCGGGTTCGCGCAGTATCCCAGTATTCGAACGCAATGAAGTCACTACATCCCTCGGTAATGTTGATACGTGAGCCTACAGAAAAGGATATCAGACTGTTCCATGAAGATAGTAAGGGACTGATGTCATCCTTGGAGCAGTTGGACGCAGACTTGGACGAGGAGCAAGGTCAAGAAATAGTAGTAGACCCTAGCCTGGAGGGTGATTCTACCAACTACGTCGTTGATATCGGCCGGGTTATTCCTCAATGGACACCAGATAGGTCAATAACTAATCTGGTTTTCGATATCATTCACCAGGCCGGCACCAGAGGAATTTCCAATAACGTTAGATTATCCGACTCCTTAAATTACCCTTGCTTTGGAAACTAATAGGTCTTTTTATAGGATATCAATAAACTGACAATGGGGTCCTTTTTTAGAAAGCCACTGGAGACTGTTCTTTCTCGATTGACCAGCTCATGGCAGAGTTCCCAGCCTCTTCACCTTCGGCATCTAGCCATTCTCCGCGACACTGCACTCAACAAAACTGTATATTATTATATACATTATTCATTCAATAACTTTTCCTCCCTTGTGAGCCACGGTCATGCGTCTTGGGATGCTGTCACTGGAGGACCTAGATCAGGGAAACGAGTATTAAATGCACCCCCAGCCAACGCAAAGGCCAACTTGGACAAATATGGCTTTCCAGTCGACATCTCACAACCCCTACTGAGGAAGGGGAACGCAACCCTTCGTGAATGCTTAGAGGCCTCTAAACCATCGAAGTGGCACCTAACGTTCAATGATCCTATCGCAGTCGCTCTCTTGGATGGCACATATTGTAGGTTATAATTTATTTCGGTTATTTGATAATTAACTAACTGGGACTTGTAGCTGTTGACTTCTTCAGAAAAGGGGGCCTTTCACGATCAGCTCTCGAACGTGCCCGAGATGCTGGAGTACTTGAATCAGATAACAATGAACTGCTTCGATCCAGCTATCCTAACGGGGTTCAGTGTGATGACACCTCCCAATCAACTCCTGGTTCTCGAGAGAGCATAGAAGTGATAGGCCAACGGGCAACGAAAAAACAGAAAGTGGTTATAGACCCATACGAAGGATTGACTGGAAAGGAGCTGCTTGAAGCACAAGGCCTGGATGAAGGGTGGACAGAGTACAGCCTTCTACTTATGGATCGCCCTTCGACCGGGGTATACATAACCCCGTTTGGAAAACGTCGACCTATTGGTAAGAAAAGAGGGCGCCCAGGTAAAAGTCGTATTGCAGTCTTCAAATCACCGAGATTAAAGGAATTTGATTGGTTTGTGCCTCAGGCATCACCCGAACTTCCGGATGAAGAGACCACTTCGATAGTTTCTGCAAGCCTGCAGGCGGCATCCGGGAACCTGTCCATGGAAACGCGTCCTTGCCGTCCAGTCAGAGCTGTTACCCAGCGGCAAGTATATTCTGGTCTTAATGAGGATGAGCCGGAGGGTACACCACAGCTGTCCGTCAATGATGAATCGGATGCGGAATGGAATCTGAAGAACCGCCAGGTAACCGGAAAAAGGAAAGCATCGGACACAGGTGGGCCAGAACCCATAGTCACAGAAACAGCTCCTCGCCGTCGGAGGGGCAGGCCACCGAAAAAAAGGAAGCATGATACTGAAGTGGAAGCTCCAATCGCACTTACTCCAGAGGCAAGCTCGTTGGTCGACGATACGGGGTCAAGCAGAACACAGATGGCGGAACTATCAAATTCTGCCCCTGTACCTGTGTTATTAGAGCAGGAATCGATCGTTACCTCTCCTGGAGGTGGACAGGCTACTGCTCCTTGCTTGCTGGCGACTGAAACTCAAGAAACAATCCCTGACGAAGACCCAGGAGAAACTGAGATGAAAAAGGAGCCCACATTTGATCTATATGGCAATCCTGTCACTGATATAGTACAGCCTGGGAATGAAACTGCAGGAATTTCATTAGAGCCCATTGACGCCACCGTTTCCGATGCCCAGAATTCGTTGGATACCCCTATCACTAGAGTTGATGACATCAAAGGAACTCTTAAGAGAGATATCAGATCTGGTTCTGTGGGCGTACTCAGAAGAAAGATCCTTCTGGATATCCTAGAAAAGGGAGGCGGCCTATATCCTATGGGAAGTGAAGTGTGGTATCCATTTACTACTCAGTGGTTGAAAATGAATCAAAGCGCAAAACCGGACGCACGAACCGTCAAAAATGCAATGAGAACTCTCATTGAAACTGGGAAGGCCAGGAAGCACACTTTTACTGGGAGAAACTCTAAAGGCCTCATGGTAACGAAGAGTATTTTGTCCTTGCCAGAAATTACAGGAAACCATCCAAAATTAAGAGCCATGCAGAAGGAAATGCTTGATGCAGACCCCCAGCTTTATCTACCCCTAGAAGTTGAAATCGATCCAGAGTTGAGAAAATCGAATCGTGGATTCTTAGGATACGGCGTTAAACTTCCTGATATTGATGGGGAAGTTAATGTAACACTTCATCAACCCCCAGCTACAACGCGCAAACAGCCATCTAGGGCGAGAAGGCGATGGAAAATGAACGACTTTGAAGGCGAACTCTTCGAGTTTGATATCAGAGAACTATCATTCCCTTTTGACTCTCCTCCAATTGAACGTCTGGAGAGTATACAGCGATTGGCACAAGGGCGTTCGTATTTGGCTTCTTTTGGCTCATCAACCCCTGGTATCTCCTCCCAACACACGAGGTATCCCGTATCTGCATTGCCGACAACATCAAAAACTAGATACATGATAACTCCTGAGTCAATGCTCATGTGTCCGCTGCAGGTATATCACTCATCTACAGGGACTTTTGGAACAGGTGCCTATATTCCTGGTAAATATAGGGTATATCCTAGGCATCATCGCCAACAGGATATGATACGACCGGAAAATCTAGCGAGCATCCTATCCCAAAGAGATAATTGCAAGTTTGATCGCTCGAAATTTTCTGACCCGGTATCCAACCAGTTCTTTTATGACGTTGACAGGATCAAATACTGGGAGCACCGATGTCCAGAAGTATTTGACATGCCGAACGATGATTTTGTTTTCATAAATCATACCATTGATGAACTCCCAGAATGTCCACCTCTGGAAGGTGTAATACAGTTTGAAAGCGACGCCACGTCTATTACTGAGATGGAGCTCACACGAAGACTAACAAGACAGTTAGCTAGGAGATATCAACCTCCCGAAGTTGCCCTTGCGCGCCATTTTGGCTCTGATCGGAGGCAGCGATGGAGGGAAGGGGAAACATACACTGAGACCACACGGAAACTTACCCAGCTACAGGAACCAAAATCGGCTGGTGACGCAGATAAAATTAAGAATCAGAAGGCAAGGCGTGTTAACTCTTTACCGGCGAAGGTAGCTCAGCGGCTTATGGTAGCTATGGTTGTCATCCGCACCCTTGCCGGAGGATTAGAAGGAAGAATGGTTGAGTGGGCCTTGATTGCCCCCTTATTCCCGGATTATACCCCCAAATTCATCCATGACCGCGGGAGATTGTTAACAGGGAGGCATAGACTGCAGCTGTCGAAAATGCAAAGTGATTTTCAGGAGAAGTTTGCAGATGCCTACGAAAGGGGAGAAGTGCCACCAATCAATTTCGATAATCTAGAATCTTATGACTGGGAATGGATTGTGGACTGGGCATGCAGGAATATGGAAGAGCCTAGTATGGGTAGGCTACCGAACCTCCCAGCATCTCGCCAACAATTCGACAGTCTATTCGAGATTCGAACAGAGCCCGGCCAACAAGTTGACGAGATTTACAACTACACTCCCCCTACTACGATACCAAGGAAACGAACACTACTGGGAAACCTGTTACTCTCCAGTAACATATTTGACGATCGCTCGCCCAAACCAAGGGCAGCTGAGCTTGAGCTTCTTGACGTGGCAAAGTCCTGGGTTCGTGCTAATGTCGTAACTCCTGAAGAGACTTATAAGCCAGTAGAAGCTGGTCAAACAATGAGGCAATTTGGCGAGGATCTCTTGGGAAGAGCAATCCAATCCCTCATAACTGAGCGCGTTATCTCTATGGGTAACAAGGGCCGAGTAGCTCCTGGACGCAATTTCGATCTTACAGAGCAGTTCCTTGGTGCCCTCACACGCAGACGCCCCGTTGAATTAACCCAGCTAAAACAAGCGTCTTCTTTCAAAACAGAAGTCCTTGATCCTGCTTTTCTTTCTGAAGGGTGTTATAACGTGAAGTATGAGGCGGCGGATGGTGATATAATTGCTCTGCTTAACCTAGTTGCAAAGGGTCACATTGTATTACTACCCAGGGACCCTCCTCGTAACAAATATGGGTTAACCGACGGAGGATACCTTACAAGGCTTATGGATAAAGATAAGCTGCGCTTTAACGTTGAGGTCCACCCAGTCCAAGACCGATATTTGTACGGCAACCCAATCGCCCAGTCATTAACGGAGATACCGATACCAAAAGGCGATTTGGGTAACTTGTTGATTAGTAGAGAATCATTGACATCAATGCCTAAAGTTCCTCTTTGGTTTGATGTACACTCCCAGTTCGTGAAAATAGTGTGGGAGCTCGTTTTAAGCGCGGTTGTCGGTGTACTTGTCGCTCGACCGGCCATTGGAGCTAAAGGGATAACACGTATGCTGGAGCCTTGTCTAGCTGAATGGGAGACACTCTTAGTTCTAGGCTGGCTGGCCGACGTCAGGATTATTGAAAGGACGCAAAATCCAACTGCGAATCATGCTGAAGATATAGGGTGGGTTGTGGGCGAGTGGTGGTGGATGGTACTCAGCCCATCCGAGAATAATCAAATGTAGATGGTGTCATGTATATTAGGTATATTTACTGTGATAATTAAACACATCTTAATCACTTTCATACCCGGTATAACTTAATTTTTATCGATTTTGCTATTCAAAGCTAAGAATAAAATCTTTATGTCAATGCAGAATGTTACATGTAGCAAGCTCCGGACTCCGTTATTATGAATCCCAATCGCCTGTTAACGCCCGTACAGTAAGAATATCACAGGTGATATGTTGTTAGGAATAACTCCAGCCGTAGACCTGCTGTCCGCCATAGGCGGTATCCCAGTTGCAAGGGGAAAAGGCCTAAGCTTAATACAGTCAAATTTCCGCAGGAGCAAACAAAACCTTTCGAAGAATGACAAAAGCCAAAGCGCATATAACACCTATAATGGCCCTGTCTAGCCAGGGCCCTTCATCTTGACCGGGGGTATTCCGGACGGATACTTGCGTGCGATCCTGCCGAGGTGCTAAGGGTACCTGAGGCCGAATATCTGTGGCGGACTGGCTTGAGGCTGCGGGTACTTCTGCCCTACGTGGGGTTTCCGTAGTTGTATTTGCCGTTGGTGTAAGGTTCTCGAGTGCTGATGCTACAGATCGAGGTATTTCTTTGGTATCATCGTCGGATTGAGGAGGCATTGGCTCCTGAGTAGGCGTTTGGGCCTGTTCAGAACCTGGCTTGGATCCTTTTTCTAACTCATCGCGATATCCAAGCTTGAGACCTTCAGGAACGGTGTCGGCGCCATCTTGCTGTTCCCCTGGAGTACCCTCGTTTTCAACATCGACACCTTTCTCACGGCATATGTCTTGCCATTCAGCCAAAACCTCCGCATTCGTTTTTCCTTCAGCGCAACTCGGGCAAACCCAGTCTCTGCTTTGTTTTGCCCAGTCCTTCCTAGCTTCACTGCTTGCGTCTAGTCCGCCAACTTGACCCTTTGGCTCACCGTCCATAAAGCTTCTGATTGCAGTCAAGGCGGTCCGAATACCCCACGCTGGTTGCCAGGTCCGCTCATGATGACCACTTATACTCAGACATATCTCGCGGTTGACTTCAAACCGGCCAGATGGGGTTAAGAAACGAAACGAGGGAGGCCGTAACGGATATTGTGGGGGAAGGACAATACGGCCATGATATATGCCACCAGCGTAAGGCGAAGGAGCAGGAGGTCCTGCAAGGGTAAAATGCCAGTCGAAGAGGTTTGAGTCGGACACCGGATGGGCGTGGAAGTGAGGAGACGGCGTAGAGGATGATGGAGAGAGCTCTTGAGCCTCTTTCATAAGCCGTCGAAGGGTGGTGTTATTAGCAGACATGGCGAAGGGCAATGCGTATTGATCAACCTATGCTATTCGAGCAGCAAGGATTCCCCGGCGTCTGCATCGTTCAGCTTGCCCGGTCACTCTATCGGTTCGGATATCGACAGCGCAGTAGCTCCGGCGTCGCTGTTGTTTCCAACTATCAACATATCCAGGTTGGTTATTCAATGTTGGCCTTTGGCTAGGGGAGTCAACTAGATTTTCACGTGACCGATCAAATTCAACGTTGATGGCTGGAGAATTGAACGAGCATTGAATGACTAGTTATTGAAACATCGCGCTACTTGGACTTTCTTAATCGGACAGCAGTCCAGAGAAGTAAAGGGACGTGTATTTGCCTAGGGCTGAGAGGGGGCTTATATTATATTTTATTCGTATTAATACCAGTCACACCTATATGCACATTGGGATTCAAATATTAGAAAAAGAGAAAATAACTACTCTTGAAAACATATCTTTAACAGAACTGAAGCCTCAAATACAAACGCGCCAGTATTCCAAAGAGACAAAATCCAACTCCTGGTCTAGAGTACGGTATGAATGAAGGTACCGTACAGGACATAGTCATGCAAAAGTCAAATAAGCAGTAAGAATACAGGAAGAAAGGGCAAACAAACAGAGGGTGATCCCGAGCAATCAGTCCCAGTTGACCCATTCTTCCGTCGCCCCCTTTGCAGAACCATTAGGGAGGGCTTGTTTAGCATTATCGTCTCCTACCAGAGCATGCTGCTCGGTAGCCTCGTCAGAACTCGTGCTGTAACGATCAGAAACCTCATCAATATCTTCTTCCCTTTCCCCGGGCCGGGGTCGAGGAGACATGGGGCGTAGCGTTTTCATCGAGACACCAGTGGATGGCCGGTCCTCAACACTGCTTCCAATATAAGCCGATCCCCTCATATTTCCAGTACTATTGTACCTTCCAGTCCACGACTTTCCCGGATGAGGTTCAGGAGCATGCCAGGAGTGATGCTGGGCTGTAGTTGGTAGGGACCGGCTTGTTTTCGCCGCTTGCTGCCAAAACTGTTGACGCTGGAGGCGTTCTTCCTCCCACCTTTTATGGCGCTGTTGTTCGATCGTAGCTTTAGCCTCCTGCCATTTGCTGCTATGTTCCCAGCGCCATCCATCACCAACGGTGGTGCAGATCGGGACGGGCCAGAGAAAGGGATTTGGTCCAAAGAGGTGTAGAAAATTCCTTCGCCACCCAAGGTCAAATGCATGGGGCAGCTTCTCACTGTCACACTCGGCTAGGTATTCTTCGTATCTATCATGCTCCCGGGCTCTATCTAGTTCTCCATACGACCTGAAGAGAGATTGCTGAGCTGGGGTTTGGTATTGGTCGTAGTGTTCATCAGGGTTATAGTCGTTGTGGTGATGCCTTGTGTCTGGGATTCTCGTCCCTAGCGTAGGTGACGCGCGTTCTTCACCTTCTTCGGCGCGAGTGACGCCTGGTATCGCATTTGCATGCATATCAATAAACTGCTGACCGTAGCCCTGAAGGGTTCGACCGATTTTGTTCGTGGCCGCCCCAGGGTTTCGAGAGTTTGGCTGGTGTTGCTGCCATTCTCTTCTTTGCCGATCCAGCGTCTTCCTGACCGGTACCAAATACCTTGTCTTCTCCAAACATTCAATAGTCGTTAATCCGCGGGCTGAGAGGCTAATATGCCAACCCGTAAAGCCACTTATTACCAGAGACATCATCCCCGAAACGACAGCCAGTATTATAACATTAACCGGCAAAAATCGTTCCATATATTCCACATTTTTCATCATCTCATCCCACACCCAAAGCACTGAAACGGCAAAGCAGACATAACAAAAAAGGCACGTATAAATCAAAAACAACAAGAAAGCTTTATAGTTGTACATTCCAACGCAAGTGGCCAGCCACGGGCAGTGATGATCCATTTTCAAAACACAGCGTCCGCAAGTCGAGCAGTGATGTGTCCGGTCTGGTTTCCGGCACCGACATTTCTTGCAGTAGCGCATTTCTCCCATGGAGTTTACCGTGACAGAGGTATATTCGGAATCTTCGGTGGTTGGGAGATGGCTATATTGATGCCTGGATCGGCCATAAGTGGAGGTTTGTAGGGGCGTTCCGGGGTCGGTAAAGACCGCAACTGTATACGACGTGTTCATCAGCAGGTAAAGGGCTATCCCAAAAACGCTGCCGAGTGTCCCTGTAGCCTCGTTAGATATATCCTGCCAAAGGCCTGTCTTCTTTGAATATGGATGCACGTACCTTTCCACCAGTTCCTTGTATGGTATATACTGACCCCAGCTTCTACCGATACCGCCCATGTCGTAAGCCCGTACACAAAAGCAAGAGGAAAATATTTAAAGGCATTGCAGAGGAGCTTTTCGCAGGTTTTAGCCAGCCCGCTCTTTCGGCGCTTCGTGGGAGATGGGGGCTCCGGCACTGCAGAAGCAAACGCCTCCATGGTGTCGAACGAGTGGTAGGGCGCGCTGAAGTTATTGGAAAGCTGCTCGTGAGGATGTCCAGTTCATCATGGGAGCTGCTGGTTGCGTACGGAGTAGTTATCGGTGGATAGAAGGAACTGGAACAGCTGGGCTAGTGGAGGATGAGGTGAATGGAAATAATAAGCGCTTCCGTAACTATCGAAAGGAAAGATATTTACAGGGCAGAGGAACAGGCGCTGCCCTTGCTGCAAATATTGCAACGCGTGCAATCCGATGCAGGTATCGAAATAGATAACCAGATGGATGGAAAAAGGATGACGAAGATTGTCGATGCTTGCGATATGATTGATGATGCTGCGCCGCGGGATCGGCTGATGGAGCTTGGCGGACGGGATATCGTTGACAAACGACTTAGCTATGGTGGATGATATTCTGGAATTTGCTAAGGAGGATTATTGGTAAAATAGCTAGCTAGAAATATTGAAATCCCCTGGATAGTTCATATCCCTCAAGGTCTTAAATCTTGTTGAATACGAGCTCACTCAGCGGAGCCATTAGTTAATAGTGGTCAATAGTCGCGTTTGGCCTGGACAGGGGATGCCTGGCAAGAATTCTCATTCCTGTGGCTGGAAAGGAGGAAAAACATCCAACTCTTCGCGTCCGTATTTTATATCTTCAGGGCCATACCAAAAGCCCTTGTCCTTCTCTAGAATGCCTATGGGCGATATATTTGCCACTTTTGTCTGACGGCTCTGCGTGCTCGGTCTGTCGACGATGACGGGTGGGATTGGGAGCTCGTCTCACTGCGTCGATGGTTTATAGCCGTCTTCATTTCTGGAATCTGGTTTCGATAGGACTCTCGTTGATTCTGATGTTAAATGTAGAGCTGTCAGCTGCAGTACTCCGTACTTGATAGGTAAAGGGGAGGACCGTGATACCCAGCTTTCCAGCTTGAAGTCTTCCCTGGATAAGAAAACTTGAAGTAACGCAAGATGCCATGATGATACCCTTTAAGACAGAGCTGGGACGCATGTTATTCTCCATATATCCCGTGGCCACTGCATGGCAGCTCCAGCATCCAGCAAAGGACTTTGGCACTGTGCTTGGAAGACTGAAAGCAGCAGAACGATGCTGTTTTGTGCCAGTGGAGATCAGGGCCTAGTATAAGGAGAGATCAGTTAAACGCTCATCAAAAATGGCTTTGGGGCATACTCATCGTCGTCTCATCTCGCCGTTGTTCTGGTGGCGAATCTACAGGTCCTCAGCAGGAAAGAATCAATACCACATGCATAGCTATAGGCATAAGGAACAGTGAGATAAAAAGGAGAATAGAAAATGTTAAAATGTTGGTGTTCTTGATAGCTAGTTACAAGACTTCTATCTACCTATCTATTCTATCTTTTTTTTTTTTTTTTTTTTTTCGTTGTGTCTGTTGATTGAGACTGAGAGACTGTGTGACTTTGTCTCTTGTGTGTGTGGCTAGCTAATAATCTATCTATTGACCTCGTCTTAGCTTCATCCCTTAAGGGGACTACTAGTCACCAGCACTGCGTAGAAGTGCGAGGTCGTCGCTGGTGGTCTGCCCAAGTACGCCAGGCGAGGGAGGAAACTCGTGGCTGTCAGGCAGACTGGTCCTAGGCAGCCTCCCAAGCTCATCTCGAAAGCCGGTGTTGAACGAGCTATCAAGAAGCGCTTGAGAACCAGGAAGCTGTCAGATCAGGTGATTGTGCTGCTGCTCACCTCCATAGACAGCCCATACAACCCGTCCTCCGACAGAATCCCAGGACATACACCGTTAGGTGCATATCAGAGACCGCAGACCCATCCTTGTTTGTGCGAAGAGAAGAGAAAAAAGGGGGGTGGTGTAAGAGAGTGAATGGTATGAAAAAGTGAAGGCTGGGAGGAAGAAAAAAAAAGGGAAGAAGAAAAATTTAGGAAGAAGAGGGAAAGGAGAGGCCTTTTATAGACGAGGGCTGGCGGTGGCGAGGCCGAGCGTGATCTGGTTGATCTGGTTGATCTGATTGATTCAACGGAGCAAAATGATGTGATCTTGAGGTGATGACGACGCTAGGAAAGCAAACAAAGGAAGGTGCAGGAGGACAAGATGCCGTCATAGCAAGAGGACAGGACAGCGTTTATGTCCTCTGCGGTAAACAGTTTATTGCATGAAGTTGGCTCGACGTCATCTGGAGGGTCGTTCCTTCCATATCAAGAGGATATAGCCAGTGTGTCCTTGGGTTTGTTTTGTTTTTGGTTTATTTTAAGACGTCATAGTTGTTTGGTATATGGGAAAGAGCAAGAGTCATGGAGGGTGAACCTCTCCTGCCACAAAAGCTCACTCGTAGCCGCCACTAAACACCTGCCAGCCATGTCTTGACAGCGAAGAGGAAACAGATATCAAGGCAAGCCGCCGTGGCGTATCATGCATAATAGAACATGATATATAGAATGCACGAGAGGTACTGATATATCAAAAAGTCAAGATTGGTAGATCGAGGCTGAATTAGAGTATCGGGTATTATTAGATAATCACTTTATCTCAACGCATGTTCAAACGACATAGGGTAGGACGTTATACAGCAGATCTAAGGGGGTATATCGGACCATAAGAAGTAGATAACAGAGAAATACAAGGGTATATATTGTGTTTGTAGTCCTGAGGTTAGTGTAGTTGGGTATCTCTTCATCATAGCTATTACAGTATCATCATCCTTGTATGAATCTCACTTTGGGGGCCACACATCACTGAAGCTGCATGATAAAAACGATTTATCATGCCGGTCATGTACACGGTGCATTAGCTAGTATTTAGAGAGGCATTGCATTAATAGTATAGCAGTTAACACCAAGGATTATGATTCCTGTCATTTAATGCCCCATAATACATCGCTCATTGATGTCCAGTTATAATACAGGAATATCAGAGCAAGGTCCCCTACTCCACTGGCTTTAGCTGGAGACATGGAGCCGCTAACGAACCAGGCCAGGTTAGCTACTCCATCGATGCCATGAGGTTGGCGTTTGCCGGCTTGGCCAACCGTTAACTTGACTCGCTAATTATCAGCAAGCAACTCTGGAAATAGATAGCATGTTATCTCATAGTTAAGTAGATAACCACGAGTAATAACATCTGGCGGAAGCATGTTTGTCCAGATATGGGCCACGAGGCGGAGGAGTCTCCCGTTTTATCGTACGCGTGCGTGTCGTTGCCCCTTAAAAGGTCTGTGATATAGGCGCAGGTTGCAATCCATGCTGGTCAGAACAAGCTTTGTGCCGAAAATAGTGTAACCTGGCTACGATTTCGCTGACGAACCCGTCTTCTGTGGCGCCGCCAGTCAAGAATACTCCGTCTCCTGTTGGACAGCGCCCGGAGCAGAGCTGGCTAACAAAGCGAGGGAACCGGTCTATCATCTCTCAAGCGAGTCTGAAACACGCCCAGCTTATGCAGCCAACATCAGCGTCAACCTCCTCCTCCTCGTCACAACCACCTCCGCCAGCTCATCCGACCCCAAGCCTTCAAGCCACCAAGCCACCAGACGTGTGTGTCTCACAGTTATAAAAAGCAACCAAGCTTCATCCTCGCTCGCAGGCACAGCCGCAATTTCCAGGGAACGCCAGGCGGCGCTAAACCCAAAGGGGGAAGAATCAAGATCCATCAGCAAAATCCGCTTTGGCGCTTGACGAAGGAAAAGTGTTTACGCAAACGACGACGTCGCCAAACCAAACCAGCCACCACAGTCATACTTCTTCCTTCTTCTCTTCCTCTCGCTCTGCCTCTCCCACTCTCTCTCTTTCTGTCTCTGCAGATTCACTCTTTTGCCCTTGTTGGCCCTTCGTTCAGCTGCGTGGTGTCTTCCTCTAGGCCCCGGTTCGGTTCGTTCTGCGGCGTGCTCTTTACCCTGCGTGCATAGACGGCGTCAAGATGGCTGCCAACGAGTACTACAGCAACAACTACTCGCAAAAGCCCCATCCACCGATACCTCACGATAATGACAATAACGGTGACCCATGGAGTCATCAGCAGGCCTCTTCGCCTACTGCGACGCCGGGCGGATATGGTCACAACTATGACAACGGCAGCAGATACGGCCACTACCACTCGAATTCAGACAACGATATGGGGGATAGCCGGATGGGCCATAACAACGACTACTACTCAGAAGATATCCCCCTCAAGCCAAATGCTGCTAACAACAGCAAGCCCGACTGGGCAGACGACACGAGATACCATCCGTCTTCGCACGACTTGCCGACCGAGCCTTTGAATCTCAGTGATCCCGTCAGACGGCCGTCTCGAAGGAGGAAGCAGGGATACTTTGCAAAGAAGATTGCCTGGGTTACCTATATAACATCACTGGTGCAGATAGTCGTATTTATCGTCGAGCTTGTTAGAAATGGTAAGTCTTTTTTTCAACCCTCATAGAAACTAGTTCTCTCGCGTGCTTCTGCTAACGTTTGATTCAGCCCAGTTAACAGGATCTCCCATCATGACAAAACCCTCCTTCAACCCTATGATCGGTCCATCACCCTACGTCCAGATAAATCTAGGAGCTAGATTCGTTCCTTGCATGCGTAATGTGGATAAACTCCAAAACAGTCCCGATCCCGTCGTCTTTCCTTGTCCAAATACGACCACCACGGAGCCCAAATGTAGGCTCTCCGAGCTCTGCGGATTCGACGGTGTACCTGATCCGAAACCAGGTGGGAGCCTCGACGACAAGCCTGAACCAAACCAGTGGTTCCGTTTCATTGTACCAATGTTCCTCCATGCCGGTCTCGTACACATCGGTTTCAACCTTTTTGCCCAGCTAAGTATTGGCGCTGATATGGAGAGGGCTATTGGCTGGTGGAGATACGCGATCGTCTATTTCTCCAGCGGGATATTCGGCTTTGTGCTAGGCGGAAACTTTGCAGCTCCTGCCATCGCGTCCACCGGAGCATCTGGCTGCCTCTTTGGCATCTTCGCTCTCTGTGTCCTTGACCTCTTCTACACTTGGGGCAAGAAGCAGAGACCATGGGTTGACCTAATGTTCATGCTAATCACGGTAGCAATCTCATTTGTCTTGGGTCTGCTCCCGGGCCTGGACAACTTTTCTCATATCGGCGGCTTCCTTACCGGTTTGGTACTAGGAATCTGTATCCTTCGGTCACCAGACACCTTGCGAGAACGTATCGGAGTCAAGACTCCCTACGTCTCTATGGGCGGTAACGTGGGAGCCGATGAAGATCAAAAGAAGTTCTACAAGCAACCAGTCAGCTTTTTCCAGGGCCGTAAACCACTGTGGTGGGGATGGTGGCTACTCAGAGCTGGCGCCTTGATAGGCATAATCGTTTCTTTTATCGTCCTTATCAACAACTTCTACAAGTACCGTACCACATGTTCATGGTGCAAGTACTTGTCATGCTTGGTATGTTCACCTTTACCTAATAACTCCCTCCTAGCGACAGAGATGCTGACAATACCTTTTTCTCTCTCTCTATAGCCCATTAGCAACTGGTGTGAGATTGGCGACTTTACGACCACACCAATCTCAAAGAACACACGAAATTTTCCGTTTTAGATGCTATTCGCCCCCTGATGGCTGGCCTTTCTTAATGCAATGCTTCTTCGTTTGGTTTGCCACGATGAAATGTCCAACACTATTGCCTTGATGGCTCCATACCCTCTCCTTGCTCACGGCACACATTCATTCTTCTACAGCCCGTTAAAGTTACCCTGTATAGTTTCTTTGCACCTTCTAAAGTCGCACTGTGTTTCTCTTGGGCTATGTACCCAGAAGGTCAGCATCAGCATAAATGATTCGGCGTTTTAGGGGTTAACGTTCTCTCTTTTTTTTTTTTAGTTGTCTTATTTTTTCTCTTTTCTTCCCTTTGAATGACTGTTGAGATTATTACATCCCGAGATATGGGATATCCAATTTCCTTATTGATTGATTTTTTTTTTCATTACTTTGATATAAATACTTGATTATGCTGCCCCTTTTCATATCCCATCACATTTAGACATGTGCAGACAATCAACTTAATTCTAGGAGATTACTTTGGAATCGCGTACTCCACGTTCTCTCCTTCGGCCTCAAGCCACTGGTGCCCTGCATCCCATACCTTCTGCAGCTCTCCGTCTCCGATCTTCAGGAGCCTCTCCAAGTCAGCCTTGGAGTTCTTCTCGAACCAACCCATGAATCCCAACAAGACCATGTCGGCATACCCAGGGCGCTCGCCCTCAAAGAATGGTCCACGGTTCTTCCTGGGGCCGGGACGTCCCTTCAGCATCTTCACCAAAACTAAGAACTCGGCCTCCGTTGCCTTCCAGGCCTCTTCCAGCGCCTCACCCCTCGCCTGGAACTCATCCATCGTTACTCCCAGGAACTGCTTCCGCGACGTATGGAAGTACTCACGGCTTCGCTCATCCAGGTACTTGGGCACAGCCGGGTAGGCAAATGGCAAGACAGGCGGGTAGATGCTGCGGAACACCTTCAGGACAGCAACGGCCAAAGCATAACTGGACTGTCCGTAGGGGAAGATAGACTTGTACCCTGCATCTGGCGGGAAGATGGTCTCGAGGTGGACGGCCAGGGCAAAGCTGTCGTTGAGCGTTGCGCCCTCGTTCTGAATAGATGGCTTATGCAGAATTGCTGGAAGAGTGTAGGGCACTCTGCCGCCTTCCAGCGGAGGGACATGGAGAGACTTAAGCAGAGGCTCAATGTCCGGCATGGCGATGTATGTTTGCGTGTAAGGAGCCATCTTGTAGTTCAACACCGCGCGGATGGGGAGGGTGTTGGGAGACCATGATCGTGTTTTACCTGGGGCCTCGCTGTGGATGTCGAAAAAATGCACCAGCGTTTCTCCTGGAGCTGGTCTCATTGCGGTCGAAGTGCTAGTTTACTTTTGTATAAACGTGTAGTCAGAATCTTGTATGTTGTATATGTTGATTGTCGGGCTTGATAACTATGGTCGAGCTGCAAGCCCCACGTCCGGCCGTGTTTATGAGGATATATATATCTTTTTCCTCCCTTCGTATCAACAGACACCCTGTCTCTGATCCCCGCAGCTTGATTTATAATCGCTGGTTTCACTGTTTCCTAGTGGTAAAAGAGTCCTGATATGCCGCATGCATCGATGTAACTGCATTATTTACTGCACGACGGACGCCCCGCATGCGAGACGATGGAAGGAAAAGGGCATTCCGTATCGTGCGAAGAGACACTGATATCCGGCTGTAGAGGGCCAAAGGACAATTTCTGGTTTATATTTTTGGCTCTATCATATTTGAACAGGTTGAGTATATGTCGATATAAGGTGAAAAACAGCCCCGAGAGGTCATGAGGAGGAAGGGGAAATTCTCCTAGAGAAGATCTTACCCTTGCTCATGTTGCCTGGGGAAGAGCGGCTGAACCCTCGAGACGACAAGGAATCCACGGAATGTTCGGTTCCCATACAGACTGTGACACGAATTACAGGAAAAGACACCTGGCTGGCACATCACGGAAGCTGCCATGCTACTTTGTCTAGATGAAGATTCCGTAGCAAAACCACCGCTTCACCTGGCGTGGACGGGAGCCGCTCATGGAAACCGTGTCTCTACATCGTACCGCTGTTGTCGCCAACTTGTACCGGTGCATCCATAGGAGAGTGCAGAGGCGTGTAACTGCTAATCTTGCTCTATTCCCGTGGCCTGTGAGATACCTACCGGGAAACGGCGTTGGGTGTCCCTTGTCTCTGCATTGCTGTTCTGCATATATACACGGATATCGATCTCCCAGTACCTTCAATGGCCGTATCTAAAATCGAAAGAGAAAAATATCCAGCATTCATGTTTTGATTTTCAACTGTTTGACGTGCTGACTTGGAATACAGCTTCAGGAGACATCACACCAACTGGCTGAACTTTTGGCTGCGATAATTCAGCTGCAGCTCACAAGCCATGCGGCTTTTTGGGAATCTGTTCAACATCGTAGCTCACTTTGACGCTGTGTATCCTAAGGTTAGTTAATATGTTAAACGAGAGATCTTCCTATCGCATACACTTTCTATGTGTATCTTGATCCATGTAGTTCTCCGGATAGCGACTGTACATCGGCGTTCTTATCTTTGACAAAGGAACACCCAGCAGACGAGTTATGTGCAGCCAGGTTGGTATGTACCTGTAACCTACCCGCTACTTGCGTAGATCAGCCACAGATCAGCGGAATAGCTAGTCGGTTTTACGAAGAAGAGATAAGTCAACAAGTTAACTAGTTAAGACGCGGCCATAGTAGACGCCGCCGGAAGCGCGAGCCTGGGGTAGTTTGGACACGAGTTGGTTGAAACCTAGAGACAACTCTTGCTCTAAATGAATATCTGAATAGTTATGTATTGTGGTCCATCTCATGAAACGGATTTGCATCTCTGTCTGCATCTTCATCTTCTTCTTGCTGATATGAAATTTGATAAAGGAGAGAAGGAGGAGGAGGCGGTTAGTTACGTCATCACAAAGTCGACCCCTCGGGGCTTCTGCTGCTGCGCCTTTCTTTTTGGTCTTCTGATCTTTTCAATTGAACGATGGCGATGAACAACTTCATCCTACCGTCATCTTGACGAATGCGAGGCGTCTCGAACCGCTATTGGTTTGCGGAAATCTGAACACAAACACGACTCAACTCGCTTGTCTATCTGTCTTTAGCAAGCTATAGCAAGCTCCAGGCTGCGGGGACGACGAGCTACCACGCACCAGTTGAACAGCATGGCAGAGTCCAAAGAAGGGCCTGATCCTTTGATCGCAGCTCTCCCTCCCGCAACAGACTACCTGACCTACCTAACACTCGTCGAATACCAGTTAACCCCTGCCCGGTTGCCGGTCCTTCACCAGGTGCTCCAAGACGAGACGTTGACTATAAATATCGGCTGGGATCTGGTCAACATACTCCTCCCCCTTTTACCGCACTCAAGGGAATGCCTCGACGATGTTGCGAGGCTTGGAAACCCACGGGAGGTTATTCTCCGGGTTTCGGAAGCTCTGATGAAGCTCCATGCCGCTGAAGATGAATCTCAGCAAGACGAGGATGAGGGAACCGATGATCAGCAGGCGGGCGAGCATCAGCGTCTACCTCTTCATATTATACAGTTCAATTGCCTCTTGTCGATGCTTTCTACATTACACTCGCGAATTAAGACGAAATACACAAGTCGATTTATTGCAACCTCTCTTCATGCTGTTCTAGAAGCATACACCGAATTCCCGACTACAGAAACTACAGCTGCCATTCTAGAGCTTCTTAGAGACTTATCAGGGAAGAAGCGGCCGGCTTTACCCCCACGATGTCTTTCGGAAAAGGCGCTTACACGCTCCACTGGAGACAAGGCGCCAGATCCGGAGGCGGATGAACATGCAGAAGGAGACTCGTCTGATGAGGCTAGAGAGGAGAAGTTGACCCAAAGATTTCTGCAGTTTGGGCTTATTGAAACCCTAAAGACATATCTCCTACAATGTGTCGACGAACCAGGGCCATCTGGTATGCAATGGGCAATCCGTGTTCAGGAGAAGCTTGATACCCCTCGTGCAAAAGGCGCGATCCCCACATGCCTTGACCAATTTCACAATGTCGAGTATTTGAGGGAGAGGGATACTACCCTGGGCAAGATAGTGGTAAGTAACCGTTTATGCTCAAGTTTGACATTATTTTTTATATCCTACTAACATCACTACCAGGCACTATCAAGAGATTTTGGGCTGGAGACGGAAGTCTTGCAAAAGATAATATTTAAAGGAGAAAACGATCTTCCACCCCCGCTGGATTTTGATAATCTACCTAAGTCTCCCGATGACATCCCTCTAGAGAGACATGGCTGTATTCTCCTCCTGGCCGCGCGATGTGTAACGGCTACACTATTTGGGTCTGGTGCGCTTAAGCAGCCATTACACCTGTACCCAGACATTGTTAATATTCTGCTTAATTTCCTCGGAGATTATGCGTCCCCGTATACTGCAGCCGGGGGGGAACCAACAGCATTAATCGACTCTATCTTATCACTTGCCGCTGTGGCCAAGACTAGCACCCCTGAAGACGCCGAAGATGAGGAAGGGTTCAAGACCCTTGTTTATGGTTTGACGGCCTGCTCTCGTGGTCCTGCGCAGTTCAGATCCTTTACCCGGCTAGGATCTATTCCTGCTCGTGCATTCCATGCATACCCGGACATTCAAGCGAGGTACAACCTAATTCTGGAGATTCTGAGTGAAGACGAATCGGAATATGCGAGGCTTCCTGCCTTGCAATGGCTCAAGGAGGAGCTTATATTTCACTCTGCCAAGGCGACCGAGACTGAGACCGATAATCCGTTTTCTGACCCTGAAAGCTTTACCTTCTTATTTCAGTCTATCTACAAATTCTCGAACCCAGCGCAGACATCTACTACACCTGCTGCCCCTGAGGGTATAACGTCGGAAGTATGGATGCAATTCATTCAGGAGATTGCACCGATGTACCTTGCGAAGTTGAACCTTTATTACTTTCTCTGTAAGTCGCCTAAACTTGCTGAGCAACTTCATATCTCCACCTTGCAACCGATATTTGATGGGAGGTTCTTAGATCCACTCAAGTCCTTCATAACTTGCCTCTCAAATCCTGCTGTCCTTTCGCATGTTGAAGCGGAGATGGGTGAGGCTGCCGTGCAGATGGGAAAGAGTGCAGCAGAAGTTGTTCTACAGATAATTTCGGATATTGAGCGCGCTACATAGAAGCTTAAGGAGTATGGTTACCTATTTTTTGTGTTTCTATGGAATTAATACATCCTTCTTAAACGCTGGATTCAGCTTACTGATATCAACTACTCCTTACCGACTTGGTTGTTGATACTCTATATAGCCCGGAATATGGCGCTGTGCGCTAAACAGGTGGCATTTATCGACATGTCAAAAGACTGGTCGGTAGCTTTTCAGAGAATGCCCGTGGTTTAATAATATGTACCTTATGTACAGCAGAGTACCTTTGGTCAAACGGCACTGATAGCAAAACATATACCAACTTTCCACTTATCCGACTAATGAACCCAAACGAACGCATCCTTTACCGACAAGGCAATAAGAAAGGAGCGACAAGAAAAAAACTCGAAACTGTTGCTCGTACTCGTAATGACCGGCAAGAATGACACCAGCCTACTACATCCATCTATACCCTAACGTCGTTTGAAGAGTATCGTGAGCATTCGTTGAAGCTGGATCGGAAGGAGTATAAAAACAACCCAGATAATGGCAGCGATTACGGCAATGATACTGCCGTTGATAATGAGAATCTCGATAGGATGCATTCCGTGTACGGGTATCGCAAGTCCATAATGGTAGTACCTCCAACCAAGCCAGGTAATGACTACTCTTCTCCATGTGGGCCTCAAGGCGTGGGCTGCCTGAGCTATGGGCCTGGGACGATGCGTAACCGGGCGTGGAGGGAGTCTAGACGAGTAGAACAGCACTGGCTGGCGGACGAGTAGTTTTTCTGGTTGTTTGCCTTTGATTTTCTTTTTGGATGCTTTCTTGAGGTCTTTCGGGTGTTTGGCCATACTTTGAACAACGGATTGGAGCATGTCACGGTCTGTACGGGTAAGAATAGATATAAACGAGTGGCTTTGTATAGAGAAACACCTGTCTCGGTAAAACTTCAGGTTACTGCTTGTTCATCAACAAATTATGGACCGGATTTGTTGATCTTGGTATGCAACGTAGGGGAAAAGGGCAAGGGGAAGCCGCTTTCCTTGCACACAACTCGCTCTTACTCACAGCTGCAAACCTGAGCATTTTGTTCTTTCCCAAAGATGGCGACGATGTCAATACCCCCATCATAGTGTTTTAAACACAGGGGGCGCGTTTTGGTAGAGTTGGTGTCGAAGCAGGGGTATATGGACGCTTTGAGATGAGATAAAAGACTCGTACACCGTAATAGGGTACCTGAATTCTCGTTACTATTAGGTTCAGGAAAAGAGACATTCTTGTAGACCTGGGCCGCTCCTTTCAAGGCTTAGTGCATTAGCCGCTGCATATCTCTTTTTTTTAACAATATTTAGGGAGGATAGCTTTCGAGAGTACTTGAAAGGGGCACAGTTCCGTTATAAACAGGTATATATGTGAATATAAAAGTTAAATATACACAAAAAGTCCTCCTTCCTTTCCCTTATGTTAATCGGTGCTCTCAGATCGTTGGCAAATAGTGGGAAAGGAGAGAAGGCAGGAGAAAGGAAAAATTTGTGTACATGAGATTGAGCCGTAATTATATATCCAAGCGTAGCTGGATCGAGAAGAAACGACCCTGCAGTAAAAAGAAATAAACATGAAGTCAACCGGACACCAAGGAAACCGAAAAAGAATGATTGGTGGTATCTCCTCCTTCCTCACCCCTCCCCCTTTTTTTGGTTTTCATGTCTGGTGTCACTCTGGTTCAAAACGCCTCTTGGAGTTGGTTGCTCGTTGAAGTGCATTGCTGGAGGGAAACCGTGCTAGCGAAGTGCACCGTTGGTCAAGGGCTGATTAAAAAAAGGGTGACACAGACAATTATACATGAACAGTAAAAAAAATGACTGGAAATAGTGCTAGGTGAAGGAACGATGGGTCGAAAGGGGTTGTAAATGAATGGTGAGATGTAGAATAATTCTTGTTCTCGGATAAAGCTTTCTCTGGCCTGGCAGCATCCGTCGTATGGTTGGTTTTGTATCAAATCTGGGAGGGAGAGCACGGCCGGATCCGGTAGATAGGACGTCGAGGGCGGGTTATCTCGTGGCTTCGACTATGGCGAAATATCGAAGTAGATATAATTCCATCACCGTTACCCTCCATGTTACCACCCCTTAGCTATCATCATTTCTTCACCATAGCCAAGGGTGTCTAGACAAACGTCTACATAACGATGCATTGGCCGGTGCTTCCACGGGCGTTGACGGGACCTATCACGGGAAGTTTTAGCCATTGAATCGCCCGTAAACTTGTGTCTTGATAGTTGAGGATTTAGTTGAAGATTTACTTACCAGTGGTCTGAGTCGGGGCAACGTAGGACTCCATTTTGATTGAGGGAGAGTTGGCTTGCTTGAAGCTTGAAAAGTTGAAGTAGATAGATAGAAGTTGATTGAGAAGTGCTTGATTGTCTTCGTGATGATGAAACAGATCCCTGAATGGAACGGCGCATGGAAGAGATTTATATAGACTCATTTTCCTGCTTTCTCTCCTGCATATCGAGCCATCGTTTTCGACCGGTACCGAGCCAAGGCATTGTATAGAAGGCAGAACTTGCCGCTCCAAGCGTCTATCTCTGAATATCTCTCGTTTTTCTTTCTTCGACAAAGCGCACGGTGCTCGGAGCATTGTCATTAATCTCTCACCACAAACGGCAGCGTTGAGGAGGATCCGGGTATTTTGCAGAAGTTCTTTATTCTCCTCCATCATTCGGTATGCAATGCACGGACTGGAAGTGGTTCGCTGCAAAGCATGGAGCTAGGGGATGAGCGATAAGCCTGGTTGGAGATAGTTTGAAAAGGTAGGAAGCACATGCTGAGAACTCAGGATATCGTTTTTTTATGCCAAAAACGGAACGAGGCAAGGTCCTAGAAATAGTTAATGATAAATTGTGTTGCGGGTAGAAAGACTGAAAAACAATAGATAGGTATTTAGTATTGATAATTGCCATCTTTAGTGGTTGATTTGGTCATAACATTGTCTGTTTTGAATTTGTATTGTACCGTTCCAAAGACCACTCAAATGTGTGGTGAAGTGGGTTGAATTCATGCTAATTCATGATAGTGTGTTCAATAAAAGAACAAGGGATATCCAGTGACTGCCTGCCAAAGTCTATATTGTAGTTTAGTCTGAGGCACATTTAGACGCAGTAATGGCGCCCAAAGGTAGTACTCGGATGATCGCCTGCTGTAGATAATCGCTTCTTTCAGCCAGCGATCATCACTTGGGAATATCCAAATGGAAAGAAAGGCTCGCGTCAATCGATCGCGTTGTGTAACTAGAAAAATGGCGTATATTATGACGTTAATAGTAACTAGAAAACGAGACACTGGTAATCCTAGTGAACTACTTGGCACAACGTGAAGCGGAGGAAGGTACGAAGAAGGAGAGATACCCGAAGCTAGTCTGGGTTTCTTATGAGGCATTTGGACTGTAGACACGAGAGGGTAAATTTCAACGGAAATGTTCCCGGGTGTGTATCTCTTTCCATAGTTCGAGGGAGGCAGAAAGGCACATAGCACCAGGGTGATCGCACTGAGCTAGTAGCAAGCCAAAAGAGGTAGATCGATCTTTGTTGTCGGCAGGTATCCCTCTCCTGCTGAGATACAGTGGTCACAGATTCCCAAACATGCCTCAAGCTGCCCGTGGATCCCAGCCTCTTTCGCTGGATAAGATATGGCAGAGGTAGCTCCAAGGCCACCGAAGAGTCTAATTCCCAGCATCCAGGGTAGTCCAAGCATCTAGGAGCTACATAACTGGCACGGGTATTCGGTTCCTAAGATCCGTGGAGGGCGCGTGGGTTTTAACCTCCAACACACGGCATCCGAACAGGTGTTCTTCAAGATGAACACCGAGGCCAGGAATCCGGAATTGGATAATGGACCAAGCCAACCTGAAAAGTGAAAATTGAGCCAGTCAGTCACTTCTTTTCACTATGAAACGGAGCAAGACACGGAAGTAACAGAAAAAAACATCTCGAAGTTGCAATTTTGTTGTCGAGAACAATATCAGAAGTGTCTGTGGCTAGTTCGTATTAGGTCTAGTGTAGAGGATATGCTGAGTCAGCAACCAATAGGAAAGCGAGAAATCTAACATCAACTCCATCCTTAATATTGTCCTTTAAAGAACAATATCAAGCAGCATCAAAAGGAAGAACAAAAAAAAGCGACTCTAGCTTCTTTGAAAGAAACAACACAAAGAAGGGATGAAAGCTACCAAGGCGAGGCATGAGCAGGCATCGAACGAGGTTCTCGAATGTTGGAGATTCTCTTGCCTAGAGATCTAGAAGGAGAACTTATATTTCAATCATTATCATCAAACATATATCAAAAGGGAGAGAGAGACAGACGATATATCATGATAACGGGCAAATACAGTAAAGTGATACATATCAGCCGTATCCAAAAAAAAAAAAAGGTCATAAAATATCTCAAAAAATTATAGCTGAATAAGAAGACAAAGGCCAAAAGCTGGGCTGATTCTCCCAGGGCGCCACTATGTATAGCAAGGTGGATCGTCAGAATCAGGTGTAGAGGGTTTCAGTAAAGGAGTTCAGGTTCAGTCCCTCCTTTGCGATGTCTTCCTCCGCTAAGAACATCAGTGGCATTTCCACGATGGTTCCCTTGACCTTGGCCAGCTCCTCCTTGACAGCCTTCACGCCTTCGGGGAATTCATCACGGATCACATGGCCGGGCAGGTAGCGAGGTTCTTGCTTTCCATCTTTTCCGTCTGGCTTGCGGAAGTTGTACTCATAGAACTCCTTGTAGTCGTTCCAGTTACGGACGGTGTCATCTGGCACGGCATGGAAGACCTTTCGGTAGACCTCAGTATTCTGTCTGGCACGTGTGTTCCAGAGACTATGGAAGGTGTCTGCAACAGGGTCCACCACGATGTTGTCTTCAGGCGAGCCAAAGTCATATTCATTGGGAACTCCGACAGGTTCACAGTTGGCATCGGGGCGCTGGTAGTCCTGGGGCCGGAGCAGTCCAAGGTGCTTTCGGCAAAGCTGTCGTCGGAGGGTGGCAGCAAACTTGCTGACGACATAGTGTTGTCCATTCATCCTTGACTCCATTGCAGTTGGATCCTGGATGATGACTGCAATTTCTGAGTCGTGGTCGCCAAGCTGAGAACGGTCATTAAGGTTGGCACTTCCACAAATTACCGTACGGTCGTCGGCAATGAGAAGCTACGAGCAACAGTTAGCCAGAATTCTTCCGGAATAAACACAAAACAGAGACGTTGAAGGGTGGAATACCTTTGAATGGACATACAGCTCCTCTGTGACGAAGGAGTCAATCTCGGACGTATCGTTGTCGTGCTCCCACGGGACGTTGCGAATATCCTCGCCTCCAAGCATGTAGCACGAGCTTACGGTATCCCATCGGCCAACGACAGCAGCCTGTGGGTTGGTTGCAGCTACATGCTGAGCAGCTTGCTGATACTGCGGATATGCAGCCGTGGTGTCGAAAGCAGAGGGCTTAGATGCTGACATGACAGCATCATGTTGCTTTCTCGCATCTTCATAATTCACTCCACTTTCTTTCTCCGCTTGACGCATAATGGCACTGGCATTTATACGGTCATAGTTGCGCAGGTTGTAGAAGCGAATATAGTCCATGGGGTTATACCCTTCTTTGGCGATCACCTCCATGATGCTGTTTCCTCCCCGGTTGATGGAGAAGTACTGGAACTCCATGATTGCGCGAGTACCTAAGCTGCCATCCTCGCGGAGGTCACCCGGGAATCCAGGCACGGCAGGAATGATGACGATGATCTTGTATTTCTGGCCCGCCTTTGCAGCGCGAAGGATACGTTCGACAATAGCAGCACCGATCTTGTTCTTAACGGGCTTCTGAGCGTCAGATGTGGCAGTGATGAAGAACTGGTTCTCGATATAGATAAAGTGCTCACTCTCCCGGATGATGGCGGCGTATGCATCTGCAATAGAATGTTCTGTTTCAGTGCCGTTACTCCACTTAGAGCTGCTTCGGACTATCTGGCAGGACACTTCTGTCTTAGAGCGTCCTTGAGCTTGTCCTGGAGCATTTCCAGAGAGATATCGGTCCTGATAACGATGGACCTGACCGGCTAACTGGGCACGCAGGGTGTTTCCAAAGCCGGTAAATTCATCCTTGATGCCCATTCCACGGCTGCTACTTTCACCTTCATGATATTCGTCAACACCGCGGCTTTGAGTGGGAGGAGGGCTACCTTGGGTTGGTGGAGGTGGGAAGTAGGGTGCCTGAGACGACTGTGGTTGGTAACCACCACCAGTTGTTGAAGATGCAGCTGGTGGAGGCCCAGGGGGTGGTGGTGGATAATAAGGCGATTGGGACCCTTGAGCTTGCTGCTGCGGCTGTTGCTGCTGGCCACCGTACCCTCCAGCTGGTTGCTGCTGCTGTTGCTGCTGAGGCTGCTGCTGCTGGGAGCCGTACCCTCCAACTGGTTGCTGTTGCTGGTAACCTTGAGATCCAGGAGGTGGTGGAGAGGATCCCTGAGCATGTTGTTGTTGGGGGTGGTGTCCTCCCATTCCCATGGGCTGGCGGTAGAGCTCGAGCCTAGAGACCCGTGGGACTTTACGAACCGCATATTTCTCATCATAGATGAAGTTCCAGCGATCCACAAAGTGCTTCCGCAGATCCTCTACGGCAGGGCCGTGCAAGCTAACGGCAACATCGCTCCATCCCATACGGGAGTTTGACTTCCGGTCCAGCTGGTTGTTCTCCCAGTGAACGACATCTTGGAAATCCAAGACTCGGGCATTGTTATAATCCTGGCCGGGGTAAACAGCCTGTTTCAAGTCAGTTGGGTGCACGTCAGCAATAGCATGCTGATATGTATCCCAACGTCCGAAGCAGAGGTCAAGACCACCCATGAATGCAGTCTTGCCATCGATGATACAGAGCTTCTCGTGGTGTGCCCAGAAAAGAACAACGCCACCGCTAAGGCCGTACACTGTTTTAAGCGCATCGCTAGACAGCTTCGAGACACCTGCAGCGTTCAGTGTTAGATTCTGCAAGGAAGACATCACATCCGAGTGTACGGTCTGCTTGTCTGGCAAATGGTCTGGGTGGCGGAACACGACAATGTTCTCGTGGAGATCTTCTAGATGGTGTTTTGTATGAGATGAGGACACTTATGGCCAGGTTAGCCGGCGTATTTCTTTCGCGAATACAATAACTGCTAAAAGGGTCGATCAGTGTTGACTTACATGACAGTGCTTGGGTAACCTCCTTGTAGACAATGATATTGACACGAACTCCTCTCTGGGCGGCTGCCTGGAGCATTCTATCGATACGGTACTGTTCATTCTGAGCCGGAGGACGTCTGAGGTACAGTTCTGGAGATAGCCACCCTAGAATACCCATCGATTAGCCGAATATCAGCAATTAACAAGGAAAGGAAATAGAGGCCCTACAGTCGAGAATCCAGATAGATTCCTTTGCGGTTTCCAGGGCCCTCGACACAGCCCACATGTAGCTGCATCCGTCAACATACCACTTTGCATCTCCATGGTGTCGGACGGGTGCAAAGCTTCCGTATCTGTTCTTCGCATTGGCACCAGCTGTATCAGCACCGTATGTAGCGTACGCATGAGGATCGAGGTTAGATCCGATGCGCTGTGCCACCTCCGCGCCAATGCCCTGTATCTTGCCGAATAGACCGGAGACTAGGTCAGTCTTTGGAGGCTTGCCGCCACTGTTATTACCACCGCCGGCGCCCTGGTAGTACTGGGGATTCTGTCCGTGGGTAGGATCTGGTGCGTATTGACCTCCTTGCTGGCCGGGTGGTGGCTGTTGATACTGTTGATACTGTGCCTGGCCCTGAGGGTTGGAACCTTGGTTCCCGGGCTGACCCTAAAGCCTGTTAGCCAACGGTTCCGTCAAGAAGAAAGAATAACAATAATTAAACACAAATGGCTGGATCGTATCGATGCAGTGCTATACTCACTGGGTATTGCTGCCCTTGTTGCCCTGACTGTCCTTGCTGGCCATGCTGGCCATGCTGCTGCGAGTACTTGTCGTACTTATTACGGAACGTCCGTAGAGTGTCTCCTAGAAATCCCTTGGTGCTGCCGCTCCCTGAACCGCGGTCAGACTGTCCGGGAGCATGTCCATATGCCAGATGGTCATCGTTCCCAGCCATGGCTTGTCTATTTCCTTTATCTCTTAGTTATCCTTCGTCCAGGTAGGAGCTGTCTATGGCGGTGCAGCGCGGGGAAGAGGGAGGTAGAGACAGGCGGTAGCAACTTTCTCACGCTATACAAGTGTATCTGCGTCGTTGTATCGTGTATTCATCAAGCAAGGCAGTGAACAGAATAAGAGCAGCTGTTCACTTTATCTATCTGGCTGCTTGCTTGATGTCAAACCCGCGAGTCTTCAGCTTGTGATGCGTTATCGCGGGGGGAAATCGTGGCTGAGCTTTTTCTCCGGCGGGGACAGCGCCACTTCAGCTTCAGCTCCAGCTTCTACATACATCAAGAGCAACAACATCAACAGATCAACAGGAGTAGTTACAGCTGGTGAAGATGTGAAGGGTGATGAAGCTACGACAGGGTGAGACCGCGCTTTGCAAGATCCTCCTTGTACCTCTCGACCGCCGGTTTCAGCGCCTCCATCCTCGCAAGACTCTCCTTGCTCCAGGTCTCGTCCAGCTGGTAGAAGGTCTCTACCACAGCAGCGTCTGGCGGGAGGACGACCCATTTCTGCTTCGTGGAGGTGAAGATATGGACGTCCGGTGGCAGCGAGTTCGGCTCGTCCAGTGTCCCGACTCGAATGAAGGACGTCAGCCGGCCGGTGTTGGGATAGTGACTCCAGAGGGCGACTCGACAGCTGGTGCAACGGGCGATCTCCTGGCCCTTCCCGCTCGCTGATGGCGTGTTGACTATCTCTGTCTCTCCCGTGAGCAGGACGAGGCGGTCGGACTCGATGACGGCGTTGATGACGAAGGCCGAGCCGGTTTCACGCTGGCACCCTGTGAGCATTAAAGGCATTAGAGATACATACAACCTATATAATAACCAAGGGAGGAGTATAAAGGCACTTACAGGTGCAGTGACAGCAGTGGACTATCAGGGGAGCCGTCTTCACCTGGTACCGCACTCCCTTGCAGTCACATCCTCCCTCCAACGGATAGCTGGCTTCGGTCGACATCTATGCTGCACAGTAGTTTGTCTATGATCTACATGAAAGACAGAGAGGGTAAGTGTCAGTTGGAGGGGCCTGAGATGACTCTTCTCGTTTTTATAGCTTCGTAGAGCTACTAGAGCTTCTCTAGCTGGCGTCTCGTATTCCATCGCGAGATTCTCGTATGCACCATTGCTGCCTATCGCTCTGCCCATTGTACTATGCAAGAATGCCTGCACGACGTAACTACAAAGCTCCGGCGGTTCTTAATAATATGTGGAGAGGGAGAATTACGTATCTTGCTTCCCCCGCAGCGACCTGCTTGAATCTCAGCAAATGCACTGATATTGATATGTGATATTCAATATTCGATATTTGACATTCAATAATTGATAACGAGAGAAGCGAAGCCGAGTCAACCAAGATGGATCTTGTCACTCTCGACGTGCGTACTCCTGTTTCCCCGTATAGTATATAGCTAGGTAGCTAGTTATAGACGAGAATAACCAGAGACATCCAGGCGAGCGAGCACGCCAACTACCCGGAATACTGCGCTCTGCTCTTCCAGGGCAAGGCCAGCAAGCAGCTCTCCTTCGAGCAGATCGCAAACCACCTTGGCCGCAGCGAAGTGGCCGTGGCAGCCATCTTCTACGGCCATGCCAGGGCGTCTCCAGAGGACATCGACAAGCTCTGCACGCTGCTCGGGATCCCGCCAGCGGACCTGAAGATGCGTCTGCGGGGGTTTCCTGACCGCGGGAAGGGAGTTGATATGCCTCCCCGGGATCCTCTCATCTACCGTCTGTACGAGATTGTGCAGAACTATGGACAGGCGTACAAGGCCGTGATGAACGAGAAGTTCGGAGACGGCATCATGAGCGCCATCGCCTTCTCGACGAAGGTGGACAAGGAGGTCGACGACCAGGGCAATGCCTGGGCTGTGGTCACGATGAAGGGCAAATGGTGAGTCCGAGTCTTTCTCTCGCGCGGTGGGATCTTGCTGATGGCTACTCGTAGGCTGCCGTACACTCGATTCTGAGCCTGGAGAAGAAGCCAGACGCAGGCTATCTCTCTCTCTTTCTCTTGTTGTGACTGCTTTCTGTGTGTGGATATCAAGTTAGCATCTACAGCTTCAACAAAGTGGCCAGACTCATTCACTTTCTGCTCTCTCACTGTCTTTATCACTGAACACAGAGAGAAAAATATATCTATAACAATATAAATATATAAAAACCCCTTTGGTCCTCTACTTAGTGACTGGAGTAGATTCCGCCGCTATCTTCCAACTTCCGTTATGCGGAGCTAAAGACATAAAAGAGACTGAAATCTTTCACTTTCACTTTTCACCTGCATCTTCCTCTTCTTTAGCATCCAAGTCTCTGTTGACTGTCCCAGCAGCTGTTCAGGAGGCAAAGATGGAGAACGAAAAGCCTTCCAGCAGCTCGAGAGCCTTTCCTTGCCCCTACGAGGGCTGCCTCCAGGCGTTTGCGTCTGCAGGACAGCTCGTCAACCACAAGAAGTTCACGCCGGACCATGAATACTGCGAGAGATGCGATGAGGACTTCAAGTTCGAAGAAGACTTGCTACTTCATAAGATGAAGAGCTCTAGGCATATCATTTGCCCCATCTGCTTTGATGATTTCCGCAGTGAGGGTGGCCGAGATATGCATATCCAGCAGGTAGGCCTTTTCCAGCAACACCACTGAAAATATCCAGACCAGTAAATAAAGACAGGAAGTGAAAAGGGTTCAAACTGATTGCTTTGCATTGATAGTTCCACCGTGAAGAGCAGAATATCGAGTGTATCGGATGCAAGGCCAAGTTCCTGCGTGCTGCTCCCCTGATGGCGCACGTCGAGCAGGGCCAGTGCGAGAAGATCAGCCTCGACAAGTATCGCATGCGAAGAGTCGAGAAGAAGGCCGTCAAGGATAAGATGAACGAACACTTGACTGTGCAGCACTCCTTCTTGCTCTCGTCCGCTGCCTCTAGCGTTGACGGGGGCGTCGGGGTGACCATCGAGAGCGTGCTAGAAGAGAGTCCGGACAAGACAGCCGAGATCGAAGCAAAGAAGGCTTCAATCACCGAGAAGATGAGTGCCATGGAGCTGGGGGGAGATCGGTTCGATAGTTTTGCTCCTGTTCCCGAATCCGTCCGCAGCATCAAGCAGTGGCCTACTCTACGTGAAGGAGACGGTGAGGATGAAGAGAGTGACCACGGCGGGCCTTCGTCTCGCTCTAATTTTAAGGATGACGACCTCATGGCCTTCTCAGAGGCGTCCTATGCTAGAAGCAGAGGAGGCCACGAGAGGCCTACTATCGAGACCGTCATCCCCCGTCCGGGACCGCTAAGTGCGTCAGCCTCAGACTCAGGCTCTGGCTGGGATACGTCTCGCGTCATCCCAGCTCGTACATTGACCGAGCATGAAGCCAGCAGAAAGATCACCCTGTCTGAGAGCGAGCTCAGCAAGTTCTTCAGCGATGTTCATGGCACCTATATCTGTCCCTGCGACACCTCGTTCAAGACCAAGGGAGCACTCCAGCAGCACATTGCCTCGGGTGTCCACGCAGCAGGAGTCGCTCGGTAGGTTTCACCTTTATCTAGTTATCCTTTTATTTGCATGTTCTTTGCACTTCCCTTCTAACGCATTTCAATGTTTCAATGGTATAGTTGTCCAGTGTGTCTGCGTATGTTCAAATCCTCCGCCGCACTGGTTGCGCATTGCGAGTCTGCCACCAAACGCTGCAGGATCAACCAGACGAGAAACTTCGGCCAGGTCATCGACGAGATATCTGGAGGAATCATTGGGGCTGCCGGTCGTAACGATGATGGGACCGTCCGCTTCGAAGCTGCGCCGGGAGCCAAAGAGATTGAATGGTAAGGCCGCCTTGCCACAAACGCATGGGATATCTTATCCTAGGGAGTTGAAATAAATGGGTTATTTGTCCTTGCATCCAGCGAATCTATCAAGAGCAGGCCGTAGCATACTTAGTTAAATAGTTATTAGTTAGTAAATCGAGTTCGTTGCTTGCGGCGAAGAAACGGAGGCAAAGAAATCGACCAAATTCAAGCCAAGCATCAACCAATTTTTTCTTCTTTCCTTTCTATCGACGTTGAACAGCCAGCGCTCTTTCAATTAACGCCGAAACAGCACATTTGTACGATATACGCACACTCAATTGCGATACCATAAGTCGCTTAAAGCTATATAACGGGTGGAAAAGGCATCGCTTCCCTTAATATCGCTGGAACGTCGCCAGGCCATTAACCAGCAGCCATGTCGCAACCCTCGGAACTCGCCCAGCAACGAGCAGAAGACTTCAGGAAATTCAAGAACTATGCAGCCCTTGGATTCATCGTCGCTGCTCCCATTATTATTGCACTACCTCCTCGAAAACTCGACCTTTACACAGCCTCTCTAACAACGGCATTCATCATCTCCGCAGACCATCTCCTTACAGAACGAACAGGCAAAGGCATAGTCTCACAGATAGCGGGCTACCTTCCGACCGGCAAACCATCAATTGTCCGTGACCTCCCGACGAAAAAGGCTGAAGAGTTCAGTGAGCGTATGCGGCTCGCGAGAACCCAGGAGCAGGAGATAGAGAGATTAAGAGTTAGCAGGGGTGAAGAGGAAGAGCAAAAGAGCCTCACCTTGCAGGAGTCTGTCAAAAAGCTATGGATGGGCAAAGAGACTGAAGGATGGCAGGAAAGGAGGCGAGAGGAAGAGAGAAAGGCTCTGGCAGAGGGGAAGGGATATGCTGATATCATAATGGACTATATCCGAGATGCCTGGAGGATGGATGAGGGCGGCGAGCAAGGCGATAATGCAGAGAAAAAGCCGGCGGAACAGCAAGAGAAGGGTTCAACGAGCTAACGGATTCATTCTGGTTGTTGGCCGTTCCTTCCACTGCTAATAACTATACCAATTCGGCATGGGAAGACTGGTCTTTGATCGGACATCATACTACATTGGACCTGCAATACCTAGACTCTCTCAGGGAGACAGCTGAGAACGTCTGGGTCAGATGGCAGCAGAAAGTATTACTGGTGGCATACTGGGCCCAGTTTAACCAAGATACTCCATGGTCTTCTCGCTGGTGAGAAGCTGTGACTATGTACTATACAATGCTGCTGCTAGCAGTGGCTACTAATCATAACTCTTTGACAGAGGCCAATCTAATCAATCCACTCATTCCCTTAATACGCATAAGTCTACCTTACATTCCAAGAAAACGGCCAGAAAGCTACTCGAGCTGTTGGCAAGAGACAGGAACATATGGGGAAGCAAGATGCATGAAATATGCTAGTTCCTACCAACAGAAGCCAGAGAGGTCGTCCCACATGGCCGAATACAACGGGCATTGTCAAGCAGACCTGGAATTTTACGGAGCCACCAGCTAGGCTTTTGAATCCATTTTCTTTGGCTCGTTTAGATCCCGAGGGCTTTTTTCATCAATCTCCTGCTTGGACTCCTTTTCAATACGGTTGCCAACCGAAAGACTTGCCTAGTTCTTTCCTGCTTCCTCGACCGTAACTGTCATAAGATCGTCGCCCCAGATCTCTTTGGCCCAGGACCACATATACGCAAAATTATGGGGTCTAGGTGTTTTTTCCCCGGTAAATGCGGACTTGGGGACAAGGATAGGACAATCCAGAGAGATATTTTCGTCCATGTTGGATTCTCTTGTTGAACCGCCTGGAGGCTGTGTTTAACGCCTTTTGGGGGGAGCTGGTAATTTCAGATAGATATTGGCTTTTAACTGAGGAGAAACGCTACGTAACAAAGGTAACAGGATAATAGGAAATAGGGGAGCGGTAATATCACAGACTTTATTTTAGGCATCACTAGCCAAGCTCCAGGCAACTTAGGAAGAGTGATATATTAACATAGGTTGAAGTGGTGATTACCACCTTTGAGTTGGAGGCCGGTATGTCACTATCCATGTCATGTTGCCAGTGTTGGTGTGGCAAATGTCGAGCTGTAGCATCCTTGACGGGTCCTTTATATAAAAATACAATTAAAATACGCAACAAACGCGGTGTGAGACTTGATATGCTCGAATCAAGCATTCTTAGTTCACCCATCATATTGCTCGAAGGATTGGAAGTTTTATAAAACTCCTTCATAAGGCATGAGTTCAAGCCTTCACCAATCTCTGCACACACGGAGCGTTGTTCAGGAGGTTTGTCAACTATTTCTTCACTTTCTTTACCCTATCTCCACCACCTATTGATTCAATACTGTCTCTTTTCCTTTTTAAATGCTTCTCTCGTTTTTTCCGCCGAGTTTCTTCCCTGAGTTTTAGCCGTGCTTCGACTTCAGTAGATATATCTTCAAGTTCGATGGGAGCTATGTCTTCCGGTTTGTTGGAAGCACCTTCCGCAGTTGAGTCGTTTAAACGCCCTTTTGGCCTCTTTAAACCCGCTCTTTCCCCAATATCGTTACTGCCAGAAACCAAAGAGTCGCTTGATGGGCGAGAACGCTTTTTGCGCTTCGGGGGCCCTTGAGTGGTTGTAGATGATTGTTCATCGGTTTTTAGCATTGGGTTGGGCGTGTCTCCATTCCGAGATGGATTAGTTTCTTTCACACCCGCCGTCGTGCCTTTCGTTGCGGCACTGGACAGTCTTGAGCTCTTCGACCTTGTCATTGGTCTTGTTGGCATGTTGCGAAGGAGCTATCACCGAATTAGTACGGATTGGTGAACGCAGAAAAATCATTCGGAGAGGGCTCAATTACAATCTCTTCCCTCATTTTCTTGATTTCTTCCATAAACCGCTGGCTTTGATTTATCATCGACGACATGGCGTAGAACGAAATGGTGGACTGTGGTATCAGGCCGCGAAGTTGGGTGCAGAGTTCAAGGTGGGTATTGATGTTTGATTCATGTTGCAAAAACAGCTAAACGCTCCAACTCATGTCAGAATATTCAATGTTCGATAGTAAAACATGAGTTAAGTGGCATTCTTAAGTATAAATCTTATGATATCCAAGATTGCCAAAGACCTACCTCTAACAGCGAAGTGGAATCCTGTGGCGTTTGTGATTGGGTGTGGATCTGTGGTGTCCCATTGGGGATTTCAGGGGAAGAAGAATTCATCTTATAAGTGGTGGATTGTCCTAGCTTTTCAATAACTAGCCTGTAAGCGCAGAATATCAAGCCTTGCGATGTTGCCTCGAAGAACTGGAAAATCGGGTGTTTGATCAAGCTTTGGTTAGCCGGCGGCTACTACACGCAAGGCGTCTGATTGGTGCTGCCATTGCGGCTCTTTGCTTGGTGGAAGCCAAAGGAAAAAGTATAATTTGTGTTATTCCCTTGCAAGCGAAATTAAACCATCCATCCTTCTATACGAGCACCATTAATATTTTATATGCACTCCCGTATGTATATACCACACTAAATCATTGGCCATGTTCAACGCCAAAATTTATTCTTCCTTTTTCCCAACAGTTCCCCCTTTTCGCAAACCAAAGAACGTAATGATCACGACAAGAGCACAACTCGAAAATATAGTCCAAAAGGCGCCTCTATAACCAAGCATAAGCCCCTCTTTATGATCTTGGATGGCTTTGTGGTCTGTTATTGATGCAGCTATAGAGGCTGTAACTGCAAGCCCGACTGAGTTTCCGAACTGCGCAACTTCGTTAAATACCCCTCCAGCCAAAGACTGGATATCCGGCGGAAATGCGTCAGAAATGATTAAGTTGGAGACTGTGAAAAGTACTAAACATTTCGCGAGTCAGCTTGGCCCGGAAAAAAAATATAGAAAAAAGGGGGCTGGTACCATCTGGATTGACGGGTGATAGAAACAATGCCCAAAACGGCGAGAACCAGTAGTTTTCTCCGATTTTAATCGTTGCCATAAGAATAGGTGCAATCATGGATATCAAAGCCGAAACAACGCCTAGTGTCTGAACCTTGACCCTGGAAATAAGATATGCTGTCGCAACATTGACACACGCGCCCATTATTATATGAGCAAGGAAGCGGATGGAACTTTGAAGTGCTGTTATGCCTTCTACCTTTTGGAAGCTATCGTTATATCAGAAACTCTATCTTTGAAAAGCATTGAAGAAGTATACTTACTATAAGGTTGTGAAGTACTCAATTCCATTAAGAGATGCCCAGCAGAAAAATACCGATGCGCAAATTGAAGTGAACGCACTATTCTTCCAGAGTTTGTTTGGGATAAGCGCCGGTCTCGCCCTTTTCACCTGGAAGCTCATCCAAAAAGGGAAGGTTGCAAGCAAGAGGGTTGAGACAACAAGAAGAGCGATGTTTTGAGCGTTCCCGACCCTCTTATAGGAGGAGGTAGCCATAGCCAGAACGTACATCAACAGGCCCAGTGCAACACTCATAATCATCGCCCCGAGCCAGTCGATATCTTCAGCAAGACGGCGGTACCACAGCTTATCGGAATACTTGTGAACCGATGGTAAGGACCATATAGAAGCTGTAGAGAGACAGAAGTTGATAATTGCCATCATGTAATAGGCCCACCTCCAGCCGATAGTGTCTGTGAAGATACCTCCCAGTACCAATCCAGCGGCATAACCAAGAGGCTGTCCCATTCCGTTCATAGCAAAGGCAACATTGCGCCATGGGCCTTTAGGGAACGTGTTGGTAATGAGGCTCACCGCAGTAGGTAGACACATGGATATTGCAGCACCTTGGAAAGTTCGAAAAAGGATAATCTGTATGCTCGTCTGCGAAAATCCAATAGCAAGGGAGAATATAACAAAGAGATAGCTTCCCACAACCCACATCAATTTGGCCCCAATAACATCGGCCACAGCGCCAAATATCAGGAGAAGACAGCCTGCAGCCAGTGCATAAACTGCTGCTGGCCAGAGTATCAAACTTTCAGACAGGCCAACATCCTTTGCTATCCGTGGTAGTGCGGCAATGAGAATGCCAGATCCCATTGTGTTTAAGAAACTTATGCCAGCCAAGGTAATGATAACTGTTGCACCTTTGGCCTTTGATATTCTGGGGGATTCAAGTACCGGCATACCTCCATCCTCCGATGGAGTTTCAAGGGCCCCAGGGCGCCGGTCATTCGACAAGTCTGGCGCCTTCACCTCTCTGCTGTCTTCCGAAGAATGGCATTCTTTGGCAGTCTCCGATTCCACAGATGGAATTTGTCCGGTGGAGATGGGGAATAGCTCAATAGGCGCGAGAGCTGGTTCATCTAACGTCCGATCCTTATCCGAGGTCGCCATCCTGCTCCTTTTTGCAATTGATGGGAATCTCTACAGGCCACGCAAAGTAGTTTATCCTTCGGTCATAGTCGTTCCGATTATTTTTTATTCCCTAAGCCAAATTGTCGCAGCCGGTTAGGGCAGTATTGAATCATCATCCTCCAGCTGTTTGTTGGATTCGAATTTCAGCCAGATCAGCCGCCTAGTTGGTAAGTTATTAGTTTTCCCCGCATTAACCAACTGCTGTAGCCGTTCCCTGCATAATAGCTAGGCTCGCATGCAGGTCAGGGAGTGGAAAAAGAATAAAAGCTGAGACTGTTGAGCCGGGGTCGGTCGTGGCAAATCTGAGGTTGCAACGCCCCCCGTACGCAAGCGATTTTCCGTTTGGATTTACCTATACAGGGGAGTTAAATAAACGATTGCCAAACAGCTGAACCGGAGGAGTGATCCCACCCAATAACTACCAGGTTGAAGCCATGTTTTGACAACAATCTAGGAATAATTTTAACTAGCGGAAATATAAGATTAATCGCTTCCAGCGGCAGGGTTTCTATATTAAACTGCAGCATTGCACTCACATGGCACATAGACCCATGAATAACTCGGCTCCTCCATCGCTGGGAGGATGATACTACATCGCAGTTTCCTAACCCGGCGCCATCCCAGTTATAAAAAGCACATTCGTAGGTGGTGGATAGGAGAGTGTGCGTGTCTAAGACAATATTCACAGGGAAGAAGGATGAGTTTTAGCGGCTGACATCAAGTACGAAGGTGATAAATAGCCAAACTTCCTGTTCTAATCAAATTGCCGAGTAAAGGATAGTGCGCACGAAGGAAATACGAAATGTCAGGGTCTTCAATTCAATATTAATGGTCAGATGGGCAGTGACCCTAATCCTCTAGTCTCTGATGGTTACGCTGATGAGCCCTTCCGGAGGCTGTGCGAGTGTGACAACATACAAACACGAAACGCGAGGTAAAACCAGGCTCACAAGTTTCCATAACTTTCCAAATAGAGCATTTGTATGGGCACGCTCAGCCAGTTCTGCCATTTGTCACACTAGACAATGTAAGGAAGTAAGGCCGATAACAACCACCGGCTAATGCATAAATATCACCTCGGGTGTGATATTTCAATGCGGCTTGCCTTTCACAGTCAAATTCCTACTCCAGAAGTGAATCCAATATATTGCGTAAAAGGTTATAAGGAAGCGAATAACTGCCCAGCATAATCCTCTTAACTTTAAATAACATCACAAAGCCTTCACACACGATACTGGTCTGCCGAAGCGTAAGCATATCCGTATCATTAGCATGATCCGATTGGTTCCTAGTTCGTACTCGGTATTTGTTATGAGGCTGATGACGAACCGGTTTCAATGCCATGAAATTGAGGCGTATGATGAAGTCAAATGGCATCGAGCCTCTAGAACTCTCAAGTTCAGCAACCAAGGAAGCCACACAGCCTATAAAGCAATCCCACTTTGTCAATCGCCCCAAAAGAAAAGAGGTATTTAAATGGCCGTGTAGTCGGAGCCGTTTCAATTCAAGGCTCGATTTGCGTAAAAAAAGACCACTTTCATCAACTTTGAGATAATGCCTCATTCCCAGAAGGTAGTTGTTGTCGGAGGTGGCCCTGTCGGCGCGTTATCTGCGCTCTATGCAGCTAGAAGGGGTTATCAGGTCGAGTTATATGAGCTTAGAGACGGTAGGTTCTGGCCGATAAGGGAACTAAACACCAAACTAATGGGTTATTTAGATCCAAACTATGGGGATCCCAATGCTAGGCCGGATATTGCAGTCATCCCACTGGCACTCTCAGAACGTGGTATTAGAGCCATCTCCAGCGCAGGAGTGCCAGGCTTGCTTGAAGATATTCTAGATAATTCAAGACCGGTGTATAAACGAATGGTTCATACATGGAATAGCCAGGGACAGCACATGGAGATCCCAATGACATACGGCCCACAGGGACAAGTACGTGTAATGCACGAACATGTTGCATTTGCCCTTATTGATTGGTACTCATAGTGTCTTCACACTCTGCAACGCGAGAAGATAACCAAACATGTCATGTTGGCGCTTCTTAAAGAGCCTACGGCAAAGCTCTTTTTTAACCAGAAGCTGTCAGCATGCGACTTTGAAGGAAAAACTGCGACTTTTGAAACAGTGACTTGGCGAGAGAAGTCCCGTTTCTCGGAACAAGAGCTTGCAAATGCTGTCCTGGGTCATGTGTCATCTATACCTAACGGAGCTGAAGCAGGGTGTGGAAATGTATTTCCAGCGCAAGGAAACGCATCAAAGACCAAACGGGTGGACTTTGATTTCCTTATTGGAGCGGATGGCACCTATTCTAGTGTCCGACAGACCATGATGAGAAGCCTTGAGATGGACTTCTCCCAAACTTACGCCAACGCAATGTGGTGTGATCTTATCTTCCCTCCAGATAAGAACGGTGACTATCGGATAGATCCTAAGTGCCTTCATATATGGCCATCTAACCAAAGCATTGTTATCGCTCAGACAGATATAGTAGGTGTTGCCCACTGTTCTTTGCTTTGCTACGCCCATTAACAAGCCATAGGATGGATCCTTCAGGGCCGGAATGGTCTGTGACACGGAAAAGCTTAAATATTTTGAAGCACATCCGGAGGCATTTTCGGATTTTTTTGTCAAAGAATTTGCTGGAATTGTGCCAGATCTTCTTTCGGTGGAGGAGGTAACAAGGCAATTCCTTGCACACCAAAAAATACCTTTAAAGTCGATCAAATGCGGGAAGCTTGGGTATAAAGATAACGCTGTGCTCCTGGGTGATAGCTGCCACACGATGACACCTTTCCATGCTATGGGCATGATTACCGGTCTTGAAGATGTACGTGTGTTCTTCGAAGAGTTCCGTGACCCCGGGTTAGCTGCTTTGCCAGAGGATATGGGTAGCAATGGCCTTCCAAAAGAGAAGCCATTCTGTGCTCCAGGCACTGTAAATGCTTATACAGAATTCAGACTGCCAGATATTCACACTATGGTGGACTTTGCGAGTGAGCATTACCACGAGCTTCGGATCGGCGTCAGATCTCCAATGACAAGGGCAATGAATATGATTGACCGTTTCCTCGGTGGTTGGTTACCGGCTTTAGGTTGGACGACGTTGTATGCAAGGATTCAATTTCAGCACGAGAGGTTCAGCGTTGTGAAGGCCAAAGAACAGAGGCAGAGGAAAATACTAGGCGTGATAGTTGCTAGTGGTGCCATGGTAGGCGCCAGCATAGTCGCAGCAGGGGTCATAGCTTTGCAGCCTATGATCACATCGATGTTTTCAGCGCCCGCCAGCTCTCATTTCGCCCACGTACTTTCGCAGTCAACTTGATTCATAGCAAGAATGCTAATGGATGGAATGAAGGAAACGATATGTGAGGTTAAAAAAGGGTTTTTAGCACAATACCTAGCTGCTCGTAACAAGTGGAGATGGCGCCAAGCGCTAGCTCCAGGCTTAAGTATGAGTTCAGCGCTAAGCAGGCGGCTAAGCTAGATAAAGGTGAAGGACCTCGAACACAGTACTGTTTGTTATCTGGATGATAAATGGAGAAATTCTCGTTTCATTGTTCATTAGAATATTTTAGAAAGCATAAACCAAATTTCCCAGCCTCTGCCTAACTAGCCATGCAATAACTCGAAGTGAATCTATAACGAACATTGAAATAATACAAAATAATATCATGGTATGAAGTAGACACAAAACCATAGTGCCGGGAGAAAACGGAGAGTGCACCGCCATGTGCGAGATTGGAAAGCAGCATAGGTAAGCTCCCTACCACGCACCAGGATCCTGATCAAACCTGGCGAGTTCTCTTTCCGAATCCTCAACGTCCTTTTTTGCCTTCATTCTCATGTAGAAAATAGGGCAATCGCGACTCGAGCAAATGACTTCACCGTGCAAACTGCCTTGGCAGCGTTGGCATTGTGTCCAGAGGCGACCAAACCTAACCTCAAGCTCTGAAACCTTGTTCAAGGTTCGGGTATATAGCTCTCCCAATCTGGGCCGACAGTTTGCACAGACAGCTCCCGACATTTCCTCCTTGCCAACCAGTGGTTTCTTGCAGCCCATGCAGGTTTGGGTCTTCTTAGCAAACTTCATTAGTCCACCAAGACTTGGTGCTGCCACTGTAATGGAACGAGTGTGGTCACCCGTCAGTAGCTGAGCAGCTTTCTTTTCCCCGAGAATAGGCTCGAAGATACGGGTCAATGGCTTGGCAAGTTGATTTTCCAGGTAATATCTGGTATCAATGGGAATGTTGTTTTCGAGGACATATATCGGATCCTCAGCTTTCTCGTAGTTTTTGGCTCCAGTGACGCCACTAACAATAACGTAGGCAACACGATCACCAAGGGTGGGTGCAGATCCAGCATCTCGTTTTCTCATACGTTCAACAAGTTCCACATGGGCTTGTTTACCCTGGTATTTTTCTTTGGTCAAGGCTTTTGTAATAACAAGCTTTGACATATCAACTTTGTTTTGAAGCAAGTCTGAAATTATGTTTTTAACATAGCTAAAACAAGCCCATTAGCCTTCATTTGTTCATAAACAGCTTCTTTGAACAAGTTAAAGGTACTTACGTTTCAGCTCCATTGACATTCCGGTCGATGAGAATTTTGTTCAAAACGGTTTCAATGACAGTTTGTACCAGGAGACAATTATCTCTTCGAACTGTTTCGATACCTTTGGTATCCATCTTATCATATTTGGTGGGGTTGGTCCAGAACAGCCCAGCATAACGCTTCTTGTTAATAAGGAGATACGGGTAGTAGACCTTTTCAAACTCCAGTTTAATAGGCTTCATAAACTTGGATGATACGAATCCTGCGGCTTCTTCACCAAGCTTCATTGCTTCAGCAAGGTCAGCAGTTCCGAATTTGACCATAACAGAATCGGTATCTCCGTATATGACTTTAGCATCATGTGCGTAGCCGTTGGATATAGTGTACCTGGCCTCGACCTCTTCCTTAGTTTTCTCAATCATTTGACGTCCATAACTAGTAGTGCTACTAGCGATGGGAAGACATGGTAATTTGCCATTCGTAGCACCCGTGATACCATACACACTGTTGGCGCTGATTTTTAAGGCAAGTTGTCGGCCGTTCAAAACTGCCTTCTTGAATGGGTCCTTTTCAATAGCCAGTTCCCGCTTTGCCCGTTTTCTTGCTGTGAGAAGTTCCTCTAAAATCTGTGAAAGTAACCCTTTGCGAATTTTGGTGGTGCAAAACATGTCATCATTTGGCGTAACTATGTAATCTTCACCCTTTTTCAACCCCAATTTTTCAACCGTGCGTTTATTCAAAAGGGTCGTATAGCACAAGTTGTGCGCCTGAATGATACTAGGGTATAGAGATGCAAAATCAAGGGTTGCAATGGGGACTGCATAATAATCTCTCACAGGTTCAATAACTGTTGCTCCCTCGTATTGCTGGTTGCTATTCTCGTCATTCTTCAAGTCCGGGATCACAAGCTTTTGTTCAAGAGCTTTTCGGAAAAGCTGGGATATGAATTTGATCTGCTGACCCCTAGCGAGAAGAAAGTTGAAGGGAACACCCGTTACCCTTGCCATTTCCGTGTAGTTCACCAAGCACATTAGCTTGTCCATCAGTCGCTGTGGCAAGTAGGCATCCTTCAAACAGTATACAGCAAGACGCCTTCTGGAATCTGGCGTTCCGTTGTAAAGCTCTGTTATCATAGTATGGTGGACATCTTCCTTTTGCTCGCCGAGAAATTCAGCACACACAGAGTTTAATGTATAACTTCGCAAGTGGTGATCCCGCTGAACCAACTGCAACAAGTCTAGCTGAATTCTTCCATTGGTATTAGTGGCTTTTGAGTCTCGCTTGCCCATTTGTTTGCTGGCAAATGACGTTTTTGTAGCTTGAGACGGAACTCCCTTCAACCGTGTCCAGTAAGGGAACTTCAGGCAGTTCAGGTGTTCTGCTCTCTCTAGCAGGTACGGGAAATCAAAATTAGCAATGTTATATCCAATAATAACATCTGGGTCGACCCTTTCCACAAAGTCTCTCCATGCCATAAGCATTTTTTCTTCCTGCTCGAACTCTAGTACTTGTGTGTTCACAATTGAGCTACATGTGTCCATGACGAAAACGTTGCGAACAAACGGCTTGGACTCTCCGTATCGAGTGACTATGTTCGCAATCTGGATGACTGGGTCAATGTTTGGATCAGGGAAAATTCCTTTTCTGCCGGCACATTCTATATCGAAAGACAAGATACGAAGGGGTGCCATTTTTGCCCATTCTCCGTCATTGGGATGGGCAATCATATCACGGTAATGCACCGACGCTTCGATTTGGCAGTTTGAATGGCATTTGCCGGGTGGTAACACTGTATACTTTGCTGCAGGTACCTCAACCCAGGACATGCCAGAGATCTAAATGGAAACAACTGTTAGTTAATGTACCACAGACAACGATGGCACCGATCCAACTTACCCCAGTATCGATCATAAATCGCAAAAGGTATTGAATATTGTCGAATGTTAAAATTTCTCCTTCAACCCCTTTCCACATGCCTTTGTAATTGGCCGCGCCGCTCATTATGGTAGATCGAACAGTGATAATGGCCTTTGGGTTCGTCACTGTGATTTTAAGGTACGGACTTTGCTGATTTCCCTGAAACTCGTACAGATTCTCTCTCATAGTCATTTGAACCGAATGTATCACGGGCTCTGTAACAGATAATTGATTCTCAAGATAGGCCTTAAACGGAACACAATCGGCTTGCGTGAAGGCGACTGGGGCTGCAATATATAGATAATGCATAAAGCCTGTAACATGAAGAAGTACCGAGTGGCCGTTCTTACATAAAACAAAAGTTAGGACATGATAAAGAAGGCAGTATAAAGGAAATGAGTGCCAGCAATGAACATACCTCAGTGACACCAAATAGCTTCACTGCAGTTCCTCCAGCCATGTAACCTTCCTCAACGTCGATCTGCTGGAAGCATAGGTTGTCTCTAGATGGATCAAAGTTGTCCAAAGGTGGACGCTCCCATTTCTGGTCTTTCTCCGCATTATTTTCTTTCAGGTCTCCAATATCCTGGGTTAACTTCTCCAACACATCCTCGAATTGGCTCTTGTGCTGAGACCGCTGAGCCGAGCCAAACGAGCTTTTCAATCCATTTTGCGACGATAATAAAGGCGGTGCCCGGACACTAGTTTGTGGTTGACCAGTCTCGAGCTTCCGCTTTTTGGCAGAGGCAGGGGAGGTAGACCGGACCTGGACGTTTCGACGGCTGACACTCGCATCGCCCAGGATTCTCTTCTGTGGTTTGAGAGACTCAGCCATAGTGTCAATTCGCGCGACCTTCAAAGTACACAAGCTGGTTCTCTCCGTGGGATTGTCAGGAATGAGGCGCGCTCCAAAGAGGTTGCACCTTTTCCATCTCTGCAAAACGCGTGCTTCGATTAAATTGAATGATGCATCCGCAGGCGCGATGGGCACTAGTCTGGATATGGAATAGCATTAAGCGATGGTCCAATTAAAGTTGCTCATTATATTATATAATAATAGTCATCTAAATTGTTTTCGCGTTTCTGCTGCGCGTCGTCGATTAAGCCCAGCCACGGACAGTGAAAGCTGCCTATGAATAAGAATTTCATGGTTTGACTACTCCGTACATATCACCGGAACATCCATATTTAGCCCACCAAGTTGAGATAGAAGAGAGGCATGTTATTATTCTATAGAGAGCAAGTACTCTGTAGTTCGTAAAGAGAATATTGTTTACAATACTAAAGAAATCAATTCCCCTAAACATATAAGCTAAGATGAGTTTGCTTCATATAAAACATGCAAAATGGCGATGCTCGAGCAATTGCATCGGAGCTCTTGGTCTAAGCTGACCGTTTGAGCGGCTGTTGATTAGTGTGGTGGAAGAGCCTCCGCTTACGTCATAATTTGAAGTATGCTTTCGGACATACTTTATTCCAGTCCCGATTCATCGGGTCGGGCGGGGAAAAATATTCGACCGCCTACTCTAAACCGCTGACTAAACGTTCGTCCTATTTTAGGCACAAAGCTTGTCCTTGCCACAGCTCGAGAGCAAGAGCCTTCGAGACCAGACAACGGCTCGATGCACATTTGACGACAGAAGAGACAGCGTTGCCATGGCTAGTATGAGCTCGTATATATGTGATTCTGCTGCCATTTAAGCATGAATGTTCCACGATAAGCTGTTCCAACCTACTCCATACCGAAAGACTACCATTATGATTGAATTTATCCCCAGTCAGCTCTTGGTCCCTGCTATAGACTATCATCATGTCTTCCAGACGTAGTCATCGCAAGTCGCGCACAGGCTGTTATCAATGCAAACGACGTCGAATAAAGGTATGCCGCACCGGGATGCTCTGTTTGCTTGCATGGCGAAACCGTGTGTTGCCGACCCCAGCGCACCATTAACTGACCTCTAGCCCATACATAGTGTGATGAATCGCCAGCACCCTGTGGAAACTGTCGAAAACACAATGTTTTTGACTGCCAGTTTCCGAACCAGCCTCCAAATCCATATTATGCTTCATTCGTTCCATTACCTTCCACCCAAGCCGAAACTACCAGCGATTCGCCGGCCGCAGCTATTGCTCCGGTAGGTCCAGCCAGTGGCCCAACGGATACCCCTATAACTCCTGCCGCCAGCGCTCCGAGGCATACTCCAACACTCCCTCCAACGACCACTGCCTCAAATCAATTTCGAACAATTGCTCCTTCCGCGACCCAACTTCCGGCTATCCTAAACCAAGGTCCTCCTCCAAGTCCGGCTTGGACTTCCCGAATAGAACGACATAGTATTTTCTCCTCAGTTCCTGATCGCTTCCAGGAAGACAAGAGTTTGAACTTAGAAGATCTAGAACTACTTCACCACTACACGACAAAAACATACCAAACACTGTCCAATAATAACGAGCATGAGGACATTTGGAAGAACGTAATACCTGGAGAAGCTATAAAACACCCGTTCCTGATGCATGGGCTATTAGCCCTGGCCGCCCTTCACATAATCGAGTGCCACGATCCTGACGACGAAGAAAGTCGCCGGAAGTACTCTGCACTAGCAAACAAGCATCAAAACCTAGCACTAGCTACCTTTCGCCCTGAATTGAACAACATAACACCTCTAAATTGCCACGCAGTCTTCGCCTTTTCAAGTCTTATCGCGGCACTTGCGTTTGCGTTTTCGAGATCAGAACGTTGCTCTAATCCCGCAGATTACATTGAGCAAGCTGTTCAAGACTTCTATCTTTTCCGTGGTGTCGATAAGGTCCTTCACACCCAGTGGACTCGCATCATCAAGGGTAAACTAGGTGCTCTTGTCCGTCGTCCTGCTGACTCAAGCGCCGCCTACCCGCTTTCCAAAGACGTTATAGATACTCTCGACTATCTCCATAGCTGCAATGGCGAAACGGCAGGTCACATTCCTGCCGAGGAAAGAGCTATATATAACCATGCAATCCGCGAATTAAGGATGTCTTTTGAACGGACCCCATCAAGTTGGGAAGGTGTTTTCAGATGGCCCATGGTTGTCCCCGAACCATATCTGGGATTACTTCATACTCGAAAGCCCATGGCCTTAGTGATACTAGGTCATTACTGTGTAATATTAAGTCGGCTTGATATGTGCTGGTGGTCTGAAGGCTGGAGCCGGCACTTGTTTGAAGCTATTTATAAGTCATTGCATCCTTCCTGGCGCACGTTGGTCCAGTGGCCTATGCAAATGATTGGTTTATCGGAGTCGCTTGCCCATGTTCCTTGACGATTCCGATACACAGCGTTATGTCTCTTGGTTTTTTTTTTTTTTGGTCATTTTTCTACTTATCCCCATAATGATGCCACAGACCATTGTATAATACTAACTAAAAATTTCAATTAATAGAGAGGGGATCATATTTATTAGCTGGTTAACTACCGCTTTCTTTTTCTAGTATTTTCAAGTATTAGTGCAGTGGCTCATTGTATAACTCAAGCTGTTATGTGGGTATCACGCCGTGAAGATAAACTAATCAATCGTTTGCAAAATAGTATGTATGTATTCATGGTAATAATCATCTTTCCTTCAATAGGCGCTCAGCCAGGTCTTGTATCTCTTCCAATTCTTCTCGGACTTGCTTGCAGGTCAATCGATGGTGGACATCCAGCTCCACCATTCCCATGATGCACATTGCCAAACGTTTTGCAATTTCATTCGCTGCGTTGGGAATGTCATCATCATTCGTGTCGTCTTTGGGACACTTGTGTTCGGTACAGCTGCGCGTAATCTTATCTGCAAAGTCAGCCGGAAGAGCAGGGCACAAACATTGCTCCTTGTCTCGGGTAGATTCCCCAAACTGTGGAAGATTGTTTGAAGAGCAGGTCAGATTTGACAAAACCATCTGTCTCTCCATTCGGGTATCAATCTTATACAGCAATTCAAACAAGATGACACCCAGGGCATAGATGTCAAGTGAATTATCTGAATACAGATGTAGGTCTGCCGAGTCTTGTATGCTGAATGAATAGGCTGGTGGACGGTAGAACTCTGTTCCAACTGGTCGGACGGGTATGGGATGAGGCTCTTCTGGGGCCGTACCCTTCCCGTACGTAGGCGACTCCGCAACCAGGCCGAAATCACCGATACGTGGAACCGAGTAGTAGATCTTGTGGTCATGTCCATGATAGCTACAGGTCGGACACATATGTATATCCCGTTCTGTATCCGAGGGAGATAAAAACACATTAGCAGGCTTCAAATCTCGATGAACAATTCCCTTCGCATGAAGGTAGTCTACTCCCGAGACAATTCCTAGTAGTAGTTTGATGGATGGTATGATGTGATAGCAATGACGAGGTACGTTCGTAGCACTGCCGACAACTTGTGGAGCAAGGTATTTCGCTAGACTCAGTGGGTGGAGAGACATCTGGATGTGTAGTGTTACTGGTGCCGCAGTATCGGACCTAGATTTTCTATCAAGTTGCATATTTGAGCCTCCGCCACCCAGCCCATCACTAAAGATATCAGGTCTGGATTCACTTGCAGAAGTTTGCCCTGAATAAGAAAAGCTCAGCTGGCGAGGAATGGATTCAATATTTTCTTCATCGATTGTATCTGTTTCATCTTCTTCGACACTGGCCACGAAGGACTTCATGGATCTCTCCGAGGAGACTGTTGCGAAGCTCCCTCTTCGTCTATCTTGATCACCGGTAGACAATCTGTCCACAGACGGTTCAGGTTCGTATTCTTGTACTAGCGATGAGCCAGACGGTTCTTCAAAAACAACCCCATGGTCAGATTCTTCGAATACAATGCCACAGCTAGATGCACTACCGTCATACTCAGCGTAAGGAGTATTGAGGAGCGTCTGTTGCCGTTTTGGAGGAGAAGAGGATCGAGAGGTCACAGGGGTAGGTGAATATTCCGCCCAAGCTCCGTAGTAGCGAACGACGTTGATATGTTCAAGCTTTGCCAGTGTTCTAATCTCCTTTAGAATATTGTCTACCTCCCTCAAGCCTCTCTCCCGCAACTGCTGTAGCTTCTTAGAGCTCAGTGGGATCTTTTTCACAGCATAACCCTGTCCATCAACATGGTGTCTGACTCTGTACACCACACCGTAGGAGCCTCTACCGATCAGTGCTTCTTCTTCGAACTCAGTTGCGTACCGAGACCCTCCCACTCCCGATGGGTGAGAATACAGGAACGGTATGCTAATGGGTCGTGCGAGAGGGGTGGCCTGACGCTGTAGACGATTCAACAGCCCGGAAGAAAACTGGTTTTGACTTTGTGAAACATCTGCTCTACCGGTTATCAGCCGTTGGAGACTAATGTTGGTCGACTGTTTCATTGTAAACACCCTGCTATTACCACCACCGCCTGCATCTTTCTCCTTTGCGCCCAGTGCCATGAAGGGATCTTGAGGGGTATCTATGGGTGTTTGCACCGCTCTGGCATTTAAATCTAACCCATCCAACGCTGCCATACCAATGGTATCAAGACCTTCCCTATAGTACTGCCGTGTACTCTCCCAGTTATCATTATCGACTCCAGGAGCCACGATACCGTGAGATGACAAAAACTTGGATTGGTATGCATAAAGACGCCGCCCCAGAAGTTTGACTTCCGGTGAATCTAGTGTATACTGCCCACGGCTACCGGACTGCTCGTTCAGGATGCCACAGGCTTTGGTCAAACAGTAGTGCTCCAGCAGGGCGGCGGTCATGAGAGCTGCATGGCCCTCAGCGTCCACATCAGGGATATCACGGAAGCCTAGGTCCCCATAGAGAGAGCCGCCTCCACCTAGTATATCTCCAGCCGCGGACTCTGTGTCCAGGCTACCACTGGTGGGCTCGATCTCCTGAACAGAGCTGGAATTGCCACCCTGTCTAGGCGTGTGGCCGTTCCCCTGCTCCTCTTCGGAAGATATAGAGCCTGACTCTGAGGAAGAGGAGTCATCTTGGGGCGATCGAAACATGGATTTCGACATTGTCAGTCAGTCATAAAGAGGACAGCCAGGGCAACGAGTAGTTCCTTGTAGTGCTCGTCCTGTCCATCCAGGCGTATTCAACGCATTTGAACAGGGATATGCCGAGATGGCTGGCCACGACACAGACGAAGAGAAAGACGGGAAGAAGAAAAGAAGTTGGATCTTGTTGAATAGCAGGACTCAATAGGGAGGATGAAGCGCGGCCTGCCAATCCAACATTCACTCCTGGCACTCCTAGATGTAAACACAAATAAATAGAAAAGTGACCAAAGTGAGTCAAATTTTATTTTTATTTTTAAACTTGGGAGGCTTGAGAAAAGAACACATCGCTGGATCTTCCCCACGCGCTCTCTGGGTTTCGAGTATCTTCCATGGAAACAAGCTGCGGCGTCAGGGCAACAAGCGGCTCCCGTGAGCTTCTCCTGACTGCGTTGTCTGGATCTTCCACGCGTCTTGCAGCTGTCATCTGGTGCTTTGGGCGGTTGGATGGCTGGCCAGTCGTCGTGCTCATGCGAGTTTCACCTCCAGCCGTAGCCGCCAACACCAGCAGGCTCCTCTGCTAGCTTCGAGATGTCAGGCTGTTGCCAGCCAGCCCTTCTGGTGCGGACTAACAATAATCGGTGTAGTGACCCCTGAAGCTGTCGATAATAAACGTATCATATAGCGCCAATAGCCGCCAGTTCCTCCCAACGGGCGATGGCCTGGCTGCAAGGCCATCACGCGGAGACTATCTAATCTACTGTGTGCATCTATTCTATCCACAATACCCTTGCCCAGCATAATATATTCCCTACGACGGCCTGATTTTCCTATCAAAACTTTGGACGCTGCCCAAAAGGCCGTCGCGAAATCGAAGGGTCACGTGGTAGAGCAGATCGGGTTCTATGTAACTATGGGATCAAAACGGAGTCTTAAAGGCGTTTATTCACTGTATAGCTACGAGAGGTCTATGGTCTCTAGCTAGTGCCAGGGTTTGGCTATAAAGATAATATGGATCCCGCAGCTTCCATGCATACAAGTTCCACGGCCCTTGCTCCCTAACACGCTGTGGGAATCACAGGACAGCATGTACCAATGACAAAGCATGTCCAGGCAGCTAGGTCGACCGCCCAGGTACGCACGCGATGGACGAACAACCAGCTATCAAGTCCCGTGGTTGGCACACCCTGTGACCTGTCCTCAATTATAGTCTGGACGTTGGGTGCAGCAAAAGGTACGAAGATAAGATGGCTAGCTGCCAACAGAGTGCCGGTAGTGTACCAGTATAGAGATTCCCGAGAAGGTTTGTCAACGAAGGCGTTATAACCGCCGGACAAAAGAGTTAGGCCAAGAAGACCAACAACACGAACGAAACCACTGCTAAAGAAGCTTCTGGAGCTGGAGGGTAGAAGTTTATCGCGCTGGTCTAGGCGATCGGGGTGAAGGAAGACTCCCATGAGGAAGTCTTGGTCGAATGAGTACCATAACGAACAGGTTGAGGTGACCAACGGGGCGATACGCATCAATGTACGGGGGGCCATGTGTTCTGAAGCCATCAGAATGGCCGGTATATTTCTATAAGACGGAAAAGTTGCCATCATGGAGAAGCTAAAGGTTGGTATTCGATTGGCTGTTGAGATAATTGTTCAAATATAGCCTGGGATCTTGATAATCACTTCTGCTTAAGTACAGGGATCATCACACAACGGACCTGAAAGGACCCCAAACAGAGATGCCACCCAATCTCCATAATATCATCATCATGCAGTGACTCCCGGTCGAGGTCTCCTGCCGTGACTCAACCGCCTGCACGAAGCCGTCCGCACGGCAAGGCCAACTTGCATCCTTAATATCTAGATATATACACCGTATTATACAACCGCACAGCAAATAACAGCTAACAACTATATTGCTTGCTGTTTTCTTGCGTTTTAATTGCTAGGGGCTTGTCTTAGCCTCGGCTTGTTCCTGGACGCGCCAGGGGTCGTCGAATAATAACACATGGCGAGACCGAGCGATTTAAATACTTTCAACCACCCCAAGCTTCATCGCTGCAACGACATCTCGTCCACCACACTACACTTCCACACTTTCCGCCGTTGGTATTAACTGAGTTAACTCTTCCCCTGAGATCGATCGATCAGCGTCCGGACGACGGGCCAGGCTGAGTCAACTCTCCACAGGCTGCATCATCCTGGGCGGCGACTCTTGGCTGTTCTCCTGATGGCTGGAACTTGCTTGATGACGACGGCTATGCCGCCTGTGTGATCGTTTCACTTTCTGCGCTCTCTGTCATTTCTCGTTTTTCCGTTCTTGTAGGTATTCGTCTCTCGTTATTGTACTCATTCTGTATTTTGTCGTTATTGCTCGCTCGTTACGCAGTTTTACATGTCGGATTCTTCGCTCTCTACTTTTGTTTCTTTTTTTGCCTAGTTTCTCTTCTAATTTGATATGGGCTTCATCCGTCGAAGATTCATCCTACCTCTAGTATTATCATCCGTTTTCCTCTTTTGCCTACTACGTTCGAACTCAGTGGCCCCCAATGGCTCAGCATCTACTCACCGGCACCGACATTACGGTCACTGGTGGAAGAAATATGTCGAGGACCACCCAGTTACCTCGATGATCCCCTTGCCGACACAAGCACCAGCCGATATTCCCACTATCCAGTACGACTTTGCAGAAGAAGATGATGCTGCAAAGGTACTAAGAGAAACGAGGAGAGACGCAATAAAATCGGCCTTTTTGCATTCTTGGAATGGTTATAAGAAGCATGCCTGGGGGATGGACGAGGTTGGACCTTTGTCCGGGAAGAGCAAAGACACCTTTGGTGGATGGGGAGCTACCTTGATCGACAGCCTGGATACACTTTGGATTATGGGGTTAAAGAAGGAATTTGAGGAAGCGGTTGCTGCAGTTTCCCGTGTCGATTTTTCCTCGACTGAGACCCTAACCGTCAACATCTTCGAGACCACAATTCGTTATCTTGGTGGCCTACTAGCGGCTCATGACTTGACAGAAGGGGCCTATCCAGTTCTCCTCGAAAAGGCCGTCGATCTGGGCGAATTCCTGTACATTGCATTCGACACGCCGAACCGGATGCCTGTGCTGCGCTGGTTCTGGTTAGCCTCCAAAGAGAAACGAGATCAAGAAGCTAGCAACGTCAATGTTCTAGCTGAGCTGGGTTCCCTGTCGGTCGAGTTCACTCGTCTGACCCAGCTGACAGGTAATCCTAAGTACTATGATGCCATCCAGCGTATCACCAATGTACTAGATAAGAGCCAGGACCACACTGCGCTTCCAGGCCTGTGGCCTATCTCCATCGATGCCCTCACGCCGAATTTTATGGTCGATAATAGATTCTCTTTTGGCGGACTGGCAGATTCTCTATATGAATATCTGCCCAAGGTATGCACATATTATGGCCCACTCAGTAGAGATGTTGTAACTTACCCGGATCAAGGAATACCTTATTCTCGGCGGAAGATTGTCTCAGTACCGTTCTATGTACGAAAAGGCAATCGACGTGGCCAAGAAACACATGTTCTTCCGCCCCATGACGGAGAACGGTGATGATATCCTGATCTCCGGAACCGTGCGTGCTAGAGGAAAGTCAATAAGCCTAGAACCAGAAAGCCAGCACCTGACGTGCTTTGCCGGAGGGATGGTGGCAATCGGCTCTAAGATTTTTGACCGTCCGGACGAACTTGATATTGGCAGGAAGCTTGTAGAAGGCTGTATCTGGGCATACAAGAGTATGCCTTCAGGGGTTATGCCAGAAGCCTACCACGCCGTTCCCTGCTTCGACGAACATGTCGGATGTAGCTGGAAAATTCGTGAATGGCTCAACAGCGAAGATGACGAGCAACAACCAATAGAAGAGCTTAAACGCCGGGCAAAGGAAAAGGGAATGTATCCGGGCTTCAAAGTCATCCCTAGCCCGGCCTATCATCTTCGGTAAGTGATCTTTTTTGGGCAAGGTACGCTTAAGTTGATGGGATTCTAACCATCGCATCCACGACAGACCAGAAGCCATTGAATCAGTGTTCATCCTCTATCGCATTACGGGAGACACGTCTCTCCAGGACAAAGGCTGGGAGATGTTCACTGCCATCGATAGAATGACCAAAACCGAGATTGGCTACGGCGCTGTTGAAGACGTCACGGCAGCGCATCCCATCATCACGGACGAGATGGAGTCTTTCTGGACGGGCGAAACCCTCAAATATTTTTACCTCTTATTCAGCGAGCCGGATCTCATCAGTTTGGATAAATATATTTTTAACACCGAAGCCCACCCACTGCTCCGCCCGTCCTAGCATCCATCTACCCCTTTACTGAGCTATAATATACACAGCTTATAGCAGTTGCTTTTGGCCATGTTAGTTGCATAATCAAACATCTATTACCCAGTCAGACTCATTTAAATTATTAGAGGCAACAGTCCTTCTATCACGGACTCAATAACTACCTGAAGGCTATGCATGCCCATATGAGTCTCGGGCTCCTTCACCATCCTGTCTTCGAATCGTTGTCTAATACTCTGCCGGACATCCTTATTAACATTCCTATAATTCTATCTAAAACAATGGACAAAATAGATAATAACAACCTTCTTTATCCCTTGCCTCAATAGTGTCTCCTTGCGTCAATGTTTCCTTGACCTTACCTTACTAATATTTAAACCCGATGGTCCGGCCCTGGTGGTTGGCCCAGGCATAATTATCAAGAGACCAAGTTTTAATATGTCTTGCCCACTCAAGGCTCCATTAACTAAACTAAAGCTGGTTATATGTGGATGCAGTCGGTAACTTCGCTGCCTGCGCTTGCATTGATATCAATTGTCAATAAGGCTTTTGCTGCAATGTAAATCAAACAAAGAGGTATAAAAAAACATTTCAACCAGCTCTCGGTGAATCCATGCTCAGTTGCTCTAAGGGGGCTCACCAATTGCTATAGTAGCATTCCGTAGGCGCTAACTAGTAACTAAACTTCCCGGGTCAGGGGTTTGAAGCCAGGATCGAAAAATAAGATTAACCAAACAGGATTCAACCTTCAGCAGAGAGCATCACGGAGATCCATATTGATCCATAATAGTCTCAATGACATTGTTTTTGCACTCTCATATCTATACTTATTTTTCAACCAAAGAGTAAAATATACCTAGGTAGTTGCCTCACGCTCCATCTAGATATTGCTTCACACGCCTCGGCTATCGCTTGGTCCATGAAGATTATCAACCTTGGAGATGCATGTACGATTGTTGCCACTAGCCTCAGTTACTCCGTACAGCTCTCAATGTGCAGGCCAGTCGACAGGATCAATGCTTCGAAGCTCACAGGCAGCTCTTGGCTCTATCATCTGAGAGACCTTCTCCGTAGTTAAGACCGAGGCTTAGAGCGAGGAGAGTGGCCACAAACATCTGCATCACATAGCAATTAGTCAGACTGATTCTCCTCGTCGCGAAGATGATGTCGCTGCCGCTGTTGGTTAAGCCATTCAAAGATAGCCTTGCTATGTATCTCGTTCTACGTGAGTTTTGACAGAGCTAAAAAATGAGCCCAAGAAGTTCTGGGGGTTTCCAAACAGCCCTTTCCTGTGAGATACGGATCAATGGAATATAAAATGCAGCTAGTTCCTCGTCTCTAAACCTCGTCCGTCCAGAGGACTTCCCATCTACAACCAACTAATCTTTCCCCTGTTGGGAGCCTTTCATTTATTTTCCCCGTCATTCTTTTTCACTGCTGCTTTTTCCATTCTTTATTCATTTTCGGCCCTCAAGATCACGGTAGCTGGTATAAGCATGGTCATTTTCATCAAACTCTGGCTCAGCCTAGTAATTTTCACTCTCGCCGCACAAGCCCTGCCATCAGGGCCAGATTTGCGTGGCTCAGTACCGTTGCCATCTGAGGACCCTTTCTATCAACCACCACTCGGTTATGAATGCGCTCGACCCGGTACCATCTTGAAGCAACGCAAAGTTCCAAACCCCATTGCTGCTCTAGGCAAGATTCCCGTGAGCTTGAAAAGTGCACATCATGTCATGTATCGCACATCCGACAGCTTTTCCAATGCAACAGTCGCGGTCACAACAATTCTAGTACCCGAAAACGCCGACCACAGCAAGCTTCTCTCTTTCCAGGTTGCAGAGGATGCTTCCTCTCCAAACTGTGGTGTTTCTTATGCTGTTCAGAGTGGCCATCAGGTCGGACCCAAGTACGGCACAGTTGTTACCCAAACTGAATTCCTCTTGATAATTGCTGCCCTTAAAAGCGGGTGGGTAGTAACAGCCCCTGATTTTGAAGGGCTGGAAGGCTCATGGCTGGCCAACTACCGTGCTGGGTATGCTGTGCTTGACGGTATTCGCGCAGCCCTTGCCTCTGGCTACTTTACTGGAGTAGCGCAAGATGCCGTTGTCACAATGTGGGGATATTCAGGCGGCAGCCTTGCCTCTGGCTTCGCTGCCGAACTTCAACCGTGCTATGCTCCAGAGCTGAAAATTGCCGGTGCTGCTCTCGGAGGGACAATTCCCAAAGTCAAGACAGTCGTCCAATCAACCAACAAGAGCGTCTGGGCGGGTTTACTTCCAGCTGGTATCTACGGACTAAGCAAAGACTACCCTTTGGTCAACTTGGTCATCGAGAATGGGTTAAAGCCAGAGAAGAAGAAGGACTTCCTGAGGGTAGCGGACCAGTGCTTTGTCGCAAACATCCTCGATTTCGCCTACGAAGACATTTTTAAATATCTCCAGGACCCGGGCGCTTTCGACCGACCAGAACTAGCAGATATCATTGAAAAAAACTCCATGGGGAAGAGAATCCCTAGGATCCCACTCTTTGTCTATAAAGCCGAAAAAGATGAAGTCAGCCCCGTGGAAGAGACCAACGACCTTGTCGAGTATTATTGCAATAACGACGCCATTGTCCATTATAATCGTGATTTGAAGACAAATCACCTTATCCTGGCTCTTACCGGTGCCCCTGGCGCCCTGAACTGGCTAGCTGACAGATTCGAGGGTAAACCTATTGGCACGAAATGCAAAGTAACCGAGGAGTTCATGAGTTTATCGGATCCTCGAGCCAATAGAGTTATGAGCTTGAGACTTATTAGTGAGTTCCTGGTAATGCTGAGTAGGGTTATCAACGGCCCTACAAACCTCACACGTACTCGGTAGTTAACGAATAACGATGCCTTTATTATATATACTCATGATATCTTTTTGCATAAAGAATATCTTAATGAGCTAATACTAATAGAAACATTTTTATTTGTCAGTGCTCTGGCCGAGAATTGCATGTTGTTTCTGCAGAGTTGAAGATGCTCACACCATCTTTTTTATTTGATAGAAGCAGAAGCAGGAATCATTGCTTAGTAATGTGTTGTTTTGGGTCATGTGACTGAGAATAGCCAATGATATTGTATATCGACCTGACAATAACACACTGCACTTCGATTGGCCTGCTGGGGTAGCTTTATCTTATCTTATCTCTATGACTAAGCTCGATGCTGACCTCAACTCCTTGCTTGATATTCGGTCAAATAGCAGAGGCAATAATCAAGTGCCTTGCACTCTCCTATTCTTCCGGACTTATTTTTGTGATTTGTCTTACTAGCCTATGGCTGGGAAATTACGGCAATGGAGAGCTTCGACGATGTGGCTCTGTCATTAAAGACAGTTGCAGAAATGGGTTCCTTTAGTGAGCAATCAGCTGCCTGTCAGCCACAACCGCACGAGCCTTCAGATATCAGGCGGACGTCGTTTGATAACGCTGCTCGACATGAAGATGATGGGGGCGCTACTAATGCTATAGAAGACCATAATAGCCTCAACTCCTCGCTATCTGACTCCCCGGCAACCGCCTTGAACCAATACGACCCACAACGGACACACGGGGAGACAAATAGACAAACACAACAACACGCAGCCAATTCAACGACCATCGACAACTCCATTGACGGACGCCGTGGCTCAACAAGCATGCTGATATTTGAAGACGATGGTGAAGGCGGTGATGAGGAGCCTCATGTTGCTAAATCGTTCGAGAGAACCACCTCGCCAACTAATGCAACGCATAGGGGTCGAGATGACCCTGACACTAGAAGCGATGGCAGTAGCATCGGGGGCGTGGGGCAAGACGGGGAGCTTCCCTTCGCTAAAATGCACAAATTTTCGTTATACGAAACTTCTACAAAGTATTATCTGGTTGGAATGGATCTCCTTGACCGACGCTTCCGGATGCTAAAGATTGATCGCACCTCAGATCCTGAGGAAGACCTTGTCTTTGCAGAAGATGAGACTATATACTCAAAGAAGGAGATGAATCAACTTCTCGATGCTGTGGACGATGGCAACAAAAGCTCTGGCGGGTTGAAACTGCGTTGTAGCACCTGGGGACTCTTGGGGTTTATACGTTTTACAGGTTCATACTATATGCTTGTTGTGACAAAACGAAGCCAGGTTGCAATGCTAGGGGGCCACTACATTTATCAAATAGACGGGACAGAGCTTATACCATTGGAGTCTCCTGCTACGGCCAAGCAAAGGCCTGAAAAACACGCAGACGAATCACGATTCGTTACGGTGATGAATAACATCGACTTGACACGCTCATTTTACTTCAGCTATTCGTATAATATCTCCCGTACCCTGCAAGACAATATTGTTTCGGAGAGACAAGCGATCAGATCAGGCCAGAGAAGCTACGGAAACCGTGACCACAACTCTATGTTCGTTTGGAACCAATATTTGCTAAACCCTGTCATCAAGTCTCTCAAAAACGCATTTGATTGGTTTCTGCCAATCACCCACGGATACGTTGACCAGTCGGCTATATCGATTTACGGACGGCTTGTATACCTGACTCTAATTGCTCGCCGGTCCAGGTTTTTTGCCGGTGCTCGGTATCTTAAACGTGGCGTTAATGATCTTGGATATGTGGCCAACGACGTCGAGACCGAGCAGATTGTTTCTGATATGCTTACCACATCTTTCCATGCCCCCGGCCCTGAGCTCTACGCGAATCCGCAATACACTTCCTATGTCCAGCACCGCGGGAGTATTCCTCTAGCTTGGACGCAAGACAGCACTGGAGTCACACCCAAGCCTGACATCTCATTGAGTCTAGTTGACCCCTTCTATTCCGCTGCGGCTCTCCATTTCAACAACCTTTTTGAAAGATACGGCAGCCCTGTCTATGTCCTCAATCTTATTAAAGGCCGGGAAAAGGTTCCACGTGAATCCAAGCTGCTGACAGAGTATACAAATGCCGTGAATTATTTGAACCAATTTCTCCCTAGTGATAAGAAAATCATATACCGTGCTTGGGACATGAGCAGAGCATCAAAAAGCCGTGACCAGGACGTTATTGGGACATTAGAATCTATCGCAGACGATATCATTCCAAAAACAGGGTTTTTCCGAAACGGTGAAGACAGAGCATCGGGCCTGAGTATGCAAAATGGAGTTGCAAGGACAAATTGTATTGATTGCCTCGACCGAACAAATGCTGCTCAATTCGTCATTGCAAAACGCGCTCTAGGATATCAGTTGCAAGCCCTTGGTTTAATTGATCATACGTACATTGATTATGATACGGATGCTATCAACACGTTCACAAATATGTGGCATGGCCACGGAGACACCATTGCTGTGCAATACGGAGGTTCACATCTCGTGAATACTATGGCCACCTACAGAAAACTGAACCAGTGGACAGGTCACTCCCGCGATATGGTGGAGAGCTTCAAACGGTATTACAACAATTCTTTCCTCGATGCTCAAAGACAGGAGGCATACAATTTATTTTTAGGAAACTACGTGTTCTCTAAAAATATTCCAATGCTCTGGAACCTTTCCACGGATTATTATCTACATCATTCCGATCCACGGACCTGGCTTGCAACAAATAAACAAAACTATATAAATTGGTATAACGAGGAACACCTTCAAAAGCGAGAAATGCCGCCTGCTCCATCAGCTTCCTCAGCTCTAGCAAGCAAACGTATTCGAGAATTTGATGATTACTGGCTTGAATACTATCGCCCAAGAGCTATATCCACCTTTTCGAAAATGTTTTCATTTAAAATGAGAACTAAATTGCCAGATTATCAACTTCAATCAATACATCCAGGAGAGCATGACCTTAGCCCCTTTGTGGTTAGAACAGATCATGAGCCAGATCATCAACGTGATAGGAAACAGGCGCCGAATAAACGGCTCACGATTCTAGAGCCCTCCGACGAGTTAAAGGATATGAAGTCAGGGTCAAACAATGGTTACTCGGGTGCCATGCCTTTACAGCATTGGCTTCAGCCCTCATCCGGAAGACTTCTTCCCCAAGCCGGTATTTTGAAGGGGACTCAAAACGCTCAAGCTGCAAATTCCCACACCACTAATGATCCAGTGACTCTCACAAGTGCATATAGCCAGCCTCCATATAACGCCACAAAAGCTCAGATTGCGCAATGGAGCTTCGGCCAAATGATTGCCGATTCTCTCAACCCATCCCTCTCCTCCGCAGAGGCAGAAGAATACGAACGATATGTTAATCACCCGCTTAAGGTGCCGCTGGTTGTTACTTCGGAGGCCTCACTGACCGCTGCATCTTTGGAAGAGAGAGGCTCAAATTTAGATCTGTTTGAATACGCAAATACGAGTAACCTGGAAAATGCAAACTTGAGCACGATCGCTGAGAGTAGCATGGTGGACTACACAGATTTCCTAACAGTTGGAGATGAAGGGCTTACCGTTAACCAGGATGACTATGACAAAAAGCGCTACAAACGTTACCGACAATGGCTAAGGGGGAAGAGCTTATTTAAACAAGGCGTTGAAGTATGATGTTTCTGGTATTATATCTCAATTTTTAATAATTGATTTTGCAGCGTTCGTCGTACACTCTTGGTTTTTGATACCCTAGTTAACTTGATACCTTAGAGCTAGAAATACTTGTTTTTTTGAACATACTGATAGTAACAATAGATGATCCTATATAAGCAGAAGACTTTCCAACCTAGCGTCGGCATCTACCATAGTCTTAAGCTCGATTTCGAAATCGGCAGCTTTTTCCAACTCAATAGCCTTCAAAAGTACCACCAAGCCTTGTAAAACAGACCGAAGCTGTACTCTGTCATCCGACTCCTCCTTATTCGAGAATATGCCATCCTCCTTATCATCACACAACCTAAGCCAACATGTGCATATTCCAGCTAATATATCGCCTCTCCATCTTGATAAGCGCGGCCAGCAATTCAAAATAACTGACTGGTAGCACTGGCCAGCAGCAATGAGTAATGGGATATATGCTAACCCAAAAGGGTTTGTGAGCGTTGAGGAAAGCAGAGGGACAACATCCTGCAAGTACTTCGTAGCTTCAATTTCAAGGCTGCTCACTGCTTCAGCCAATTGCTTCAGCAATAGTGTAGAAAGTAATGGATGGGGATATGAAGAAATTGATGTGTCCTCGGTTGGCCTCGGGCTGCTGGTATGAAGATACGAGGATATAATATGATGGCGGACAATTCGTGAAAGTGATTCAATCCGTAGCTGGGTATCCCTTTCAAATTCAGCCTTGGGTTTCGTAGGCTGTGGCTTGCTGAAACCTCCTTTGTAATTTGCAAAAAAAGCGAACCGCGTCCTGATAACGGAGAATATAGCTGGATATGCTAAACTTAGGAGATATACCGATTCCTTCTCTGGGGTGATTGTAGGTATAGATAAGAGGCAGTGAGACAACGCATCTTGAAAAACAGAGTCAAGGTTTGTGCGGCGTAAGATATCGGATTTGGCCCGTTCAAGTGGGCCAAGGACGGCCTTGAGTAAGCTACAGCCTGCAGCTTTGTATGCAATGTTTTCGTCATCAATGAATGATAAAATTGCAGGAACAAGCAGCGGGAAGTGTCGTTCGATCATACTATATTCTGTGTTCTATATTGATACCTTAGCTTAGATGCTAGAGAGCGAACACAATCCAGACTCACATACCTGGTATCGTGTGACAATCCAGCTGAGAATTGATACAATATACCCTTCTTTGAATTTCCACGGTTTGGTCCCTGTATCAAATAGCGTGGGGTCAAAGCTTGGTTGGGGAATTGGATGGATATCCTTGCGTCCTGCGGGAGTAATTGCTGGAGTCTTCGTTTTAGAGAATGCCGGCTTCACCTTCTTGCGAAGAATGTCTTCAATAATAGTGCCAAATAAATCTTCTTCCCGCAGTTTTAATTCATATTCTTGGAGAAGCTTGGTCGTCATTCGGGCAGCTTCATCTGTTGTCCAAGGGTCGCTTGATGAATTGAACATAGCAAGGCTTGGGAGGATATCTTCAGCATGCTTAGTCCCATCCGCTAAAACAATGGGAAGTATATGAAGTAGCACTCGTAATCCAACGGTTGCTTTGAGCCGATCCTCTCGGTATTTTGATATTATGGAAGTTTTTTGTTCCCCTGCCTACAGTTAGAATCAGACATTTCCACGCGAGAACAGAGGGCATAACGCTAACCATCTGCAAGCTGAAAATCACTCCATGAAGATGCAAGCTCTTCTCCCGGAGGAAGAACGCCCAATGTCCAGTGCAGTATTGAGTTTGCAGCACTTATATTTTTGTCGTCTTCAGGCTTTTCAGCCTTCCTGTCGCGAAGGCAAGCCTCTGCAACGAGGAGATTTTCGAGTACCTACTGATTATTAGATATCTCTCCTGGAGATATATCTGGAAATACTAACATCACCATCGTCTTTGCGTCCACTAATATCTGACCAGAGTTCCTCAAATTCAACGTTGTATGTTGGCACATCTTGGGTATAGATGTCTGGACCATTGTTCCTCCTAGTCGTCTTTAGAAGTTTTCGAGCATTTTCGCGACATTCATCCATGTTTAGGCCAGCGGATAGAAAACCGGGATTTAACACTCCCAAGAAGCTATGAGCTATGCAGGAGCATAAATAAAGGTTGCTTCGCCAACCACGTAAATAGCGTACTGTTGGAGAGATTGTATTTAGGTTGCACGTAACTAGACTTGAACATAGGTAACTAAAGGCAAAGCGGCGCTAAGAGAAAATTGACGCTGGTGGGCGTAACCCTAAGGTGTTTATTAACTACAATTTGTTCAGGGGATGAGAACGCATAGCAAAAACTTTCAATGTAAAGACACTTATTATCATTATCTACTTAATATTGGGACTTGGGATAATGAAAGAATACGAGGTTATCCTATTTGCGGCCATGGAAGTGCGGTACTAGAAAAGTTTCATAGCTCTAGTTGTCTATCAAAGCCGTTGCTTGAATAGCCCACCGGGCTATGCTACTGCAAGTATGCCGGATGCCTACGCATACTCATCTTTTCTCCGTATAGCTTCTTCTATTGCACCCGCTGCATCTGTCCGGTCCGGATTCCGAATTTGCCATTCCACGGCAATGTCCAGAGCGGTTGTCAGCCACGCTCCCGCTTTCGAGTTCAAGGCTTTTATCATATCTCGTCCATTCACAAGGGGCTTAAGATTGTTCACTTCAAGGAGATTTTGCTCTTCCAAGAACTTCAGCACCTTTAGGTATTCGTCCAAGACTATCCGCATGGAATTAGTATTGTTCAAACGTGCCAGCCTGGTGCAGTGAAACTTACCAGGTTGAGCAGCTTTCCCTTGCATAACATCCAGTAGTATTGCTTGAACAAAACAAAGCCTCCAATCCGGGCCTAGGGTTCGGAGAAGTTTTGCAAGTTTCCACCGGGCGTCAGATGGAGAGTCATTGAGTTTCCCGCTAACATACTCCGTTTTGACATCAGATATCAGCCCATAACGGGTGACTGCCACACTTAACAAGACTGTTAATTTCTTTTCGCATCTTAGGCCATCCCGGGCAACCCTCGTTGGGCGAGGGGCCATTTTTCTAGCCTCTTCTTCAGTTAGGGGGTGTTTGACATCAACCATCGCCCAAGGAGAAAGTGCCGCAATCATCCATGATCGATATTTTTCATCTTTATCACGGATAAGGAAACCTTTAATCGCTTTCAGAAGCTCAAGAGACACTTTAGAATCGTCTACTTCGCCTAAAATACTGTTCAGCAAAATATACGCCGTTGGCCACGATGATGTATCAACATCAATCTCGCTCAGATGATCTGAAAAGATTGTGTCATATAGGCCTAGCCGGTTTATAATTTCCAACGATCCCAAGGGGTCAGGGCCTGAAAAAATCATGTCAATAAACATTCTTCAATATGTGTGATATGGCATAGCTCTAAAGACATACCGCGAAGCATCTTCTCGATCTCAATACCAATTCTCTCTTGGCTTATTTTTAGTCTCAGGGAATGTTTGATATCATCATTGTACATTGATTCCTCAGTATTAGGGTCGATGGTATATCCGAGTCTACTGGCAAACCGGATCAATCTAAGGACTCTTAACGGGTCATCCTTGAAGGTTTGATACGGTTCCATTGGAGTGCGAATTAGTTTATCTCCCATATCAGACAGCCCCCTACCGGTGAAATCTTCTACTTCGCCAGTATGTATGTTGTAGAACAATGCATTGATGGTAGCATCACGACGAAAGGCGTCCTCTTCTGCAGTTCCAAACTCGACTTGTGGATTCCGACTAGTGTCCGTATAGGTTTCTTTCCGTAGGTTAACCAAGTCTACGTCGAATCCAAAGACTCGGATTGTGGTAGTCTCGAGGTGTTTTGATTTCTGCGGGTTAGCGGCAATCTTGTGTAGTCCGCCAATGACTCCCTTGAGAGCGTGCTCTGGATAATGAGCCTTGTACTTCTCAAGCTTCTCCGGGATATCAAGGTATTCCTTCAGGGCCAGGCCGAAATCATAGCCCGTCATGGTGCTGATCCCAACATCAATATCCTGACTGCCCACTCCCAGTACTTTATCACGTACCCAGCCCCCAGTAAACCGAAGGACAAGGTCAGACACTTTGGGGTCATCGTTATTCTTAAGCCGTACGTATTCCACAGTGTCTAGTAGCAGCGTTCGTAGGAGCGCTTCCTCTGAGCTTAGCTGCACCCGTGGCACCTTCACTTCAGTTCCCTGTGCCATTGCACCTTCAGGTACAGCCGAATTCACGATGCGCCTTCGTTTGTTCGGTCTCTCAACTCCACCAGAATAGTCAGTCATAGGCAAAACGGCCGCTTGCTGTGTGTGGTTGAATCGATTCAAGTTCACCAGAGGGCGGATAGCCTCCACACCAGGCTGTTGGCGCGCACAAAGAGTTCGTGGACGAAAAGTTCCCAGCTGCCTGAGCAACAGGCGCATTGAATTGACGTCCGCAGAGATTTATCTTAAATCTATAAATTTTCTAGTGGGATTTGCGTGGGGAGCGGGCTTATTATATCCATCTACGTGTGTGAGTCAGTGACAGTCATCGTCCAAAGGGACAAGGGACAGGAGAACCGCACCTAAGCTATGCTACAGGCCAAAGAAGACGGACGATAACCGGCAGAACCGCATTGTTATCTCGTAGATTGCCGTTGTGAATCGCTGGTAGAAACGCTGCTGGGCTTGATGAAGTCATAGAGAGAATATTTCGTTTTTATATGTCTTGGGCAGATTTGCTCGCGAACAACAACCAACGACAACGCTCAATGTCAACGTCAACACCAACATCCTCAGCCTCGACTTTGGATCTCGCGACGACTGGAAGGACACTCCGGACGCACTCTCGCATACAGAGCAAGGCATAGACTACATGTTCACGGAAAGCAGCCAATCTAGCACACGCGTACTCAAACCTCCGTCAAACAGACCGAGTTGTCCATGACAACCCCCGAGGATGCTCCCCCGATCAAACCGCCGCCCTCCTTCTCGCCGGCCTCACCTCTTCCCACAAAGTCCAGGTACGCGGAGCGCCTGCAGAATACACAGCAGTCGGCGCTGACGTCTCTCTCTGAGAGCCCCCTGCACAACTCTCTGGCCTCAGAGCTACAGTCCTCGCCCTCATCCCGGGCCAGCTCGCCTGATCGTCGGCTTTCTCGCTCCTCCCAGCGGCTCTCTAGATCCTCGACGCTTTCGCCAGCTAGACATCAGATCGATGCTGCAGATGATATACGGTCTACGATAATCCGGGCCTTTTCTCCGGCCATCAGCGTTTACGCTTCGCAAGAGACGAATGAACTTGTACGGAGAAAGGGGTTGAAGGGTGGTTTCTGCGAGCTCCTGCGGCCGTTTGGCGAAAAAATTACCGGCAAGGTTATCATTCGAGACGGAGTGGGATCTAGTCGGAGCTGGGATGACTACGGGGTACGATTTGTGCACTCGAATGGTTGCCGGCAGACTTCGGCCGCGGGGGCTGAGGATATAGACAAGATACCCCTTTTGGCTCAGATCGAAAAGGTCTTGGAAACCCACCTAGAGCCATCTAATCGAGCCGCGAGTGATGCAATATTTACTGGTCAACCTACTCCCAAGGGTGTGACCTTGTCATCCCCTCTATATAGGCTGTTCCTAAGACGGCTATTATCAGCAGACGCTCCTACCCCTCATGAAACCTTTCTTCACCCTGTAACATGCGTTATAGCCATCAGTTCCAGTACACCGTCTCCGTTAGAAGCTCTACGCCAGCTTTACGCAGTTACAAGTAATGGAGAGCAAGGGCCCCAACCCTGGATCCATCCAGAATACCTCCGATACTATGTTCTTGTGCATGACGAAGATAGAGACGACATTACTCAATCAACCGCATTATTTGATCAGATGAAACGGCACTTCGGTCTACATTGTCACATGTTACGGCTTCGAAGTAACCAGTGCGTTGTAACAGATGACGATGGTATGCCATTTCCATCATGTGAATGGCAAAGTTCGCGAGAAGAGTTGATAGAAGCCAGAGAACAAGGTATACCCCCTATGGATGATTGTAAACATATTTTTGCCAGGATAAAACTAACGCATGTATGTCTACAGAACCCTTGATAGATGTGGGGTGGGAATCTCCTCATATATTCGAGTCCGATGTTACAGCCATTATATCCTTTATCAGGGAGCTGGTTGCTCAGTCTGTTATTCCTCACATGGAGAACCGGGTCGCCATGTGGAACGAACAAGTTGCCTCCCGAAGAAGGGGTCTAAGTGGCCGCTTCATGTCGATATCCAGACGCTGGACCGGGTTTGGTTCGAGTTCAAAGTCCTCCGGCGCCTTTGGAGGCGGTAGCAGTGGAAGCAACTATGATCCCTACCAGGGGTATTATAAGCCAGATTCCCCTGAAGCACTATTACGGAAGATGGCGGATTATTCTTTTATGCTTCGTGACTTTAAGCTTGCTTCGTCAACGTACGACCTTCTCAGGAGCGACTTTGGGAATGACAAAGCTTGGAGATACCATGCCGGAGCTCATGAGATGTGTGCTATAAGCATGCTACTCAACCCCCTTACCTCAACTAATAAATCCAAACTTGACGCTGTCGATCAACTGCTAGATATTGCATGTTACTCATATCTAACTCGATGTTCAGATGGCCAAAATACGCTACGCACAATCATACTTGGAGCTGAGCTTTTGAAATCTCGTGGCGGCCCTGCTGCTGAAAATGCCGCCAAGTGGAACATGAAAGCCCTCAACATGAACCTCGTTGGCCCTATCGGCCGAATTCTCGTCTCTGAACGGACTTCTGCATGTTTTGCCGCAAAGGTTGCAACAGAAGGCACCAAATGGGGAACCAGACGGCGGAAGGCCGGGATGTGGTCACTTCTCGCTGCTGATTACTGGCTATCAATTGGGAAACCCGCTCTTGCATCTAGCTGCTTGGAGGAAGCCGAAAGGCATTATGGACCTATACTGGAAGAGGGACTATTTGCCTTTCCTGATCTACGCACATACGTAGAGGAACTGAGACTGTCTGTGAAGATGGGATGCCTTGAAGCTCAAGGACTGGAGGCAGAGGAGGATGAAGTTTCTGACGAGCAACCTGATGCTACCGAAGAGATGAATGAGAAACTCCCTTTCCGTCATCACCGGCGGTCTATTCTCGGGTCGGTTGGACCATTAGAAACTGTCCAGTCAGCCAAGCTCCTAAGGACGGAGGATGAGGAGCCTGAAGATGATGACTTTGAATGAACTAGACCACTGACACCCTCTATGCTTCCATAATTAATACCTCATACATTGGCTAATCCATTCGAACGCCGTACTTCTTTCTGTTCTTTCTATGCCTCAATTTTGCAGCTTTAGCCGGGCCCTCAAAAGGTTCTCCTTCTATCTCATGTGTGATCAATGTGTTCTTGCCCTTCATTTTTGGCCCGGCGTAAGACGTGCGGCATGCATCCTCGTCAACGGCTTGCTGGTCAAGCACGGTAAACGTAGATTCCGCGAATCCTGGATACCGATGATGTGCCATCCAATCCCGAATCCCGCCATCTGTGTTGTTCAAGAACGGAGATTTGAAGCCTGAAATAGGCTTGCGAGAGCCGTGTTTGAACTCAAGTAAGACGTTTGGAGTATGCATGGTGCACCTGAAGACAGTGTCCCTCCTTCAGGTAGCTCCATCCATTAATGAACCAACCGAGCATCTAGATAAATGTCAGTGAAACGATAATGACACAAATGTGACTCGGCCACTAGGCATACCTTCGGAGGGATGTTCGGCCATCTATGTTGCTATAAAGCTCATCACAGCCATTTGAATATATGTATATCCATTTAGCTATGACGTCATAGTTGCACATTTTATCCACAAAATTGATTTTGGCTTATATTTTTATCACTTTTTGTTCTTAAAAGGACACAGAGCAATGAATTCAATGCAAAGACACGGGATAGAATGGTAGGAAAGGAAATTCAAGTACAAAGAAAGATAGAGGCGGCTAATTTTGGGGCGGTAATCTTAAAGTTTTGTGTAAGCGCGATAACAGCAAGCGCGCGGGGAGATAATCGCGGCATTTAACATCAGCCGCCAAACGTCAACATCAAACTCCACTAAAGCATAGGTCGCGTTTCTCTGGCCAGAAGAGTATACTTTGGTAGCATTATCTCTACCCTTTTTCACTCATACTGCAATGAAAACGTGATGAGTGAGCTTTTATCGTACATCCTTGACCACGAGGATGCCTTCCGCAGGTAATACACCATTGTTTTCCTTCTCATGGAGTCAATTCTTATCAGGCTAACTCCTGCTTTTTATATATAAAGGGCTCGCCTGCCATCGTTATATTCCGACTTTTCTCGTCAGAAACAGACAAATCCTGATGGATATAATAGCAATGTAACGGCGTGGCAGCGGGCTTTGGCAAATGCTGCTTTAGCTGGTCGCGTCTCCTCTTTATCATCCAGCTCTGCCTCAAAGTTGGACTCTAGGCAAGAGAGCCTGCCACACAGAAACAACCTGCTTGTCCTACGAACGAGCAATGCTCTCATGGCAGACCTAGAAACACGGGAGTGGGGGAGGCCGCTATCCCTGCAGTGTGCGATCGTACGTACTTCGCTCGCAAGAAGGCCCCACCAGACCGGCACACAACCATATACTAATAGCCGGTAGGATGAAGCATTACACAGTGGTCATATGATGTTACTCGATACATTTCTAAACAGCCAGACAAGTCCTTTCAGGAGCGGCTGGCTACGGTTACCCACCCCTCCCAGTCTATCACAGGTTGTTACATGGGGTATGAAACAGGCTCGAGGCCTAGTAATGGGTTCGGATATCGATAATCTTGCTGGTACAGGCATGCTGCAGACAAGTGAGCTAGTACTCATAGATAACGTCAAGGTACACAAGTTTTCCCATATGAATAACCTGGTATGTCACGAAAACTGATGTTGTTTTGCTAGCAAGCAGCAGGTAGACTTATAAAAGGAGTTGCTGGTCATCATAACTCGAGTGTCGATCGCATATATTCTAAAGAGATGTTCATGTTGCAATTCGCGCATATCTTCGGGGAAGATACGTTGCTATCTACGACAGACTTTAATGTTTTACTTACATACCTTTCGAGAGATAAGAATATTATACTCTACGATGGAAAGGTATGTATTTGCATCAAATATGGCCTTGACGTATAATATGTTCAAGATCGCTAACAAGACCGTAGACAGTGAAGTTTAGGGATGCTAGTGATACCACCGACCGTATCACTGTGGAAGATGGATCAATTGCCTCCCTCAAGGCAACAATTGCCCGGCTAACATTGCAGGTAACAACCCTGGGCGAGAAAATAAAAGAGCTCACTGCCAATGCACAGAATGCTCTTGCAAACAAAAATAGAATCCTAGCCCTATCCTCACTCCGGCTTAGGAAGCTTGCTGAGCGCAATCTTAAGCAGCGCACGGATACCCTATGGCAGCTTGAAGAAGTGTACTCAAAAGTGGAACAAGCTGCTAGCCAAATAGATATCGTACGGGTGATGCAAACAAGTACTGGAGTTCTCCGGCAACTCAACTCCCAGATTGGAGGCGTGGATAAGGTTGAGGATGTTGTTGAAGAACTGAGGAAGGAAATGGACAATGTGGATGAGCTCGGAGGCATCATCAACGAGGCTGGACCGGTCATCGATGAGACTGAATTAGACGATGAGCTACAAGAGCTAGAGGACCAGGAGCGCGAGGCTAGAGAGGCGGAGGAAGCGGAAGAAACTCGCCAACGACTAGAGGAGCTAGAGAAGAACCAAGGGGTAATAAAAACTCCTGCCACTCGTGGCACAAATGATGATCTGGAAGAGAACATTGACAAATTGTCGCAGATGACAATTGGCGACAAGCCAACGGAAAGGGCGAAGGAAGGCACCAAACCTCTACCAGAAACGGTAGAGTAGGCTTCTTTCACCCTCCCTCTCGAGAAGTCATGCTCTACGAGGTATATATGTGCGTGGTCAGAACCACTATAGTATACCCCCTAAGGACAATGGCAGCCAGGAGAATGAACACCGCAGCTTCCATGGGACAACCGCGGCTATGGCGCCGCTACAGCAACCTGCATTGATTTGTCCGTGCTATCAGGCTCTATCTCAGCATGCCCTTGTTCAGCATCTATCTCCTTTAATTCGCTCGGCATTTCCGGAACTGGGTTATTGGTAGTCGTGTTAGTCTCTGTTGATGGTGTTGGCGCTGGCGCTGGTGCTGGTGCTGACAATGGCGTTTCATTGGCATGTTCATTTGACTGGCCATCCTCAGTTGTATCAGGTACTGCTGCCCGTTTAGCTCTCATGCTGCGTGCCTCTGCAATGAGTTTTCTATAGTCATCATCATGGGACTCAGACCAAGCAGTAACATCAAAGTCTTTCTTCATTATTGCAGAATTGGCTCTCGACAAAGCTTGCGAGGTTGCCAATCCGCCCTGGGTTCTTTCCCAAACGTCGAGATCCCGGAGAAGATCTCGTTTTGATTTAGGATTCAAAGAATCACAATTCGCATTCCATAAATTCATCCACTCAGTGTGCCGTTTCTGTAGGATAAGTTTAGGTCCCCAATCTGGAATTCCAAGCTCCTTGAGCTTTTTCCGTAGAGAAGTATCTTTGAAAATGGCGTAATTTATTGCCGGAAGACGAGTTAACGTCTTTGAAGTGCTTAACGAGTTTCTTGATCCTTGAAAGCTAATAGTTCTAGGTAACGGTGTCAATAATAATCCAACTATGGTATTGAACAAGTACGTACCCATACCCATTTGACTTAGCGATATTTCCTTTCTCTGGCGTGCCAGTGCAGTTATCCAAATGAGAAAAGACTGTTTCATTCTTCATCCTTCTCATGCAGACGGGGCAAGCCACGAGCCCGTCATCTAGGGTAACAATTAACCTCCATAGAGAGAGACGTCAGATGATCTGCAACTTCGTACATACCTGGTTGATATTCTTCTTCTTCCTTCTCAGCTTCTTCTTCTTCATCTGCACTATCAGGTATAATCACAGGCTCATGGTCCAGCCTTATGCTGTGTTCTAACCTCCTAGCTTGTGATCTTGTTCGCCTATCAGTGTCCAGAGCCATCGCAGTATCTCCGCCCGAATGGTTAATTTTCCTCCTCTTCGTAGCCGGGCTTTCCACTACATCCTCTTGCCCAGGCCTGGACACTAGAGTTGTATGCACCGCATTATTCCTCACAAATGCTAGCATCGATGGCCTTGCTGCCTTGAAGGACTCAACCAGCTCTCTAACGGCCCAGTTTCGGCGTAGTTTAAGCTCCTGATCGCTGCTGCGGCAGACAGGGCATTTTCCCTCAGAACTCAGACACCGCCGTATACACAGAGAGCAAAACGTATGACAACAAGAGGTGATGACTGGGTTGTCGAAGAAGTCCTTGCATATCTGACATCGTAAGGCGGATTCGAAGCGAGCGACTTCTGGGAGTGGCGTGGCTGTCCAGTCAGTGGAATCAGGTATATCGAAGTTGCGGTCCATCGAGAGCCACGGTGAGTCCTCCAGCTCTCTCCTTCTCTTTGCTGTCTGAGCTAATGAAATAAAATGGTAATATGTTGGCTGTCATGGAGTAAAAATCTACTTGGAGACGACGAAGTCACGACTTGAGGCTCGAGAGAAAAACATCCTGAGGCGACTGCCAAGACTTGCGCTGACACGCGTTAGTTAATTGGTTTTTCTCACGCGTTTTGTTTAACGACAGCAAAACATTTGACGGTGTCAAAGTCGAAGAAAGTGGGAGAAGAGAGGCGACGGCAAAGATGGGGACAAGTTACAAACAGTTTCTTGCCGGGAAAGTGTTTAGCGATGAGGAATTTGTACGTAGGGGAGATTTTCACGCGTGTATCGAGCTTGCATTGACGGACAGAACGTCTAGGTGACTTACAAAGCTCTCAGTAGAGCGCAGAGAGTACACAGCAACCAGGCCAAGCGGTAAGTATTAATGGCTCAGAGATACCGTCCATAGACTAAGATGCTGCTACAGAATGCTATACGAGTTTCATCGCTCTGAAAATGAGAAGAAACCAAAGTCAGTCCATGCGACATATCTACTGACCGGAATTTTTGGATGTACCAAAGCATTGCCGCTGGCTGCAGGTCACTTGAAAGATGGCGAAGATGAGGTTATGCAGAGCAGTCCATTCATGAGCAGTCAGCCAGCTCGGCCGGAGACGACAGAGGCTGTGGACGGACCTACTATTACTTCTGTAATACTCGTTCGGGAGGAAGAGCTAGAAGGTACGTGTTCTAGAGCTGGGTCATAAGACGGAGATAATACTAACCCCTATTATAGATGCGAAATGCCGGTTCAAGAAGATTTTATCAATTTTTGTATACAGCGTACAGCCGACTTCTCCCCCAGACTTGAATGCACTGGCAGATATCGGACAGGCATCACCTACTTCTCCTACAGAAGACCCCATTCAGTACAATGAAAAGTACGGGATGATCTTGAACAAGAACGTTAAGGTATGTATGATTTGGCTTATCATATAAAAGCAATACTTACTCTTATTATAGAGACGGTCAGGAGCACCGGTAGTTATGCCGGTGCCCATTAAAGATGTGAACCCAATACAGAAACCCATAGTTAAGAAGGCAGAACAAGAACCTTCAGATAAGAAACACACGACGCAATCTACGGAAAAGAAACCGGAACCATCTTCAACACCTTTTCGGACACAGGGAAGCTCACAGTCAACATCCAAATCATCACAAGGGAAACCTGCACTCAAACGTGACTCTTCAAGTATATTCAAGGCGTTTGCTAAAACAAGGCCAAAGCAACAGCCAAAGGAGGAAGAAGCAGATGTAAGGGAACCGCTTAACACCTAGAGCATTGACATTGATTGCTAACTTTCGTTAGTCAACACCGACGGAGTCTCAAAATGGTACGAAACATCACACGCAACTAACCAATTGGGCATTTGTTAACTTCTGTATAGCTATGCTAGATGATGAGTCTGAGGAGGAAAGAGAGGACCTTTTCGTGGATACAGGGAAAGGAACGAGCAAGAAAGAGCAAGAGTCGAGAAAAGAACGAGAAGAGCGTCTTAGAAAGATGATGGAAGGTAAATATTTATTATATCTCCTCATTATTAAAGATAGTGATACTAACATAATTCAAGATGAGGACATGCCAGATGCATCGGAATCTCCGCCTGAGGAAGAGGAAGCGCAAGAAGAAAGTGACAAGGCCTCCCCGGCGTCAACACCAGCTCCACCGCAGAAGAAGCAAGAGCTCGAACCTGAACCAGAGTCCAACACGTCAGAGAAACGGTCAACGGGTCAACGGCGGAGAGGCAGACGGCAGGTGATGAAAAAGAAGGTGTCCAGGGATGCTGAAGGATACCTAGGTAGGCTCATGCCCGATCAGACACCCCTCCTCGGCCGGCGTCCAAATATCAGAAGCTGACAACACTTTTTCCCCTGTAGTTACCAAAGAAGAGCCAGCATGGGAATCCTTCTCGGAAGACGAACCCGAACCCCCGAAGAGAAAGCCACTGCCATCTTCATCCGCAAAGTCGACAAAGAGTAGTGCGAAATCCAGTCAGGGTAGCATCATGTCATTCTTCGGTAAGAAATAGCCGGCTTCATGAGATGTGACTCTGCATGTACGAAAGGAATAGGAAGCAAACTTTCCTATACTCCTCTATTTCTTAACTATAGAGAAATCAAACCAACGGGTCCCGTTGAACATGTTAACATCAACCTCCTCCTTGTGACCAAATACCTATCATCTCGCACAGAGTACAGGAACAGGGATAAAGCAACCATCTCACATCTACTCCACCGATGTAACTAACTCGGCTAAAGGATGGAAAGCTGATCTTATCGACTCCTCCGAGCCTGCAGATCGATGATCGAAAAAGAACATTGAGATCACAAGACGGTGCAACCGGCATCGTCGCACATACAAACTTGCATCAAGTAGACAAAGCGCAGGGCCTGGCCTTGTCGATGCGTCCGTAAATGAAGGACTATAACACCTGCGTCATAATAAGAGATGGCAGCTTGATCTCGTACCGTCACTTTCCAACACAGGCAAAGGCAAAACGGCAAAGCAAAAGGAAAAAGCAAAGAGCAAGGGAAACCCCCTTGCTACTTCTCCACGCCAACTCCACCACTTTTACTCCGTTCCACCAGGCCTGGTATTTTCTGGGACGTCAAGAGCTTTGCGCGCCCTGAGAGCAGGACCGGGATGGAGCAGTTCTGTACGAGGATGATAAATAGCACACGCAGAGCCAAGTCGAAAAACCGTCGCGGTTCTACATCTTCGCCCCCTGATCTAGCTAAATAACCAGTCATTTGTTTCGGAGGACTTCAAGCATCTCAACAAAAATCACCTTAACTAAGTAGTCTCCGGGCGGCAATGAGGTTTCTCGACATCGCCGTCTTCGGGGCGCTCGCCTGTCACGAAGCATCAGCTACTGACCTCCTGCATACGCGCAAACAAGATATCACCGAAGCCTGTCCTGATTATGTCGCGTACTCGCAGACAAAACAGTGCGTTAGCGTCTGATTGTGATCAGTGCTGTATTACTTAACTAAGTGTCGCTAACCGCTACATTCATCTAGTCCTCCATACAGTGAAGGGCCTCTCAAGCTCTCGTACCAGCGACCTATACCAGAATGCCGGACGTTCTCCTCGCCCTTGGTCGAGAAGGTGATAAAGGACATCACCTCGCGCATGGTCGACAAAGACCTCGCTCGGATATTTGAGAATGCGTTCCCTAACACACTCGACACGACTGTTCGGTGGCACGTCGACGGCACGGAGAAGAAAAACGAAGCTCGAAGAGCAAGCGAGCAGGCGGCGTGTGGGAAGGCCCCCAGTCGTTTATCGTCACTGGTGATATAAATGCAGAGTGGCTCCGGGATTCGACGAACCAGCTAGCGCAATACCAAAAACTGGCGAACGGAGACCCTAAGATAAAGAACTTAATACTAGGAGCTATAAATACGCAGGCTGAATTTGTGATCCAGTCTCCATATTGCAATGCATTCCAACCACCGCCTCCGAGCAATTTACCACCGACAAACAATGGACAGATGGACCAGGTTCACCCAGCATATGAACCCAGCGTGGTGTTCGAGTGCAAGTATGAGCTTGACTCCATTGCCAACTTCCTTTCCCTAGGAAACCAATTCTATGAGGAGACCAAGTCAAAGGCGTTTCTGACGTCTAGGTGGTACGAAGCTCTGAACACTGTTTTGCGAGTACTAGACGAACAGAGCCAACCTACTTTCAATGAAAACGGGCAATACCGGCGCAACGAGTATACCTTCCAGCGCCATACTAATGCTGGTACAGAGACTTTGAGTCTAATGGGTATTGGCAACCCGCTGGGCAACGGCACTGGTCTTGTTCGTAGTGCTTTTCGACCAAGCGACGATACCACCATCCTAGGGTTTTTCATTCCTGCCAATGCAATGATGTCTGTCGAGCTAGCAAAAACGGCGGAGACTCTCTCTAAAGCCGGAGGGGCTAAAGAGCTTATCCAAAGGTTGAAGCAGTACTCCGAGCGGATCCGAGAAGGTATCTATAACCATGCGGTCGTGACACATAAAACATGGGGTCGAGTGTTCGCCTTTGAAGTTGATGGCTACGGATCAAGCATTTTCATGGACGATGCCAACCTCCCTTCACTGCTTGCCCTACCACTGCTTGGATTTGTCGACCAGAATGATGAAGTCTATAAAAATACACGAAAAATGATTCTCTCAAAAACTGGTAATCCTTACTACCTTACCGGATCGGCGTTTCATGGCATCGGTGGACCACATAGTAGGTTTTCTTCCTCCAGTAACCATTTCCTCAAGTCTGCATCTAACCTTCTTGGCGATAGTTGGTCTGCAAAATGCATGGCCGATGTCCGTACTTGTACGTGCCCGGACTGCGAACTCCGATAAGGAGGTTATGGAGTCCATCAATATAGTGCGTGATTCATGCCTTCTAGGCTTAGTCCACGAGAGTGTGGACGTGAACCGTATCGCCAAATATACACGCAGCTGGTTTGCGTGGGCAAACAGCGTCTTCGCGCAAACCATTCTTGACCTGGCAGAGAATAAACCGCACTTGATATTTGGTAAAGGTGCAAAGCCTTACAAAGTTGCCTCTGACGCCCAAGTTTAGCGAATAAGTACCTGTCGAGCGCTTTATTACTGCTTATCCCTTTCCTCTCCCTTTTACATACTTCCCTCCCTTTTACTCCTGGCTTTGGTTCTTTGTGGTACGTCATGAATATGTCTAATGAGAGTAGTTCCATTTATTAATATAACTAATTAACTACATATTGATCTAATTATATAAGTGACTTGTCGATGTCTTGCCTGTTTTATCTATAATTACGGAATAGACTTGTTCTGAGGCTGAAATTGGTGACAAGCAAGATGTTAAACGTGATTGGCCGGAAAATTTAAGGTCGAACTCTGGGAACAAAATTAAAAGTAAAAATCTTTAAATGCGATTGCAAGAATGATCACAGACCATTTTTAACCAGATATCGGTTAGGACAGCAACCATGGCGGAAAAACGGCGTGCTGACTTCCTAGATATAGGATCCGATGATGAAGGGAGTGAGGCTGGCTACAACTCTGAAGACTTCGAGGAATCGAAGGGAAGGGGGTTCAACAAGAGAAGTCAGAACAAGAGCACGGATCTACGGTCAAAACGACGAAGGCTTTCAGACGATGAATCTGACGGCAGTGATAATGAACGTGGATCGGATATATTGGATACAGCATCTGCCATTGACGATGTAGCTCAAGCCAGAAGAGATGGGGATACCTCGACTCGCGCATCCGCCGACCCAGCGCCTACAGACGAATCCACCGCCTCAAAACCGATATCGTCACGTAAAGCAACGAAGAAAACCCGCAAAAATAAAACAGGAGTCATTTATATGTCCTCCTTGCCGCCATACTTAAAGCCGTCCGCCCTAAAATCTATGCTGGTAGCACGAGGTTTTGGCCCTATTACGAAAGTCTTTTTATCGCCTTACGTTCCTCCGACCAGCACTTCCAGGGCCGCTATAAAAGCGAGTCGCAATAAGCGGAGGATGTACACTGACGGATGGGTTGAATTTGAATCGAAAAGAACTGCAAAAATATGCGCAGAGGCTCTCAACGCATCCATTGTTGGTGGTAAAAAGGGCGGATGGTACCACGATGACGTATGGAATATGAAGTATCTACGAGGTTTTAAATGGACAGATCTCATGGAACAAGTACAGAGGGAGAAGAGAGAGGCAGAGGCCAGAAGACGTATTGAGGATACCAAGGCCAGGAAGGAAGAGAAATCGTTCTTGCAGGGACTTGAACAAGGGAAGATAGTGGAGGGTATAAAGAAAAAGAGAGAAGCCAAGGAGCAGCTCAAGGCCGACAGTGGTAACAATGAAGAGCCGGCGCAAAAGAAGATGGAGATCAGGAGAGTGTTCAGGCAAAATGAGGTCAGGGGGAGCAGCGGTGGCTCTGCTGGTGACCCTGGCAGTTCAAAGAAGGTTGACTCTGATACGCAAAGAGTCTTATCGAAAATTTTCTAATCATGAATGTTTCGATGCGATACGGCTATTATCTGCCCTCTTTCCTGGAATAACGCCCTTTCTAAGGCTAACTTCGTCCAATCCGCCCGTCAGGGTATGCAGGAGTCACCCTCCGCCTGAGTCCGATAGAATCTCATCGGTAATCGTGGGCAAAACGACTACCCAGCAAAGCAGGGTATACAAGTCTCAGCTGCTAGAAGTAGCCCTATCATAGGTACAGGGCGCTATGACACTCGGCTCTGTCAGGATTCCCAAGAGGTGTAACGTTTTCCAACGCGAAAGCTACTTCTCCAAGGCACATGCGAGGATGAACTCATGGAAACTTCATCTCATATCAAATTCTCATAGTTTGCTTCACCCGCGCTTAGTATACCTCACGTTGTACGATTTTGTGACTAGGAAGAGAAATTGCCTATAGAGCTTGAATCATCATAGATATTGGCCCTCTAGGTTGACTACCTAATAATCTACAAATTCATTAAGCGTACTAGAATATCCACAGGCGGTGTACGGCTGTATTTATTTTATGCTCGTAGCAGGCAATGTTGCCTACGGTAAATATTGTACTTTTGTTAAAATCACAAATAACGACTTAACCCAACGTCGCTATGCGCTCCTATTGAAAAAAAGACCAACTCTTGGAATCTTTAACCACATGCCCACCATGCGTGTGAAATAGAGGTGAAGAATAGAAATGGAAAAAAAAAAAAAGCAAACAGTGCATGAGCTGCCCAGTCATTAAATCGTCAGGTTGCACCCATGCTATATCCCCTTTTTTGCGTAAAATCATGCAGACACCTCTCTCTCTTACTCGTCCACATTAAGCTCCTCGAAATCTTCTAGCAGCTCGTCCACATTGATCTCAGGGACTTCGTCATCTTCCTGCTCGTCTTCCTCTTCCACCATCTCCATAGCATCAACCTCGACATTCTTCGGTTTCTGGCTATGTTTTGCTTTGTAAAGTGCCAAGGTGCTTCGCAGCTCGGCGTCCTCTTCAACGTCGCGCAAGAACATTTCAAAGTCGTCTTCCAGTCTATTGTTGTTGCTTTGTTTCTTGGAAGGCCGCTCATCTTCCTCTTCCCTATCCAAACGCTTGAGGCGCCAGTTGCGCTTCTTGTTCTTCCTCTTCCTTGGATAATGTTTCTTGACTAAGATCACATCAGGAATTGTGGAACCGTAGGTATGGCTCGCTTCTATCTCCTCAAAGTTGGTGTTGTTGAAGTTGGTTCCAGTTAGGTGGTAGCCCATGACGGTATCTCCAGGATGGAGAATACCACCTAGATGTGTTCGGGCAAAATATGTCGTGTCATTCACCCCCAAGTCGGAAGACCTAGCGACAGTTGCTTCAGCAAGGTGATACCGACCGCTAGATTGGCCAATGGCCTCTATATCCATAACAACGTATTCGACAAGCTCTTGGACATCCGCTAGGTTTGCAAAGGGGGACCTCCAATAAATTGGAGCAGGTATATCGGCAGTTTGAAGAGTTGCGGGATCCAGCACGTTGATAGATGTGCCAACTCTATAGCAAAGGGTGAGTGGAGATATATTTCCAAGGGATCGAGCAAGTTTTATGGGCAGTGCAACAAGGTCGTCCTTGCATATTGGTATTAATTCGGCAGAGAATGTGATCTTATAGGACTTTGAGGAGGTATGGACATCCATGGAAATCAGCTGCTGTGACTTCTTAACTCTTATCGGAGCAACGGATGCGAGGAAATCAACCATCTTTTCAGCATGGTTCCTGGCAGAAAAATAGAAGTCCAGACCATCTTTCACTTCCTTTATATTTATCGTATCCTTGTGAGCTCCGTGCTTGAGGATGAGCTGTTCGAGATAGAGGAAAGTGCGCTTATGAGGGACTTTTTGCCTGACTTGGACAGATGCACGCCATGTATTGACAGTGTAGGATTTAGCGCATTCGGCACACTGCTGGGAAGCAACCACATATTCAACTTCAAACGCTTGCTGCAATATTGTGCCCTGGAATGCTTCCTGCTGAATGGTGATCTTCACCTTAAGTCGTTTTGAGTGCGGTTCGGTCCAAATGAATCCAGCATCGATGATTCGGACCTTAGAAAGGCCTCTCAGCTTACGCAAACATAGCGCAAGTAGTTCTCGAGATTCTAGGGCTGCACTGATCCACTGGGTGGGAGGTTGCAGCCAGCGTTCACAGTCCTTGCAGCAATGTAAGGTGGCTTCACGTTGAACGCCTTCTGAAATGTCAACCGTGAGTTTAATACAGTCTTCGCATAGCGCGCCGGCAGCAGTTGTTCCATCTATAGGGGCACCGCAGTTGCAGCAAAGAATCCTGTAAAAAAAGCCCTTATCAGCGATAAGAAAATTATTTCATGGGTGGGGGAAACGTACGTCGCAGCTTGCTGTTGAGGGTGAAACTCGACCGGTTGCATGGACACCGGAGCGTCCAGATCCATCGACATGGTGACAGTTGTAACAAAAAATGTCCTATATCCTTATTGAAGAAGAATAAAGAAGTAAAAGATGAATACAACAGGAAGAAGCAGAAGTAGAAGAAGCGAAGAAAGCGTCGATTCGGGAGCAAAAAAAGAATTAATAAGAGGAAAAGTAAAAATTCCTTAAGTGGGGAGTGTTTGTCTTGTTTGCCATGTTAATTAGTCATATTTATGAATTATTCATCAATTACTAATAATATCAAAATTGTCACGTGCAAAAGCTTAACTAAAACTTCTTTGATATCAATCGAAAAGTTAACAGCAAAAAAAACATCGAACGGAAAAGAAGAATCAAGACAGAGGAGAAGATCTGTGGTTTGCTGAAACGTTTTAGTTACAAGTCAAGAGGATGAGTGGAATAGCGTTGCAGGGCTTCAGGTGCCATGCTTGTCGAAATGCCGCATTCCGCTCCTTCGCTGCCATAAATGGCGTCTCAATCTCCGCACGACCCCAATCCTCTATATCCGGCCACCCTGGTTCACAGCTCTATCAGCCAGTCGCTCGAATAGCTGGAAGACGCCAATTCTCCGCCCTCAGTTCCGTGAGATCACAAGTGGATAGCAATTTACCTGCGAAAGCTGAAACAAAAAACGAGGAGGGAAGCGTTGAATCGTCACATATACCCTGGTATCTACAGGATGAATCCCACAAGCCGACTGTCCACCCTCTGAAGCAGCAAGAGTTGCCACCTCTCCCTGAGAACCCGCCTCCCATATTAGAAAACCTACTACAATATATCTCAGTCGATGCCGGCCTCGACGACCTTTCGCTTCTTGACCTTCGAGGGCTTGATCCTCCCCCAGCTCTAGGCGCAAATCTCATCATGATACTTGGGACAGCCCGAAGTGTGAAGCATCTTAATGTTGCAGGTGACCGTTTATGCAGATGGCTACGAAGCAAGCATCAACTCAGGCCAATCGCTGACGGCCTCCTGGGAAGAAATGAACTGAAGATAAAATTACGACGGCGGGCAAGGAAGGCTAAAGCAACGGGTGATGCGAGCTCTTTGAACTCTCGAGATGATGGCATAACAACTGGTTGGATATGTGTTAATGTTGGGGATGTGGAAAATGGCCCACTGAAGACCAATGTTGCACAGAAGAGGGATTTTATTGGATTTGGCGGCACCGGAGACAAAGTTCGGATCGTTGTGCAAATGCTTGTGGAGGAGAAGAGAGCCGAACTTCAACTCGAAGCTCTATGGGGGAGCCTTCTTAACCCGGAGGCTGGAGAGAAGAACACAGGGCCCCGTGCCGATGTCTGGGGTAATTTGTCCTCTGAGACAAGTGCCTCTGGAGGATCTGGGGACAACATTGCATCTACATTCAGCCAGCGGTTCCCAGGAAGGAGGCATATGCATACCCAAGCTCGACCCGATACCCTCGAACCAGCCCTTCAGGAAACCTTGGGCAATATTATTCAGCGTTCCAAGTCTGATCAGCCGTCAAAAATAGTAAGCACCTCTTTGGCATCCCCAAGTGTCTCTGCTTTGTTGGAACAGTTATCTCAGTTGCCAGAAGAAGAAGCTCGTCGAGAGCTTGGGCTTGGACCCGGTGACAGAGATTCAACACTGTTTTTAAGGCTGTTCTACGAGGCGGTGTCCAAATCTGACACGGAAACAGTACTCATAGATAAGCTGTCGTTCGCCCGAGCTGCCGTTCTGCTAAAACACCCCGCGTATGGCAAAGAAAACTTGTATCAGGCATTTAAAAACGTGGCTACTTCTGGATGCGATATCTCAGAGGAGCTTGCAATGGATACAGTTCGTACGCTGTTATTGTTCCAAGGCTCCGATAAAGCACTCAATGAACGCGTCCCTGAACACGATATTGACTTGGCATTGAGAGTTCTGGACCATATGAGCCTTCATGGAATAAACATATTCAATGGCGAAGTGTTTTTCTTACTTCATAAGGCATCAGCATTTAAATCCCCAGTTCTTCCCACCGAAGACGCTAATGATGAAACAAACGCCTCTGCGGACGTCGACTCTATTTCAAAAGTACCGGCAGAAGCATTGGACAATGTTACTACCATGCACAATCGATTAAATAAACTAATGGCTTCCGCCGGTGTTGATTTCAACTACAAGGACTATCCAGAATTACTCCAGATGTACTTTGAGCACGGAAACTACAGCAAATTTTGGCGCTTATGGCAGCGAATATCCCTCATGCAAATCACGCGGTCAAGGGAACTTTACCTACTCTTGTTCCGCTTGCATGCCAAATTGGGCCACCAACGTCAAGCTGTTGAATGCCTTTCGTCTTGGGTACCCATGATGACCCGAGAAGAACCACCGGTTGCTCTCGACGAAGAACTGACAAGAGCCATCATGGCCTGCATGTTAGTAGCGGACCCCGCCATTGACCAGAAAGCTGATGATGGGACTGTGAGCCAGTTCACTCGACTATGGAAACAATGCTTGCGCGACCTTGAGTCCTTCAAAACCGCCAACTCCCAATAACCACCATATTCACATTTGTTCTCATGACTTGCTGTATTATTACCCCTTTTTTAGCCCCTTGAATGAGCTGTTGGATTAGATTTCAGCCGGGCGTTGATTGAATAATCATGTATTAATAAAAATAACTTCTTGTACCATATAGAATAAACGATGAAATAATATTTATGAACCCACAAGCTATCTGTAATTTCGATCATTGACAATGGTTGTTTTCTTACCTTCGTTGGACGAAGCCCATAAAGCTCAAGTTTGGACCTCGGCATCTTTTTCTCCAGCTGAACTTTATCTTCACTCCATGTTTTTGGGGCTTTCTGACTTCAACCAACACAGTCAACTATCACGGCCAGAAGAGCTGTTCATTAAATGAAAGCTTCGGAACCTCAAGATGGAGTATATGTCAGCATTGCAGAACAATTTTGACGATTTCAAGCCTTCTCTATTTGGTATTTTCGGCCCCCAGACAGACGCGTTATGGTTGTCCCTAGCTAACAGCACTGAATAGAACTCCTCTCCGAACAACAGCTCTCATCACTTCTTCCCCCATCCCTCCGCTACCTCCTTGCGGTCGCGACTCACAGACATCCTCGATATCTTCTGCGGATTCTAAATTCCTACGATGAACTGTACGCCCTAGTGTCGCTACTTGTTGAAGGATACTACCTACGAAACTTTGGCGGTTCATTTACAGAGAACTTCTACTCTTTGAAACGAGAGCGCGTTCTAGCATTAAAAGATGGGGAGGTACCTCGAGCTCAAATTGGAGCAGGAGGACCTGTTCGAGAGACTTTAAAGTTGCGCGACTCGGATATATGGCGAAATTTGATAGTTATGGTCGGAATTCCATATTTAAAACGAAAACTTGATGAAGGATACGATATACATGCTGCTCCCCATGCAGCCCTTGTCTCAGGGATTGGAGGAGGTCCGCGGTATCATCCATCGGATGAGATGCCTCATAACCCTACAGTGAAGCAACGGTTATTGTTCTATTACAAATGGTTCCTAAGGAATATTTACCCATCGATAAATGGAGCCTATTACTTTTCCATACTGGCATTCAACCTGGCCTATCTCTTTGACAACACCAAATACTCGTCTCCGTTCCTATGGCTAATAGGGACTAGAATCAGGCGATTGAGCCCAGCGGATCACAAAGCAATCGCAATGGCAACGGCGGCCAACACACCCCATACAGGCGCGGCAAGATCACGCTCACGGCCGAACGCTCTAAGCCTTTTAAACCCACAAGCCATATATCCTCATTTACTAGGATCGCTTAAGATTCTCTTGCCAGCGTCAATATTCGCTCTCAAATTTCTCGAATGGTGGCATGCAAGTGACTTCTCAAGGCAACTAGCTAAACAAGCTACCCAATCTATTGAACTTCCAGCGCCAGTAGTAACTGGAATCCCTTCAAAACCTACTGCAACAGATGCTGCGGATGAGAAGCAGCCACTAACAGGGACGAATAAGCTGAAGCAAAGTCGCACCAAGTCCCCAATATCATCTATAACCCTACTACCAATATTCACCGTCCCGATACCCCCCGTTGATCCAGATACCTCTCAAGCACCGTGCCCAATATGCCTTAACCCACTTGTTAATCCTACTGCCTGTCAGACCGGATATGTTTACTGCTACACCTGCGTATTCAGGTGGTTGAACGGCGAGCATGACCGTCAAATTGATTTTATGAATGGAGCCGGAAATGGTGCTGCGTGGGAAGACGAGGGTAAAGATAACGGCGAGAACGAGAATAGTGGTGAGAAGGATACAAAGAGCAGGGAAGGGAGATGGGAGAGTGGGAAAGGACGGTGTCCAATTACAGGCCGAAGGGTTCTAGGTGGAACAGATGGACTAAGGAGGGTCCTTGTATAGACATATTTCAAATGTATCAACATTACTTCTTCACAATAGCGAGATTAATCATGCTGTCTCATAGTCTAACCAGTACGTATATACAGTCGCGACAGAAGAATATTGTAAAGCTAATAACACTAAATAATATTTCTATGCGGTATGTATGGATTTATATACACAGGAGCTAGATATATGCCCGTATTTAGACGTAGCAAGAGAGAGCACAAAGGAGGCCAACATAGATTGTTGCTATTTGGCCGGAAGGGAATAAAAAATCTATCCTAGGGAAAGATGTAAATGCATGCCAATAAACGCCACACTCAAACATGCCTTTAATCATAGCCAAAAAAATGTAGGAGGTAGTAGAAATTTTGAAACGAATGGAAGAGGAGGTATCAAGGATTGTGTTTTACACCATGGTAGGGAAAAATACCAGGGTTATATACCAAGCCACCATTTTCCTCTCTCATAGACAAAGAAGCTCGTGGCTACCATAGGTATGACTTTCATGTAGCCGATAGTCAAACCAACGAAGAACCCTTTGAATCCACGTTCAAGGAATATCTTCTGGGCCGTCTCTCGTATGCCGAGAACATGTCCGTCACCAACTGCACCTCCAACCTGCATTCGTCGTCGGATAACTTCTAATGGATATGAGGATGTCTGCGATATGAGTCCTGCAACGGCGCCAGAAAACAGCTCAGCTGTGGCAGTTAGTTGCGGTCTATGAGATCGTGTTTGTTCGTGGCCATGCGGGGTGTCTTTGCCAGAGCGTGGGATGGTGGTGTATTTCTCTATACTGGGATGACGAAGCCAATCGCCAACTGTGTCATGTGTGAGGAAAGACATGCCTGCGTACGGCAGCATGCCGACCATCGTGGGTGAGAATCCACGGTAGAAGTTCACAAGCCCATATCGGGGTTTGACTTTCTCCACCGCAGCAGCCGTAGTAGATGCGGCTCCCTCGGTAGAGGCAGCAGCGGAGCTCCCTTCATGATAAATTTGGGTGAAGATATTTCGCAAGGACGATTTGGATCGTTGCTTTGTTTCAAACGCTAGCCGCACTCTAATAAGTTCTAAGGGATATGTGAAAAATACAGACGTGATACCGGCTAAACTACCGCTAATCAGTCGTCGGAAGGGCGTTTCGTGTTTCTTGGAGGGTATTATGACGGCACGGATCTGCTCGTAGGCTATGAATTTAATAGCGGCGTATGGAAATATTCGAAGTAGAGTAGCCGAGTGGCCTCTGAATAGGCCGCGAACACCTTCAGTATCATTGATGTTTTTCATGGCTGAAGCAACACCAAACCAACTGTTTGAATATTTCGCGAATTGGGGGTTCGACGTCTGAAAAAGGATTTTGACCCGATCCAAGGGCCCGACTATCGTTTTTGCCTAGATTTTTCAACACACCCATTTCGTCAGCCTTTATTGTGCCAGTTGAAGTGCGATACAACAAAACCGCTATACTTACAGCACATCCTGCCAGTCCTCCAGCTAAACCGCTTCGTATTAGGTAGTCCAAACTTCTTTTATCTACCGGCTGAACCGCGACAGTACCCTGGTTTGTCATGGCTGTCTGTTTACCTGGTGACAGTTCCGAATGTGTCCCACGACTCGACGTAAAAAGATCATGGCCTCTCTCAGTATCTGTCGAGCGGGGATCGGTCGTCGACGTCGCTAGAGGACTATGTGCCATCATCTTCTGGACACCAGAACAGCCTTTTTGTCCAGGGCGCCCTTTCCGCAGTCACTCCGCGTCTTCGTTAAACAGTGCGGGATGTTAAAGACGAGAATTTAAAGAATAGTCCGCGGCCGACATCATATAGACCGGTAGTAAACACAGGCTGGCCGGTATCAAGAATGGAAGAGGCCAAATAGTGCTGTCGGTATGCGGAGTAAGGTGGAAGAAAGGAGGCAGAAGAGTGCCAAAGAACAATGCGCGGATATTAGTTATTTTATTGTCCGTCCGTAACGTCATGAGTTTCTTTTTGCTTCGCTCTCTTTTTTTCTCTCCCCTGGGATTGGCGGGTGGTTGCGGGCGCAAGGCCATGGCACGTGAGCGGCTATCCAGATGTAGTTTAGTGTCGCTGAGAAACTCCCGATGAGCCGCGGTAAAGGGTCACGTGTGTGAGCCTAAGCGGAAGTCGGTGCCGAAGAGCCGAGAGGTTTTTTTCTCTAAGGCTAGATTTGAGTTAACCAAAAGAAGGCAGCAAAAAGGTACAAGAAATCTATTGTTAACAGGCAGAGACCAACTGATATTCCGCCAACCCAGTTCTGATAGATACACCTGACTACTCCTACCAGGATAGACAATATACACGGTTTTATTTTTCCAATATGAGAGACGAAAGGGGGAAACTGTGCGAGCTCCAGCCCACACCGAAATATCGCTAAGTGCAGTCAGTCCCAGGAACAAAATGAACGAAAGCAATATATATATCTCTTTTTGCAAGTCACCCTCGCCAATAGAAATGTCATAAGTCGTTAAGCCCCGTGGTTGTGAAAGTCTAGTGATGCAAAATAAAGATAATATCCAAATGAAAAAAAAATGCTCCAGTTAACAGGCGTGCTATGGGCGATGATGGTCGAAATGAAGATGAGGATATCGGTGGGATAGTTAAACAGAGAAGGGGAGAAATATTGTGAGCTAAGATGATTTATCTTGTGCCCTGTCGACCAAGAGGCCTGCCCTGGCGATTAGTCATTCTCGTTTCCTTTGCAGATTCAGTAGCGGCAGCTTTCTTAGCGCGTTTTGTCGGCCGCGCTGATTCGACGTGCAAATGACCGCATTCCTTCAGAGCAGTCAAATTTCGCCATTTGAGACACCCACGTTTGTGATCTGCTGTGGCTTGTCCCTTGGTTCGTGTTGACATGCGCATTGCTGGTTGCTCGTTGGGCTCTTCGGCAGGGGTATTGTTCTCCGTGAGGTAGGTCTTTCGGTTCTCCATGTATTTGGCAATATGGTTGCGCTGAAGTTTTAGTTCCTTGTGAAGCTTCAGCTCCCTGACACCTCGGGTGTCAAGCCATTCCATTAGTTTGTCCAGGTCTTCGGGGGTGTCATAGTAGCCCCATTCTTGGGCAGAAGAGACGCCGGAGGATCCTTCTTCAGCCTGTTTCCGTTTCGCAACAGTGGTTCCGAATCGCTGTTTGTACTCTTGACTCACTTGCTCAGGAACATCGATAAAGCCCTCTCGTTCCATTTCATCGGGACCTTGTACCCAAAGACGACCATTGGCGTAGTTTGCTGAGGCAGTAGAGCTGTCAGGTAAGCCTTCATAGGGCATGCCGTTCCTCTCGAACCAATAATAGCGATTCCAAAAGCGATCTTTTCCCAGTACCCTTGTTCGTGGGCAATCTGCTTCTCTCAGGTCGTTATCCAGGACTGCGATCTCACTTTCGATAGAAGCAACCTTGCTCTTTTCATCTTCCATTTTCTTTAGGACCCGCTGGTACTTCTTCGAGCCTTTCGGTTCCTTGGTAGCCTGCTCCTTTCTTTCTTTCTCGGCCTCCTGCTTCCGCTTACGTTCAATAGTTCTGTCGACTCCTCCTCTTAGGGAAGGGCCAGTAGGTGCATCCGAATCTGTAGCAGCACTTTCAGTGTCATCTGTTGCGTCAATCTGAGCATCCAACATTTCCTCGTCTTGCTGAGTTGGTGTATCCCGCTGCTCAGGTTCGAGCTGCTTTCGCTCTTCATGGAGAAGCCGAATTTCCTCAAGACTGCTCACGGTTAGGGTAATCAGTAGTGTTCTCATAATCCATAGAGTTAGAAGGCCACTTACACAACTTTACGAGCACGTTGAAGCTCGATTTTTTCCTTGCGGAATTCGGTCATTTGATTACTGCACTCCTCCATATAATTCTTGACCGCCCTTGTTTCAACGGTCAGCATACAGATTATCTGCAGAATTTGAATGCGAAGGTTGACGTCCAGGGTAGAGTATTGGACTCGGGCCGTTTCCTGAGTTGGTGCTGCGTCCAAAGGTGCCATGTGAATCAATATCTCCTCGCAAGCCTCCTTGAGCCTGGGTTTCAAGGATAGTCGATTTAGTAAACCAACAAGGATGATCTCCCATCCACCATTTTTGAAGTCCCGTTTCCGCAAGCGGTCAATCCAGTCATACTCCACGAACATGTCAGCTGCACAATGCTTCTTGACCTCCACTGGATCGGGTTCAGGAGCCTTCTGCTGTTCCATTTCGGCAAGTTCAGCTTGTGCCTTTGCGAAGCTACTCCTGGTGGTTCGTCTTGGAGGTTCGGGCTCCGGCTCCGGCTCCGGATCACTTTCTTCTTCCTCCGCTTCGGACTCTTCTTCGGGTAAAGGTGGAAGCGAGATTTGAACTGCGCCATCTTGATCTGATTCAGCATTGACTAATGTCTTTAGCACGGCGCAATGAATCTCTACTAATAGCTCACAATCCATGTCGTCCGAAGAAAATTGGATTGCCTCCACAAAATCATCAAAGGTAAAGGAGTCCAGCTGGAAAACTTCACAGTAGACATTCAAAGTGTTCCAAGTTTCGAGGGAGCGCGCCAATTGAGTTCATCTTTGATGCTGAAATTCCTCCTCCCCGGGGCCTCATCTTCATGCAAAAATTTCAAAGCTGGCCGAGGTGGGCGGTCGTTTACTGGTGGCAGGTCCAAGTCCTCAATAGGGTATTTAATTGGAGGTGGTAGCGGCGTTGGAGATTTTTGTTTGAGGACAATTGAGATTTCGTTGAAGGAGTTCTCGTGAGGGTCAGGAGGCGGTATGACATCCTTGTTGAACCCCTTTTTGTCTACCCTAAATGATGGGTTGCCGTTAAGCGCTCGTCGGTATGCTAGGTACTGCTCTTCCTTGGCCTTGGCGAGTTCGTGTGCCGACTTTGCCTTCTGGCCCTTATTTCTCGCATTTATCGGCCGGCTCTGCGAGGCAAAAAAACCAAACATGGCCTCATCTTCTTCCTTTTCGGCTGACACGTTGGCTTTTTTGCCGGCTTTGTTGCCATACTGTAGATGTTTTGGCACCTCGGTGTCGATGTGGAAATGCTCAGCAATTTGAGGCTTGACTAGCCAGGGGGCGCCGCTCCATGACTCTCGTGTGACGGTATTCTTGATAAAGGAGCGTAGCATCTGTTTAGTGAATACTTTCCTGTCACGGACAAGGTGTTCATCATCAACCAGGGCCTCTTCATTATTGCGGTTTGTGAGTTTGACCAGGTAGCGGGAGCTTGCACGACGCTCAACCCTGCCTTCATGCATAACTTCAGGGAACTTTGCCTTCTCCCTGACTATTCCATGTATTCGCGATCCATTAGACAACAGAACAGTTACGCGCTCCCCAGGGTAGAAATCTTGCTTGAAGTCCTACTTAATGTCAGTTACCGTCATAGAGACAAGATAAAATCTACTGACCTCGAATACTTGATCCACTATGTCAATCGAACTTGTTAGTAACATGTTTAATTACCGACAGCTCAAGAACCCAAAGAAACACATACCAAGACTGTCTATGCGCGATATGGTGGAGAATTGAACCCTACGCAAGACAGGTTCTTTTAAGGATTCTGGGAATGCACTGTTGACTTCTCTTGATCCTTCGGTCTGCGAAAAAGTATTCGATAAGCTGGCTGTACCCCGCAATTTTTTGTCCCTGGCCGAGGGATTCCCCCATACCTCGCTCGTCAGGGCCTCGAAGAACGTTAGGGAAGAGTGGCCAGTGATTTCGCAAATGAATCGCCTCTAAAACAATTGGACTTAGCGGAAAGTCAAGCCGTCGTGAATAAGATAAAATATTACCTGTTTATAAAAGTTCATTCTAAATGTCGGGTTTATTAGCAAGGGATACTATTGATAAATATAGTGATAGTATCGGTGGTACTCACCGCTGCAGGAAGTGGTCATAGTTGGTAAACACTTCATTGGTTTCCGGGATAACCCAGACCTATACACACGTCAATATGGGTTTGGCTCCACAGCACAGAAGGAAAAGGCGGTATATCGGTGAACGCAAACCTCAGAGTTATCATCGTCAATTGTGGGTTTGGGCAGATATTGCACCGGTTTCCGCTTAAACAGCACCTAAAACAAGCGTGTTAGCTATGTTATATAGAGCAATGGTACTACCTGGTCTAGACTCATTCGGGACATACCATCTTCAACTTTAGATACTGGAATATATCGAGGAAAGACGTAGAAAGCGGTAACACATGCGATCAAGAACACACAACCCCTTCCAAGGACCGGAGCAAGCTCAGAAACGCGAAAAGCGGGCGGTAACCAATCATGTGAAAAAACCTCGAAGCTTTGCGAATAGCAAGGTGTGTGCGTGGGAGTGCTTGTAAAAGGTCAAGAGGGGAGGGAATGTGTCGAGCAGGAAGGAGGAGGTCTGCTTATTATCTCGTGGTGATACCCTAGCGCAGGTCAGTGAGTGATTGAGTCTATCATGAATAGAGTGAGCTTCGGCCTGGGCAAAGTGTGAATTTCAGAAAGTCTAGCCCTGTCACGGATATCTCGACGCGTATAAAACCCGGTCTGGGTAGGTTGGAGAAGGGGAATGGCATCTGCTCACAGCTGAATTAGGTGGTGGACGCGTCGTTCCTGGCGCCTTGCATGCCCTGAATGTCGGCCAAAAAAAGGTAAAAAAATGCCTCCTGGTAACCGCGCTGGGAGAAGCTGATCTATACAAGTAGAAGCAACAGCTACGCCGGTAAGAGAGAGTCTAGATGGCGTGCGCGTTGAGTGCTGTCCCCATGTGCGGTGGTGGTGGTGGCTGACGTTGTCGTTGAGGTTGAGGTTGAGGTTAAGAAGATGAAAGAAGACGAAGAGAAAAAAAAAGCGGCAGAAAAAGCGAAAGAGGGAAAAGGGAAGGCGGCGGAGGGAAACCTTAGCCTGGTCAGTGCGGAAAGTTCCTCTAGTTGTTTAGTTGCTTCGCTTCAACCACACATGAACACATAACATCGACGACGGTGACGAGCAGGAGACGCGGCGAGGGATACATCGTGCACTTGTTATCCGCTGTAGCAGGCAGTCAGCTGCTGGGCCGGCTGTTGAAGCTCGTCGATGTGTTCTCCTGATCGACGACGACTCCTGGTTTCAGCGGAGCTCAAGAGACTCGGGGACAGGACGACAGAGGGGGGTGGTCCATGGCAGGAGGTGGACCGGCAAGGCACGCCGGAGGACGACGAGAAAGGTGCGAGATAGATGCTGCTGGGCATGCATGATGTTAGCGTGCGCTGTTCAGCAGTAGCAGCCGAAGTGGTTATTTTCTTGCTTCTTTATGCATGGATGCTGCCGAGTCCTCGCGGTCTCACTATGCCGAGTGTTATTCGGGTGTTGTTATAGCTACGCCTTGATATCAACCTCTAAACCACCTCGACAGGGACACTTAGCCCGCACTATCCGGCCATCCAGCTATTTCTACTATCTTTTCCATTATTGGCTCATCTACAGCTACACCTACAGCTATAGTCCCTCCGGTTGTCGCAACTTTTAGGTACGGCTTGTACTTAGAGTAACCATGCAGACTTGGCGTCTGAGGCCGAAAGTCTCCTTGATCGGCTTAAAGAGGAAAAGCAGAAGGAAGCCATATGGTGACGGCACGTAGATATAGGCCCTCTTCTCGCCACCGGAGTAACACATAACGAGCTACCATGCTTCCTGGCAGCATAATGAGGCCGATGGAGCTTTTCTCTCTTGTCGTGCGCCCTTTTTGCCTCCTGCGGGTTTGCCGAGATCTGTGCTTAGGGGGGATTAGGGTCTGCTCTCAGCTACTTTCCCCCATCCACCCGCCCCCAGCCACCATAACCACCCCGTATAACCACTCATTCTGCTCGGAAGATTCCACACAATCAGCGTATGCTAATTACTTTTTCCATTACATTCTTGAAGGTGGGTTAATTTATCAGAAGCTACAATGCCCATACAGTCACGTAGGCCTCCTTATTCGGGAAGAAATGCAATGTAGAACATGCTTTTCCACACAACAGTTCATTCCGTATATTAGATATCTCTATCGATTTTTCTTTGGATGTAGGCTGCCTACGATGTGAAATAGACTACCATGAACCCTGCCCAGCTCCCCAGGATACCCACAGCAGCATACGCACTGGTAAACATTAGTGGAAGGAATTCATATCGCTTCCCAAACACTATTCCGTGCACCAGCGAGCAGTAGACGATCAGCGGTATCGATACGGTGTCGTAAAGCAGCGAAAATCGATCTAGCAAGAATACACGGGGTCTCAATGGGGCTGGCGCAAGGCGACCAAAGACGAAGAGGAACAGCACCAGCCAGAGGATTGTGTACACTGTTTTGATGGGGAACTCGGCAGCAGTGAATAAAAGTGGGAACAAAGAGACATGGCCAGCTACTGCGAGTGGGCGGAACGCCCCCAGATATCGTCGGTCTTTAAGGGCCAACAGACTGAACGGGATGATGATAAGGAGAACGGCCTTCTCATGGACGTGCCAGCCGAAAAGGAAGGCAGCAAAGGCACAGTTTGTCACAGCTCCCACAAAGGTGTCCCAGTCGGGCTGGAACCACAATTTCACAAGGCATACCTGGACATAGTTAGCCTCGCAGTCCTCTATTTGGGCTGGTTTAAAGGAGAGAAAAAAACTCACGACTTGAAAGACAAACGTCAGTCCAAAAGTATACTCTTTGGTAATCTCCGGAAGAACGGCAAAGGAAGTGTCTCCAACTAGCCCTCTGGTCACACTGGCCAAAGCACCAGCATCGACAGGTAATCCTAGTCTAGGTGCAACTACGATCTGTTAGCGGTGGGGTGTTAAGATTGGCAAGATTATACGTGCATACCAAGTATGAGCACTCGATCTAGAAAGGAGTACATTGCCCAGATATTTGGTGCCCAGTAGGCATGGCATAGTCCTCTAGAAAACGGGAAAAGCCTGTCTTTGACTTGCAAAAGCTGACCCCATTTTGCAAATGGTCCAAAAGCCGCAGCAAACACACCCACAACCCCCACTCCAAGCTTCACAATGTTGCCAAACTGAGGCCTGAACATGGAGCTTGGGTGGAGACAATAGGCTCTTAGAAGGTAGACGAACCATGCTAGCGAGAGATAGAGGTATATATGCTTGAAACAGAGCAGAATAGCAAATGTAATACCGCTGTATAGCAGTGTAGACTGCTTCCGTGCCAGGACAATTGAGAGGATAAGGATCCCGTACAAGAACCCGTTGTACTGAAAATGAACATGGTCAATAATAAGCAGGCCAGGAGAGAGAAGAATCGACACGCTGGCGGCGTGAGCCAGCTCCTTGGCTCCTTGGTTTGGTGCAGACTTGATATATCTTCACCGCAATAGCAAATTAACTCTGGTCAGCGATTTTCCATGTATGTATAATGTGTAACTGGCTTACCTATTTAAAGCATAGACGAGCATCAGTTCAAGAACAATCACCGAGCTCCGCTGGAAATACACCGTCTGCCAGGAGTCATAGTTCAGGTTCTGCACCTTGAGCATCTCCGGGTCCATGAATGCAGCAACCTGGGAAAGACACCATTCCAGGCTAGCGAAGAACGGAGGGTAGTCCAGGGTCCATTCTGATGTTTTCTATACATAATTTATTCTGGTTAGCAAAATGTCTTGTACGCGTTGACTGTCTACTTTGTATACCTCGTAGTACCATTCCTTAACCGGGAGAGAATGAGTGATCGCAAGCCAGTTGCGGTGAACTTCAAAATCGGTAGATTTACTTTCAACCCAGCCTGTCAGTCTCACTCCTATTGCTTCTGTGCTTCTTATTTAACATAGAATGCGCCGGACCCAGAGGAATGAAATATGACATACTATGCCGGGAACAAGAGGATCTTAAACGCAGCAGCCACAAGGGCGCATTGAGTTAATGAAGGATAGAATTCAGCCATGGTCAGCTAGTCATGGCTAACCTGACTTCGACCTGGAGCCCAGAGGTGAGATGAGCCTGGTTGGTGTCCAGTAGTGATTGTTGATGTTGGACTTTTTTTGATTGTTGATTTTCAGTGTGAAGTCGAACTAAATATCCACAAGCGCGACCCCCTTTTTCACATCTTCACTAACGAACAAGCTAACTTCCTCTCATACCGCTGTACGACCTGATAAGATATCTCAATGGCTTGTTGTCATTCGCCATAACTAGTAATATCTCCTATATAACCTCGATTTCTACTGGAAAAATAGAGAAGATGCAAAAGTAGAGAAGGCCTGGGGTGCTAAATTGCCTATCTTGGCTTGTTTGCGCGGTTTGCACCGCTGCAGCGCCAAAAAGGACAAGCTGGCTCGACTAATAAAACAACAAACGACGCCGTGAGGTTGAACAGGCTGAACGAGACGGAGAGGAACGAGCAATTCCTTTGTTTTCTTTTGATTTTTTTTTGATTTATAGACGGCTCTTTGTAGTTGAGACGGTCCTACGAGGCGATTGGACCCGGTAGCTCGTTTACGCCGTTTTACATCGATTGTCCGCGGGGAGAGACTTAGATCCTACCTACTAGAAGCCACTGCACAACAGCACGGCGGCAAAGCAGCTATCCGAACACAAGACAATAGGACTACGCATTCCTAATACACCGCATAAAACGAGAGCATATATCCATAAAAAGAGGCTCCTTGCGTTTCATTTTTCATTCCGCGGCACAGCCACTACCAATTTGCATCCAACGGCCGGCTCTATACTTCGAGATAGTTTGACAAAATGACACGATCACAGAGCGCCGGTAAAACGGTTATTTGGGCTTTGATATCCGCCACAATTTCCCAAGCAAGCTCAGTAATGGAGAGATCTAGCTTCGGAAATGGACGAAGGTGCGCTCGGAGCGGAATTAACTGCTTGGTCGCAAGAAGTGGCTTCTGATGGCTAACGGTTGGCTGGATGTAGGATGTCCCATGCTGGCAATGGATTGCCAGGATGGACCGTATCTGGCTTAGGCTATCTCCCAGAAATGGTACGGTTTTTCTCCCATCACCCAACAGTAACATTCGTGGTACCACTTGCTAACACATACTTGCTCGTCTAGTTATCTGATAGAATTATTCTGACACCCCCCTACCCCGGTAATAAAAGAGGCGCACTATGGGCTGATGACATGTAGGGACTATTTGTGGTTATAGAAGCTTCATCTCATATAACAGGGGCTAACTGGGTACACAGAATACCCGAGTCAGAGTGGCACGTGGCTTTCGATTTCAGAGCAAACGGAGAGGAGAGAAGCGGCGGAAACCTACAGCTTTGGTATGTTAAGAAGCAGGAGGCTGTTGGGTCGTCGAGCATATATACCGTGGGGAAATTTGACGGCCTGGCTATCACCATTGACACACATGGAGGCAAGGTTAGTCCAGTCGCTGATTATACGGCCAGAATTTTTTTTTTTCGTTTCGGCCTAACATGCTTGGTATCTAGGCTGGCATTCGAGGCTTTTTAAACGACGGAACCATAGACTACAAATCTAGTGGTAATGTCGACGCTCTAGCTTTCGGACATTGTGACTATCAGTACCGCAATCTGGGCCGGCCTTCAAAGCTACAGGTAAAGCAGTCGAGCCGGGAGTTCGAAGTCTTGATAGATGGAAACACTTGTTTCAAATCTCCAAAGGTAAAGCTTCCTCGGGAAATCTACGATAACGGTTAAACTAACTATAGCAAAAGGTCTTCGTTCCTCCAGGAAACCTGTTTGGTCTCACTGCCGCCTCAGCTGATAGCCCTGACTCATTCGAGGCCTTCCGCTTCGTAGCGACCACTTACTCTGGTGGCAATGCCAAACAACAGGAAAGGGGCCAAGAACCCCCGAACAGAGCCGGCCAGGCCAATAACGACAAGGCTCCCAGCGGCGGCAACGTGGATATCAAAGATCTCCAGGCCCGCCTTCAAGCTATCTCCAGTACAACCAACAAGCTAATGGACGAATTACAAGCTCTATCAAGAACCAATGAAGATAGGCTGAAGGAAGTCATCCGCATAGTTGCGCACCGTGACCAAGTGAGCAGTGTGGATCAGAGACTTCAGCGCGTAGAACGTGTGGTCGAGTCCATGCAGAGAGAGATGGAGGGCAAGGATTATCATAACCAGTTCAAACAGCTGCAGGATCTGTTGCATAACTCCCACTCCGGCCTATTGGATACCCTCCACGATTCATCTCATCGTATGTACCTTTTTTTCATAATACATATTGTTCTCAAGGCTGGGCTAACATACAATACAAAAAAGGCATCATCTCAGCCGCACCGCGCATGGGCTTCTTCATCATCCTTATTATTGCTGTCCAGCTTCTTCTCGCAGTCGCTTACATTGTCTACAAGAAACGTAGAGCCAGCATGCCGAAGAAGTTCTTATAGATAAGGAAAGCAAACAAATCAACCATATAATGTCTTGCATTTATTTACGTAGCTAGCTTGCTTGCATGCTTTTTGTTCTTCTCGGGTTTTCTACAGCTTCGTTCTTCTTATAGCCTTCTTTCATACTCTATCCATTTGTTCGATTTATGGTCTTTCCCATATTGTTTTACGACGTTGTTTTTTGCTTCATTGCCTCTGGGCCTGTATACTACTAACAACCTGCTGTTTGAATATCATTTTACGCCGTGTACAAATGGCCTTTTTCGCTACTTTGAAGGCTTGATTTTCAATAAGCTATATTTGTTCTATCCTATGCTATCCTAACTAACTACCTATCTAATAACTACGTGCCTACTGTCTACGGCCTACGAAGTACTACGAAAGAACCAAAAAACAGCAAACAAACAAGAAACACAATGTGGCGTGAGACATAGCAAGCTTTAGCTCGCTGTCATATTGGTGATGCTTTTGATAAAATAATGTACAGGATAATGGGACAATGGAAAAGCAAGCGCAAGTGTAAAAACAAATACAACCATATCAAGTCAAAACAATGTCCTCTGGATGGGTGTGGCGGAATGTAGACCCCAAACTCGCTGTAGTCAGCAAAGAGTGGGAATACTCTGGTAGAATGGACATGAAAAGAGAGCGTCAAAAAAAGAATGGGTATAAAGACAAACGACCAGCAACAAACCCGGAAAAGGACAAATAACGCCGTAGCCATCTTTTATTCGCTTCAGAATCCCGTGAGAAAAAAGAAGAAAAGATAAATAGCAATGCTATGCATGCTTTGATCAAGGAAATAAACAAAGTGCCGTAAACTCCGCCTTTTTGGTAGGCCCATGCAATGACGCTCAATCTAATACGTCAGTTCCGGAAGAAAACAGGATGAAGACGGGGAAGCCAGGTTTATGTCGGTTTCGAGAGGTTGATATGACGGGCGGTAGAAGGTATGTATAGTATGGTGAGGTGGTATCTCGCAGTCAGGTTATTATTTGTGGTGAGCATCCCTTTAAAAGGGGCTGTAGTCGGTAATATTTTGTTGGAAGTCACTTGGTCGAATAGCATATTGTGGAAGTGGGTATCAGTGAACAAGCACCTGAGGCCAATCTCATGGGTTATTATTGCCTTATCGTTAAGCTGAGCCGGGTGGATTCTCTGCCCTTATCCCATATGTGGGTATTTGTAGGTCGATGGGAGTTTGGCAGAAAAGGTTTTTGTTTTGCGCTCTTTTTTTGCTTTCTGTTATCGACCTCAGGAGCAGGAGGCCATGCAAGGCCAAACGGTCATGGTTCTGAGAGGAATCACACGGCCCGCTACCTGAGGAAGTCGAAAGGATGCTGTAACGGGCACCAAGTTGAGCGCTCCATGCCTATGTTTTTTAGAGTGGGTAGGTTGGCAGCATGGAGATGAACAAGGGCTTGGAATTGGCTTTTTTTGAAACCCTTTTTGAAAGGCCACAGGGAACTTGACGCTGTCATGCTGGACTTGTGACTTGTTGATGTTGCTTGTTTTGGCTGAGATTGATGAATGTCCTGGAATGCTGCAATGCAGGCTTGTTGACTGGAAGGCTGGCGCTGGCTGATGCCGCTGAATATCCGCCGAAGGAGATGATAGATAGTGGTAATTATTTGGCTTCCCTGTCTTCACCCTGTAGTCAACCAAGAACACAATAATAAACAGTAAGAGAGGTAAAAGTGACTTCTTGAGAGGGGATATAAAAGCACAAGAGGGTAAGTAAGGTCAGTAAGCGGGTAAGGGGTGAAAGGATGCAACACCAGGAACATCTTCTCAACTCACAGTTAACCGAACAGAGGAGCCCGACCAGTAACAGCCGCAGCTTGTTATCAACGCAAACCCAAGTTAATCACGATGGGCTGCGTATTTGCCGCGAGCAGAGAGGAAGAGACATGAGTGGGCCAGCGGGTATGACGAGGCCAAAACAGACAATAGGCACATCATTCCAATTGTGGGAGAGTGTTGGCGGGATTGGTCCGTACCTATGGAAGAATGCAGACGCAGCCAGCAGAGACACATATTGATCGAGGAAATTCTTCGAGCACACTTCGTTGAATTGGCACCAGTGCAAGAAGCATTGGAACAAAGCTCTGAATCTAGACCAAACCTGCTTTCTTTCTACTTTTCTCTGGGAGAATGTAGGATATGCAGGATGCTGAAGCCTTTAAAAGGGGGAAGCGGCATTCAGTTGGTAGGTTCAGAGGTCGGAGTAAGCGCAGTTATGCGCTTTCCTACCAATTCTTGAATAGCTCGAAGAATATCAAGTTCATTGGAGGAGGTGCGGAACCCATCGGGCGTTCCAGCAATGAGGCCAGACATGAGCTGCTCCGCTCGCTTGGCCCCCGAGTTGCCTGTTATGTCCATAAGGGATACCACGGCGTCCTGCTCGGCCGACCCAAGTTGCGAGAAGGAGGGCACCGCGGACGGCGCCTCATCCTGTCCAGCTTCCTGGGTGCAAGTTTCATCGCCAAGTAGATTTGCTCTGGCCTCCTCCTCCGCCGCATGTTCGCTCAAAACATGCGTGATGAACCGTTGGACGAGTCCGCTCTCCTTCACGCGTAGAACGACGCCCTCTTGGACCTGCTCGTCAATGACGCTCTCCTCGTCAGTTTCCGGCAGGACATCGATGTCCACGTACTTGGGGTTACGGGGTCGTCGGACCCTACCCGGGTAGTGTTCTTCGAGGGCGTCCTCTAGGTGATTCGGGCATCTCCAGTAATGGTAGGGCTTGTCACTCCCCGGCTTCTGGCGAGGGGGATTCGCCATCGGCGGGTCGAGACAGTCCAGATGCCAGGCGGACGGGCAGTAGTCGCAGAGGATGACCGGTCGCCGGTTCTCTGAGGACAGGCCACAGCGAACACAGGCGATGACCTTGCCGTGAGCATCAAGAACCCGCAAGGGATCTATCTCCTCGACGACGCCTCCGCGACTGCCCCGAGCTGGTTTGGTAGCCCGAGTGCTGCCCTCGGGAAGTGCACGCACATCCCTATACTCTCCTCCAGGGCCGGTCTCAACCTCCGCGAAGAAGTCGCGCACCTCAGCCGGCAACGAGAAGCCGGTCTGCGGGACGCTTTCCATCACCTCTGCGAGCCCGCCCAGAAGACCCTTCTTCTCGCAAGCCGGACAGAACCATTGGCCTGCCGGTGGAGATTTGGGGTCGACTGGGGGTTGCAGGCAGGTGAAGTGGAAAGAGTCCACGCAGCCGTCACAGCATAGAAGCTGTCCGTTGCCGCCGCACGCACGGCAGAAGTCGATGTTATCGATTTCATCCGCTTGTACTCTCGGTTTGCGAACTCTCTTGGAAGTCGAGCTGGTTCCGACGGTGGCAGGCTGTCTGGCGGCTTTGTCCTTGGGCGCCGGGGCCACAGGAGCTGGTATGGTCGACCCCTGGCCCTCGCTGTCTGATGGGACAGAAGGACCCGGGAAGACCCAACCCTGTGGTGGTTCCATTGCTGTCCGGACATTGCTTTCTTCGGCCTCGTCGGTCACGGCGATGGTGGCCTCCTCTAGTGCTCTGCGCTTCGCAGCGACAGCTTCTTCCGAGAACTCCGGGTCCTCCTCCAACTTGCGCTTCCGTGAGAAAGCCGAGTTGGTTGGGAGGGCCGCGTTAGCTCTCGAGGGACCAGCACGACCTCTACCGCCTCGAGCCCGGGACTTGGTTGCTCTCGCTCCCTTACCCTTGGATGAGGTGGTGGTAGTAGGTGCATTGGCTGAGTCCGGCTCAGCCGCGACAGGGGCGAAGGCATCGGCATCTAGGGATTTGGCCGTGGAGAGCGACGACGTGGTAGTCGCCGATGCAGTGCGTACCATGTCTGTGGCAGCGGCACTGTCGTCCAGTTGTTGTTGTTGCTGCTCTTCTGGTTGGGCTTGGGCGCGCTTGACTGCGTCCTTGATCAAGGCTTGGAAGGCGGATCGGTGGTGAGCGTCCGCCGATCTGTTGATGGCGCCCTCCAAGACACCAAGGAGAAATGGATCAGAGGCCGAAGCCTCCTTGATCCAGCGGAGGCCACCTGCGACTTTGGAGTCATCAGACTCCTCCGCACGCAGGATGGCTGATCCGAGGATGTCCATGAGCTTCTCCGAGGTGTACTTCCTCGATGAAGGGACGGCTGGCTCGGCTGAGTGGTTGCTGTCAGCCGAGTCGTCAAGCTTGCCCTTGCCGGCAGCTCTCGATCGTGTCATTCTGCTGGCTGGCGCAGGCGCAGACGGCTGTTGGTGAGACCGCTCTTCGCGCTCGAGGACGCCCTGAATGATTCCCTCCGCACGGGAACTATCAGAGAGGGCGGCTGCGTCCTCAGCGGAAGTGGAAGCGGTGGTAGGCCGCTCGTCTGCACTCTTCGGTGTCTGTTTTGGCTTCGCGGCCCGGCCCCCTTTCCGCTTGGTGACTTTGCTGGCAGCGGCGGTGGTGGTGGTGGTGGGAGCAGGGGGCTCGAGGCCAACTCGACGGCGGGCGGCCAGCGTAGGCCTGGTGCCTAGGGGCAGCATGGAACCGTAAGGGCCACCCCTATTCAAGCCATACCCGCGGCAGGTGGTTTTTGGAATGGCGACGGGTGGTTCCACCCATGTCTCTTCATCCGCTCGCGGAGCTGCGGCGGGAACTGGTTGTTGCTCGGGCTCGGTACTCTGTTCTGGAGCTGGCAGAACAGACGACGACTGGCCGGCAAACTGGGAGCTGTCCTGGCTCGTGGACAGCCCAGCAGCCGTAGCCAGTTGCTGGAAGCCAGACAGGACCGCCATCTGGGGGTCGACGGCCTGCTCCGGCTGTTCCAGCACGGTGTCCATCTGACTGCCAGCTGGTTTGCGCTCGGCCTGGCGCTCTTCCTCCTCCACGACGTCTACCGGCGAACGCGTTTCGGTGCCGGTCTTGCGCTGTTTCTTTGGCCGCGCGGTGTCTGAGGTGGAAGAGGAGGACGGCCGGGAAGCAGGCGCACTGTGAGGAGATGATGGCCTGGTGTTGTTGCGCGAGGTTGTGCGCGAGGAGGACCGGAGACGAGGAGCCATCTCGTCGAGCTTCGTTCTTTTGTCGAAGCTCTTTTCCCTCAAAAAGAACTGTAGAGCACGCGGTTAGCTTCAGGGCACGTAAATGCAGGCCGAGACCATCACTCACTGAGGGTATTCTCGATCGAGTTGGCTTGTTCAGCTCAAAACTCGAGGAGTTGGCGATGTCGGTAACCGCGCAGTCCGGCGGTGGTTGGCTGGTGGTTTTTTTTTCTCCCTCGAGTTGAGGTTGGAGATGGTTTTTTTGGAGTTTTGAGGCTTTTGCTTGCGAAGTGACAAGACAAGAGCTAAAGCGACAGTCAGCCACACAGAACGCAGAACAGGAGACGCACCACCAACGACGGGGAGAGGACCTACCAGGCGGGTGGGAGGGCGTAGTTTGAGGCGAGGAAGATGGTGGAATATGCAGAATCTCGAGATCTGGCCTGCTCGAGGCTGTGGAGAGGGCTGCTCGGGTGGACTCAGGGGCTGGTCACCCAGGAGGGAGCAGGACAGGAAACGGAAGACAGAGGATGGCTGTATAGGCTCTGTAGATGTTGATAGATGTTGGTAGAGGACGGCAGAGCGTGGCAGGGCGTGGTAAAGCTCGAGATAGAGAGGTAGAAGAGGAATTGGTAGATGTAGGGAGCTGCTGTAGGCTCGACCTTGGAAAAGGAGAAGAGAGAGAGGCAAGAGGATGGCAGTATAGGCTCTTGCTCTTGATAAGTAGAAGATGGACGCGAAGATGGACCAGTCTGTTGTCTAGCTCATTGCAAAGTAGAGTAGAGTAGAGTAGGATAGAGAGTAAGGAGGATGTGAGGATGTAGAAATGAAGATCTCAACTCAGAGAGGAGA